CTTATTTTATTTTTTTATTTAGTTATTTGTGTTGGTATGTTTTTTTTTTTGTTTTTTTATTTTTTTTTTTTTTTTTTTTTTGTTTTTTTTGTTTTTTTTTACTAACTTGGCACGAAAGTTTGTGATGTATGTGGATTTTGGAGTGGGTGATCGATAGGGGAGCAAGTGAGTGAGTGGATGGGGTTGGAGCTGCCCGCCCGGGAATGAGGGTGCCCGGGGGGGAGGGCTCTCCGCGCTCGCCTCCCCCCCACGGCTCTCTGGGGTAAGGAGGGGGGGTTTAGGGGATGTTTGCGGGGGTAGGGGGGGGTGTGTGTGTATGGGGTGTGATGGGGGGTGGGTTTGAGGGGCGGGGGTAGGTGCAGGACAGACACCCCCCCCGGCCCGCCCCCCCCCCCCTGATATTATGGCTGGTATATTAAGAAAAGGAAAGCAGCAAAAAAAAAAGAAGAGGTTGTGGTGGGGGGTTGTTGAATTAGGGTGTGGAGGGCTTGGAGGAGAGGCTCTGAGGGGGGTGTGTTGGAGTGTGAGAAATGTCTCCCCGCTGGCCCCTCCCCGGATTTGCGGAAATGTGTTGATCATGCGTTTGAAGCAACCTCTTGCGGCCTCATACAGCCCGCCCTCCAGCTTTCGAGCCCCTTCGGTATGAAGTGGGGGGTTCTTCTTATTGATTGGAGCTATTAGGAAGGACCTCCACCGTTGAGTATGGAAGGGTGGTGGGATTAGGGCGGAGTAGGAGGGGGGTCGAGGTATTGATTCATTTCGCCTTCCTCCACTCCCCCACCGCCCCTACCCCGGCGATAGGTGTGTGGTGAGGGTGTGTAGTGGGAGGGCTGGTTCCCGCCCACTGAGGGATGAGGGTAGTTGAGGCGGCGGGGTGATTGGGAACGGGGTCGGGCGTGGTAGTTCACATCCTTGTTAATTGTTCGGCCAGGCGATCTCTCCGTAGCGGCTTTGAATGGTGTCTCGAAGAATATGGCGTGACACCAAGAATGCACAGGAAGCACCAATACACCGATGCAAATGAAACGAGCACGGTTCCCCATAACAATCCGAAAATTGCTCCCCGACCAGTGTTGCAATGCGGCTCCTGGTAATGACAGCCCCAGTTACCAAGATGTAAGCAATAAAGAATATCGCCGCAGTGCGCATCGGAAATGATTCCCGGTACGCCATGATTCGTTCCTGCTGCTGTTGAAATAATCCAAGTCAAGATACTGACCTAGATCAAAAACAAAATAAACTACAATCAAACCTGCAACAATCGCAAGAATCAGAATTTTTTTCATATCTTTATCGCCTGACTGGCAATTCAGCCTTTCCGATGAATCAATTGGTAAGTTAGACTACTCAATCCATGATAATGTTCGCAACTTTATACTTTACTTCACCTGCCGAAACCGTAGAAATTCACTAGTGGAATTATTTCTGATCCGACACGGCCAGACTGACTACAACGCACAACGACGATGGCAGGGACGAGTTGATGTCCCTATGAATATCGCAGGTCGAGAACAAGCTGTCAAAATTCGGGAACTGCTACGACTGGAAACGATTCGCCTTGCAAAGATATATACCTCCCCTCTTTGCGAGCGACTGAGACCGCAAAACATCATCTCAATCACGTCACTCCGATTTTCATCGACGAACGTCTTATCGAGATCAATCTAGGAGCCTATGACGGTCGTTATGAAGATGAAATTTCACAAGAAATCGGTAAACGCGAGTATGAAATTGGCGTAGCCGGAATTTCACTCTACCGGCACCAGGCGGCGAGTCAATCGCAGACGTAATGGTACGGGCAAAAGAATTTCTTGACGAGAAAGTGAAATCGAAAACGTACGAACAGCTGGGAATAGTTGCACATCAAGGAGTGCTGGTTGCCCTCAAATCGGTCATTTCAGGGCAATCGAAACTGACTGCGCTAGATGACTACAAACAAATGAATAGCGAAGTTGATGTGTGGGATGTTGCAGCTAAAAAGCGGCTACGCACCATCAAGATTCAGCAAATCTTCGATAAAACAGTATAAATTGTTGATAAATACTGATTTTTTAGCCGTGAAACACGGTGATACACTAAAATATACTCAGAGAAACCGTCTGATAGGATTGTTAATTTCTGGATTTGAGTAGGAAATTGAGTTCTACAACCTTTTAACCAGAGAGATTAAGCTGTGCAACCAAAATCTTTAACGTGGATTCTCATGGCAGTTCTGGCAATCGCCACAGCCGCTGGCTGGATACTCTACCTTTCATCTCCTGCACCAAAAGGACCGGAATCAACGGCCTCGGTTGAACACCAATCCCCTCAAAGCAATGAGCAGTTGAGCGAATTAATGACTCAGTTCGACTTGCTGACAGCTGATCACGAGAGTTTGATTCAGGAAAACCTAGCGCTACACACCTTGAACGAAGCTTTGAATGAGACAAAAGAAGAAGCAGCAGCAGAAAGCGCCCAGGCAGATCAGCAAGTGCTGGAAATGGTTAAAAATCTAAAGGAAATTGCAGACAATCAGAAAAATGAGCGCCTTCAACTGCTTGTCAAAGTCAATGATCTAACAGCACAGCTCGAAAATCTGTCGAAACTTGCGAGCCAGTCCGAGACTGCAGTCAGCGACACGACGACGATGGGAGAGCCAGCGCCCGAACAAACCGCTCAGACTGAATCTGCAGAAAATGTGGTTCAAGCTTCGTCTGAAGAGACCTCAGAGCTCGCAGCAAGTCTTGATGAGCTAAATAGTGAAATGGTGGCATCGCTGAAAGAATCTGTAAGCGGTCTGCAAAATGAACGTCTTCAATTGCTCGCTAAAGTTGATCAGTTGGAAACCATTCAAGAAGAGGCAATCAGATTTTCAGAACAGCTCGAAGAGAATAATGCCGAGCTGGAAAGAGCACTTCAGGATCAACAGAAACAGAGTGAAGTAATCGGCCAACTAACGGAACGGTTGGAACGGGTCTTAGAAATGTCAAAGGACGCCATGGGTAATTTGCAGCCTGTAACTGATTCAGGCGGTGAGGTTTCAGAAGTTGCCGATACGTCCATGGAAGAAACCTCAGCAGAAGCGGTAGCAGAAAACTCCCGGGCAAGATCAGCAAGTGCTGTATCTGGAACAGACGGTTAAATAATCTGGATCAATCCGTAAGCGGTCTGCAAAATGAGCGTCTTCGACTGCTTGCAAAAGTCAATGAACTGACAGTGCAGCTCGAAAATCTGTCGAAACTTGCGAGCCAGTCCGAGACTGAAGTCAGTGAAACGACAAAGGTGGGAGAGCCAGCACCCAAACAAACCGCTCAGACTGAAGCTGCAGATACTGCGACTCAAACCTCGACTGAAGAGACCTCAGAACTCGTAGCAAGTCTTGATGAGCTAAATGGTGAAATGGTGGTATCGCTGAAAGAATTGTAAACAGTTTGCAAAATCAGCTTCAAACAACACAAAACGAAGTCGACAGATTGGCGCTACAGTTGGATTCATCTAATAGACGCGCAAGATATCTTGAAATTCGATTGAGCTATGCGAGCAAACACCTCAGACGTCATCGAGCCAAAAATCGAGAATCTGAAGTTAATTCTGAAAATCTGGTAATGGAACGCCAGGTGCTGGAAGAGAAATTGTCTGAAACGTCTTCAACTCTGAATCAATCCATTGCCGAAAAAGAGAGTGAGATAGACTTTCTTGTTTCAAAGTTTTCAATGATCAGGCTAGAATCAGATGTCATCTTTGATTCCGGATCGGCTAAATTGAGTATCACAAGGTTTGGAAACCCTTCGGGATATTGCTCAAAAATATCAAGACTATCCCGATAGAATCATGAGTATTGAGGGTCACACAGACAATAAACTGATTGCTGGAAATCTTGCTCAATTCTACCCGACCAACTGGGAGTTGTCTGCCGCCCGTGCAGCAGCTGCCGCTAACTTCCTTACCCAACAGGGTGTCCCTGAAGACAAATACGTATTGTCGGATTTGGAGCTTTGCAGCCGATTGCTTCAAATGACACAGAAGAAGGTCGGGCATCCAATCGTCGTATCGAAATTCGACTGGCTCCGAAACTCTCAGAAGTAGAATCTAACTGATGGTATGGACATCAAATGAAGCCACTGACTATCCATACAGTGCCAAGTCAGCAATTCAACATTTTCGGAAGGTTGATCCTACTCTTTACAACCTGATTGCCGAAATTGGCGAATATCGTCTAGAATTCCGAAAAGGCATGACGCCGTTTGAAGCGTTGATACGATCCATCGTCTATCAACAGCTATCAGGCCACGCCGCCGGCAGTATTCTCGATCGGGTTCTGGCCCTGTACAACGGCTCATTTCCCCAGCCACGTGAACTGCTGAACACCGATAATGACCGTTTGCGTGCGTGCGGACTGTCACATGCCAAAATTCGAGCGGTCAAAGACCTTGCAGAAAAGGAAATTCAGGGCGTGCTGCCATCCCCAACGGCAATTGATAAAATGCAAGACAAGGAGTTGATAGACGCGTTCACAATTGTTCGCGGAATTGGTCCTTGGACGGTCGAGATGTTGTTGATCTTTAACCTGGGACGCCCAGATATTTTGCCAGTTACTGACCTTGGAGTTCGACGCGGATATATGGTCGCATATGGGCAAGATGACTTGCCCAGTCCGCAGGAACTCATGGAACATGGTGAAATCTGGAAACCTTATCGAAGCGTTGCCAGCTGGTATTTCTGGAGAGCGGCTGACCCTAAATTCCGCTGCGCCGAGTAGTCTTGCGGATCAACTCAGTCTGGCGACACTGTAGCAAGTCCAATGTTCAATTTACGGAACTTGCATGCCTATTTTCACACCACTGTAGGTTGACGCAGGCTTCAGCTTTTCATCTCCTGAATGAGCGCAGAGGCAAACTCGCTCGTCGAAACCTCTGTTGCGTTTTCCATCAACCTCGCAAAATCGTAAGTGACTTTACCCTGACGAATCACTTTTGGAAACGTCTCGGTGATAAGATCGGCAGCTTCCTGCCAGCGGATATATTCAAGCAGCATGACGCCAGACAGTAAAAGTGATGAAGGATTTACCTTGTCCTGATTAGCATACTTCGGCGCTGTACCATGAGTTGCCTCAAATACCGCGACATGGTCTGCGATGTTAGCACCTGGAGCAATGCCGATACCGCCTACTTCCGCCGCAACAGCATCGGACAGATAGTCGCCGTTCAAGTTGGTGGTTGCGATAACATCGAATTCTGCCGGCCGCAACTGCATCAATTGAAACATGATATCGGCGATTCGGTCTTTGATCACTACCTTGCCCTCGGGTGCTTCACCGTCGTACATTTCCCAAACCTGGTCTTCAGTAACCGTAACATCAGCAAATTCTTCGCGTGCCAATTCATATCCCCAGGAGCGAAATGCACCTTCGGTATATTTCATGATGTTACCCTTGTGCACCAGTGTTACGCTCTGTCGGCCGGAATCTAGGGCATACTGAATTGCTTTTCGAACCAGTCTCTTAGTACGCACTTCGCTGACTGGCTTGATTTCCAAGTCCAGCGCCTTCTTCGAAATTTACATCCATTTCCTCGCGCAGAAATTTTGCCAATTTTTCATTTTCCGGCGAACCGCTTGGAAATTCAATGCCGGAATAGACATCTTCCGTGTTCTCCCTGAATATGACCACATCCACTTCTTCAGGGCGCCGCATGGGTGAAGGAACCCCTGCAAAATATTTCACCGGGCGAATGCATGCATACAAATCTAGAGACTGGCGAAGAGAAACATTCAGTGAACGAAACCCGCCACCAACTGGTGTAGACAAGGGTCCCTTTATCGCAACAACCAAATCCTCAATGGCTTCGAGTGTCTCATCTGGAAAATAATTTCCATCATAGAGACTACCTGCTTTTTCACCCATGAAAAGCTCGCACCAGTGAATCTTGCGACTGTTGCCGTAAGCGAGTTCAACGGCTGCATTCCACACGCGCATGGATGCGCGAGTAATGTCAGGTCCTATGCCATCGCCCTCGACATATCCGATAATGGGATTTTCTGGCACGCTCAGCGTGCCACCTTGAATCGTTATTTTTTCACCGTTCTCCGGTATTCTAATTTGACTTGCCATTTGTACTTCTTGAATCTGCTTGATGGTAATTGCACATAATTTGCTATGTTATCACTTACCTTGAAATTCTTGCATCTTGACACAGGCTACATATGAACAAAGGAATCGTTGCCGCCGGCCATCCGAAAACCGCTGAAGCGGCAGCTGAAATTTTGAAAGCTGGCGGAAACGCCTTTGATGCTGCAATTGCCGCGATGCATACTGCATGTATCGTTGAACCGGCTCTCGCTTCCTTAGGCGGAGGCGGATTTTTGATGGCTGTGCCCAATGACAGTACCCCCATATTGTTTGATTTTTTCGTTCAAACACCAAGTCGGCACAAGAATCTGGATGCGATAGACTCGCGTTCCTTCTTATGCGACTTCGGAAGCACTCAGCAGGAATTCATCATTGGCTGCGGCACCAGTGCAGTCCCCGGCTATGTTAAGGGCATCTTTGAAATTGCGAAACGCTATTCATCAATGCCCATGAAAGAGTTGGTGCAGCCGGCGCTTCAGATGTTGAAAGAAGGCATCGAAGTCACTGAAATGCAGGCACATATATTCAGAATCCTGACTCCGATTTACCTAGCTGAAACCTCAAGAGAGATATTTGAGAGTACACGCAACCCAGGCTTCACAGTGGAAACGGAGAAACAATGTTTTTCCCCAACTACAACGATTTGCTTGAATCCCTTGCGATAGAAGGAGACGACTTGTTTTATCGGGGTGAAATCGCCAAAGCAGTCAACTGCATATCGCAATCCGGTGGTGTTGTCACTTATGAAGACATGGCAAACTATCAAGTTGAACTGCGTAAACCACTCGAGGTAAATTACGGAAACTATTCCGTACTTCTGAATCCAACACCTTCCAACGGCGGAATTTTGATCGCACTGGGACTGTCCCGATTAAACCGTAAGAAACTTGCACAATTTCAACCTGGTTCTTCCCAACATCTTTCCGAGTACTGAATACCATTGCAGCTTGCAGCACTCTGAACGGAAATATGCAGACTCCAATGCCGAATTTGATGCAGATCTGTACGAATTGTATAAACAGAATCTTCTGAATCACGCACAGGCAAATCGTGGAACCACTCACATTTCTGTAATTGATCGGCACCGAAATGCCGCATCGGTATCTGTAAGCAATGGCGAAGGGTGTGGAACAATGATTCCCGGCACTTCAATTATGCTGAACAATATGCTGGGGGAACATGACGTCAATCCGGGAGGATTGACTGGTTGGCCGTCGAATTCACGACTCAGCTCAATGATGTCACCCTCCGTCGCACGTGCGCCGGATAGTGGTTTGATCGCAATCGGCAGCGGGGGCTCGAACCGAATCCCATCGGCAATCCAGCAGGTACTGGTAAATTTGATTGATTTTAGAATGTCAGTGGAAGACGCAGTCCGAGCACCTCGTGTCCACTTTCATCAGAACGAAGCATTTGTCGAAGATATTTTTGAGAACTCTGAATTGGAATCTGTCTTGCAGGCTTTCGACAGCAGTACTCGTTTCAATAAGCGCGATGTGTTTTTTGGTGGAGTGCACACAGCAAAGCACGCAGACTCTGAAGTTGCGGGGTTTGGCGATGATCGACGAGGCGGAATCTCGATCGCAGTATAGTGAATAATTACATTCGCTATATTATGCCGGATCCTACTCATCGAAGGATTCTTCTCTCCATCATTTGTGTTATTTCCATTTATGGATTGACCATTGGGTTTCTCCATCCGCTGATCAGCTTGCAAATGGAGGCGCGTGGATTTCCACCCTCATGGATCGGGATCATGGGTGCGACGCCATTCTTCTCCGCAGTCATCGCCTCACCCGTCATACCGCTGATTATGCGTACGGTCAATTTAAGCCGATTGGTATTCCTTTCCATTTGTGTAGACCTGATTTTGATTCTGGTGATGATGTTCATTGACAACGTGTTTGTGTGGTTCATCAGTCGTTTCCTCATGGGTGCGGCAGGCTCTGTACTGTTTGTCGTGAGTGAAACCTGGATCAACGAAATAGCAGAAGATCGTTCACGTGGTCAAGTACTGGGGCTATACACACTGACACTGAGCTCATCCTTTGCCCTGGCCCCGCTTTTCATCGTTTTATTTGGTGCTGAAGGTTCACTGCCGTTTCTTGTTGCGTTCATCGTGATTGCGTTCAGTTTAATTCCGCTGCGATGGACGCGAGGTACCTCACCGGATTTTTCTGGCGGACATGCTTCTCACGTGTGGCGATTCATGCTGTGGGCGCCAACGCTTGTTTGCGCCGCTGCCCTCATGGCTTTCGAAGAGGCAGCACTCATCACTCTCCTACCGGTCTACTCCCTTCAAAATGGAGTGACGGAAAAAGTTGCGGCACTGTATCTTACTGTCTTGGCAGTTGGGTCGATGGCGGCACAGCCCCTCATTGGCTGGCTTGCGGATAAAGTCAATCGCTATACTCTGATATTTGCCTGTGCGCTGGTCGTATTGCTCGGTGCATTGTCACTGCCGTTTATCATAGATACACAATTTATCGTGTGGCCAGTCATGCTCGTTTGGGGTGGAGCAATTGCCGGAATTTACACAGTTGCACTGGCAATCATGGGGCAACGATTTCGTGGAGCGCAGCTCGCGGCTGGAAACGCAGCATTCGGCGTGATGTGGGGAATTGCCGGCACGTTGGCACCTGGATCCGCCGGAATTGCCATGACAACCTGGGGCGCGAATGGTTTTGTGATCGTCATGGTAATCGCAGTCAGTTCATTTTTGCTACTGCTGTTGATTCGACGAATCGTCTCTTCCAATTGAATGTGAATCAGGAACACTCACCATGACAATTGGATGCACTAGACATTCCCGATTATTTTTTTCAGTTCTTCAAGTGAACTACACGGCGCAGAACAGGTGAATCCACTGCAAAGATACGCAACCACATCGGTACCGCCGGATTTTTCTTTCAGCAGTCCTGGAAGTCCTTCATCTGCGTCCAGCGGGATTGGAAATACCATCGTGTTTAGCGGAGCAGCTTCACTACAAGCATCCGCCCATTCGTTAATATTGTCAAGTTTGCCTCGAATCACCACAATCGGACTTGGATTGATCGTTTCCTCAATTGCAATTACGCTGGTACCAAATGCCGACGGCAGGTGCAGTGCCGCCGGGTGAAGTGCATGCATGGTTTTTGTCGCAGCGTCCATGTATCGATTTTCACCTAGCAAATAAGCTGCCTTGGCTAGAACCTGTGCAGCAATTCCGTTACCGGAGGGAGTCGCCTCGTCATGAGTTGGTACGGCGCGATGAAGCAATGTTTCGTGATCATCCGAGGTAAAGTGAAATGCACCCGTCGTCGGGTCTGTGAATTGATCCAGTAGAACATCTAACAGTTCCATTGCAAAATTCAGGTCAGAATTGCTCCACCTAGCCTGCAATAGTTCGAGAATACCATCCGCCAAGAATGCATAATCATCAAGATACGCGTTCAAATGCGCTCTATTGTCTTTGGCTGTTGCAAGCAATCTGCCATTTTTCCACATTTGAGTATGTACAAATTCGAGCGCGCGCGCTGCTGAGTCGATGAAGTCCGGTCGCTTGAGCAGTCTGCCAGCTCTGGCCATCGCTTTGATCATGAGACCGTTCCATGATGCGAGAATTTTTTCATCCCGATCGGGCGGAATTCGTCTGCTGCGAACTGAAAACAACTTTTGACGGGCACTTTCAAGTAATATCGGAATTTCCGAACTCGGTATTCCAGATCGTTCGGCAACGACACTGAGCGGATTGGCCACTCTCAAGTGCCAATTGTCCTCAAAATTCGGTTCACCTCGAAGTCCATAGCGAATGTCTACAACCTTAAATTCTTCATAGGAAAGCTCTTCTTTCAGTTCCTCAACTGTCCAAACGTAGAATTTCCCTTCTTCACCCTCAGAATCCGCATCAATTGTGGAATAATACCCGCCGTTTTCGGATTGCATTTCCCGCACTACCCATTCGCCTGTCTGTACTGCAATATCGAGAAAATCCTGGCGATTGTTCAAAATTCCCGCGTCAACATAGACTGGAAGCAACTGTGCATTGTCATACAGCATCTTCTCAAAATGAGGGATTTCCCACTTCGCATCCACTGAATATCGGCAGAATCCTCCACCAATTTGATCACGCAAACCGCCATTCGCCATTGCCTCCAGCGTATGCACTGTAATGTCGATGGCTCTTTCCTTTTTTGCTGCGCTGGCTTGCCGCCGTCGTCCAAACGCCAGCAATAGTATTAATTGGGTAGGATGTGGAAACTTCGGTGCATCACCGAAACCTCCATAAACAGGGTCATACTGCTGAAAAAGTTCCTGAACCGCGGACTCCATGAGTGATTCCTCTAGCGGCAGTTCGCTATTGCTTGCCACTGTTCTTAGACGCGCAAAGGCGTCTTTTATAACCTTGTTGTGTTGCGCAAGATGCTGTTTCTTTTCCTGATACTGCTCTGCGACATTTTCAAGAAGAGAGCCAAAAGATGGCATTCCAGCGCGCGGTGTATCGGGGAAATAGGTACCGACATACACCGGGGTGTGTTCGTCTGGAGTGAGGAACGCTGTCAGTGGCCATCCTCCAGCACGTTGATTGAACATCTGATGTGCAGTTTGGTAGACCTTGTCGAGGTCTGGACGTTCTTCCCGATCAACCTTGATGCAAATATAGTTTTCATTCATGATTTCGGCAATTTCTTCGTCCTCGAATGACTCTCGCTCCATCACATGGCACCAATGACATGCGGAGTAGCCGATTGACAGGAGAATCAGTCGATTTTCATTTTTTGCTCTTTCCAGTGCCTCTGGACCCCAAGGATACCAGTCAACAGGATTGTAGGCATGCTGGAGTAGATAGGGACTTGTTTCGTTGATCAGTCTATTCGGACTGAGTGTTCCTTCATTCATTTGTAAACCTTGATGATTTGATATCCGGCACTGCTCTCGCACAAAACCGAGCCAAGATCGAATGTATACTAAAAATTGAAAAAGACATCTCTACCGCCATTTTCAGGTAATTCAACAAATACTTCAATTACTGACTGTCAAAATCGAATGATTACATATCCAGAAATTGATCCAGTTGCGCTTGATCTTGGAATTCTGCAGATTCGGTGGTATGGAGTTGCTTATTTCGCTGGCATAGTCGGCGCTATAGTGCTGGGCAGGGTCAGAGCCTCTACTTCATTATCTCCGATTTCCAAAACTCAGGTCACTGACCTGATTCTCTATATCGCCCTTGGCGCAATCCTCGGTGGACGAATCGGATATTCATTGTTTTACCATTTCCTCCATTACATCACGAATCCGATTGATATATTCAAAATTTGGGAGGGTGGCATGTCCTTTCACGGCGGATTATTGGGTGCCGCCGCTGGCGGTCTCATTTTCAGCCGTAAATTCAAAGTGTCATTTATTCGATTGGCAGATTTTGCAAGTCCGCTCTGTGCCATCGGTTTTTTCTTCGGGCGAATTGCAAACTTCATCAATCAAGAACTATGGGGACGACCGACCGAAGTGGCTTGGGGCATGATTTTTCCAGTTGATCCCCTACAGCTTGCAAGACACCCTTCACAACTATATGAAGCTGCTTTGGAGGGAGTCGCACTATTTGCAATACTATGGCTTTATTCCTCAAAACCCAAAGCAACAGGAGCTGTCACAGGGTTATTTCTGACCTGTTATGGGGCATTTCGAATATTCGTGGAGTTGTTTCGCGAACCCGATGCAGTTCCAGGATTCATCATTTCCGACTGGGGGACAATGGGACAGGTACTTTCCGTGCCACTTATAATTTTCGGTATCAGCCTATATTTTCTAGCACAGAAAAACACGTTTGCCTCCAAGTGACCGACCCGCAGACCGCAAAGCTCCGTCAGCATCTGGACGAATTGGCAATTCCTTATGAATTAATGCCATGTGATCCGGATCTAGCAGATACTCAAGTTTTCATTGAACACTATGGGTACGCAGTGGAAGACTCTGCAAACACGATTGTCGTTAAGTCGAAGTCAGGCGAAGAAAAGTTTGCTGCTTGCGTGGTATTGGCAAATTGCCGTCTGGATGTAAATCACGTCGTTAGAAAGAAACTTGGCGCGAGGAAAGTATCGTTCGCAGGTGCAGAAGAAACTCAACGGATTACAGGAATGACGGTTGGAGGGGTCACTGCGATCGGATTACCGGATAGTCTGCCTCTATGGGTGGACAGTGCAGTCATGCAGCGAGAGAATATCATTCTAGGCGGATCAAGTCGTAGCTGGAAAATTCTCATTTCTTCTGAGGTTTTCCTACATACTCCCAATACGGAAATTGTCGAAGGACTTGCCCGCCCTATTCAATCTTCCTCGTCATGAGAGCGCTTAGAGCAACAACAGACCTTTGTAAAAGGGAAGCCAAGCAACGAACAGTATTGCCAGAGCTGCCAGGTCCAACCAAATTATGTTCTTGTAGCGATTACGCGATTTCTTACTTTTATCCGACATCATAATTTTGCACATGGTCATGTCTAGTGGAATTATAAAAAAGAGCATCGGAACCAGCGTAGGCGCAATCAGAGTCGGGAACATCATCAGTCCGGACTTGTGTGTCTCTCCGAATGAAAAAAGAGCAGAAACTGTCAGCATCAGCACCAGTAAATAGAGCATCGCTCGAAGCGGTCCCACATAACTGAAAAACTGAATCATCATTCTCACCGAATTTTAGCTGGCTATTTGCCGGAGCGTTTGCGCAGTGATTTTCTGTAACTTGTGATTCGATCGACCAAACCAGGCACGTTGACTGACTCAATCAAATCCGCCATGTCTTCCGAGCGGGTATCGGGAACCGCGACTCTCAGCATTTGTTTCACATGCTCGCTCGCGATTGCCGCTCCCGCTTGCTTTGCAAATTCGATCTGTTCCGACCATTCTTCCTGACTCGCAATCTGCGTTAGGAAACCCATCTTCAGCGCTTCTGAAGCATCGAATACTCGAGTATTGATCAACACGTTGATTGCATTATCCGTTCCAATCCGATGTGCAAGACGCCTGGTTCCGAGCACAATTCCAAAATTCAGCCCCGGCATGCAGAATCGACTGCCAGCTTCCGCAATTCGAATGTTACACGAACACACGAGGTCAGCTCCCGCTCCGAATGCCATGGAATGTACAAGTGCAACAGTTAGAAACGGTGCGTGATGCACTGCCTGGAGCATTGTCTCAACCTTGAGAATTCGATCTGCTACTTCGCTCTCGCTTTCCAAGTTGCTAAGATCAAAACCTGAACAAAAAGAATTGCCGTTTCCCCGAATAACTAACGTTCGAGTGCCGTCAGTGCACGACTCACTGAACGTATCGGTCAAAGCCTCAACCAACTCTGCACTCAGTGAATTTGCGCGTTCAGGTCGATTCAGTGACAAAAATTTCAGCGTTTCATTACATTCGACTAGGAGTACGGCCATGAAGTGTGCACCTTTTTCGATTCGGTATAATCAAACAGCAATCATATACGAAATGACGGTAAGTTCGACGAGATCGATCGAATACAACCGTCGGGGAACAGATTTGATGGACTCAACCAATCCAGTTCTAGTCGAAGTCATTCGCGGCGATATGGTTGAGAGTTTCCATCGAGGCGCTGCCATCGTGATGAATGCACAAGGTGATACGGTCGCAGCATTCGGTGATGTAAATCGTCCTATTTATGCGAGATCAGCAATCAAACCACTGCAGGCCATCGTGCTAGCAGAATCCGGTGCTTTAGAGCGCTACAAACTAGGAAACGAACAAATTGCGCTTGCCTGCGCTTCGCATTCTGGAGAATCTACACATGTAGACGGAGTGCGTAGGTGGTTGGAGAAAATCGGATTGGATGAGTCCGTGCTTGAGTGCGGTGTGCAATATCCCTCTCATCACCACACTCAAATTGAAATGATTCGCGAAGGAATTGAAGCGAATTCTCTACACAATAACTGTTCTGGAAAACATGCAGGATTCATTACTGTTGCCAAGCACAACGATGAACCAATTAAAGGCTATATCAAGCGTTCGCATCCAGTCCAGCAAGACGTCCTGAAGGTGCTTCAGGAACTGACTGAGGAACCGTTGCAAGCACGACCATTCGGCACGGATGGCTGTGGCATTCCCGTAGTTGGTATCTCTCTACACGGCATTGCATCAGCCTTCGGGAAACTCGCCTCCGGTAATTTCGACTCCATTGCCCGTCAGAGCTCGGCTCACCGAATTTGTTCGGCAATGGCGGAATTTCCGGAACTTGTCGGCGGCGAAAATCGTTTCTGTACAGTGGTTCCCTTGGCCACACACGGAAGAGTGCTAATCAAAATGGGAGCAGAAGGCATGTACACAGGGATGACTGTCGACTCGAATCCACTCGGGTTTGCATTGAAGATCGACGACGGTTCAAGACGTGCAGCCGAGGTTGCAATGGGTTGGCTAATCTCAAGATTCTGCAATGTGAACGCAGAAATGGCTGATAAATTGAAACCATGGTTTCAGCCGGAAGTGAAAACTGTCGCAAATATGTCAGCAGGAGTTATCCTGCCTTCCATACAATAACGCTAGGACAGTTCACAAATTTTCAGGAGAATCGGCAATATGTACGAATACGAAGCCTTTAATGATCCGATGCAGCGTCCTCGCTACACCGGAATATCCACATTTATGCGTGCACCGCATTCGGAAAGTTGGGACAATGTCGATATAGGTTTGGTGGGAGTTCCTTTTGATGGTGGCGTTACCAATCGTACCGGCGCCAGACACGGTCCCCGAGAAATCAGAAACCAGTCGAGTCTGATGAGACGCAAGAATCAGTCGTCTGGAATCTGCCCTTACGACCTTTGCAACATCGCAGACTTGGGAGACGCCTGGATTCAGAAGCCATTTCACCTTGAAGAAAGTCTGGATGAAATCGAATACTATTTCAGTCAGATTCATAAACGCGGTATTGTGCCTGTTTCTGCGGGCGGTGATCACTCGGTCACCCTTCCGATCTATCGTGCAATTGCGTGTGAACACACGGTCGGCATGGTACATTTCGATGCCCACTGCGATACCGGGGATGACTATCTCGGCTCTAAGTTTCATCACGGCGCCCCTTTCAGAAGAGCGGTAGAGGAAGGATTGCTGGATCCAAAGCGAACCATTCAGATCGGAATCCGCGGCAGTCTGAATGATCTGGATATCTGGAAATTCAGTCACGATACCGGTATGCGAGTGGTTTACATGGAAGAATTTGCAGAAAGGGGGTGGAAGTCAATCATGGAGGAAGCGCGAAACATCGTCGGCGACGGCCCGACTTATATCAGTTTCGATGTAGACGGGCTGGATCCGGTCTATGCGCCAGGCACCGGAACGCCAGAAGTCGGAGGGTTTACCACTCTCGAAGCGCAGATGATGATTCGTTCTCTTCAGGGGCTGAATCTTATAGGCGGCGATGTTGTCGAAGTAGCTCCACCGTTTGATCCTTCGGGTAATACCGCCTTGGTAGGAGCAACTATGATGTTCGAGATTTTATGTGTCGTAGCTGATTCTGTCGGTCAGCGACTTAAACTTGAAGAGTGAAAATCTGATTACTTGATCCTTGCAAATTGATTTACCTGACCACGAGTTAGGAGCGATGTCTGCCAAAATCAGCGAGAGAAAAACTCTTTGATTCCATCTACCAGCAGCGATGCAGCTACCCGGTCAACATCAAGATGGGTCACCAGGCGCATCGGTGAGCCGGGAGTGACAATGATTTCGCTACCACGAAGAAACTGAGCCAGTTCATCGATCTGCTTGCGATCTGCCGATACGAATACCATGTTGGTTTGATTCTCGTGAAACTCAACATCAATCTCATCAATCGAAGACAACTGTTCTGCAATCCACTTTGCGTTATGGTGATCTTCTGCCAATCTTGCTACGTGATTTTTAACTGCGAACAAAGCTGCCGCAGCAACCACTCCGCTCTGACGCATTCCGCCTCCGACTAGTTTTCGCCAACGTCGAGCGCTACGAATGGTTTCACGGTCGCCACACAAAATCGAGCCCAGGGGGGCACCTAGTCCCTTTGAAAAACAGCACGACACTGTGTCAAACCGTTCGGTAATATCAACAACGTCAACTCCGTGAAATACAGCCGCATTGAAGACGCGTGCGCCATCAAGATGAAACGCCAGACCATTTGAATTCACAAATTGAGCAGCATCATCGAGATACTTCATCGGCAGCGCTTTGCCAGCAATCGTGTTTTCCAGACAGAATAGACGGGTGTTGGCAAAGTGATCATTATCGGGTTTGATAAAACTCCGAGCCACATCCAAATCTATTGTTCCGTTTTCTTCAAAATCCAGAGGCTGAGGTTGGATGCCACCTAGCACTGCACCGCCACCACCTTCATATTTGTAGGTGTGAGCAACCTGACCCACTATATACTCATCTCCTCGGCTGCAGTGCGCCAGCAGAGCTAGTAAATTCGCCTGCGTACCGCTGGTAACGAATAGTCCCAGCTTCCATTCCAAGCTTCTCCGCCATGACGTCCTGCAATCGATTGACTGTCGGGTCTTCTCCATAGACGTCATCGCCAACTTCCGCATGCTGCATCGCAGCGCGCATGGCATCTGTCGGTTTGGTTACGGTATCGCTGCGAAAATCAAAATTCATTCTGTTACCCCGTTCACTTAGAAATTGAAGATCATTCTCAGCAACTAGAAAATACTTCGCAATAAATATACTCAACTTGACTGATAGGCAAACCTGTAATTACAGGCTGATCAAATCGAAACCGATATTTCTTTACGAATTTTCCAGTCGACAGAATTCACAGCTACATTCTCATGTAGCAACAGAATTGGCGTACACTGGAGTTAAATCCTGCCTAATCCATTCAAAATTCCGACCGCGTCTAACTGAGTCTATAACTTTTCTTTCAATATTTTATTTGGTCTAGCTAAAAAGTTATGGCATTTTGTATGCAATATGCAATTTTGACGTTCCGATAAAAATGCTATATTAGAGTTTCATCTAATTTTTAAAATGGAGAAAGTGATATGACTCAAATCAAGAAGTCAATTTTGGCGGCCTTGAGCATGTTGGCACTGGTGCTTCTATCAGTCACGCAGGTTCAAGTTGCAGTCGCTGAATTTGATCCGAAAAAGCCGGTTGACTTTGTAATCATGGCCGGTAAAGGCGGTGGTGCTGACAAAATGGCTCGATTGATGCAATCCGTCATCGAGAAACATGATTTGTCTAGCAAGCCCTTGGTGCCGATCAACAAACCCGGCGGTTCTGGAGCGGAAGCTCTGGTTCACATGAATAATACCTCAGGCGCGGCAAAGGACCACACCGTGATGGTTACCTTGAACAGTTTCTACACAACGCCTCTGCGTCAACCGAACCTGGGAATTGATATCTCGACGTTCACTCCAATTGGAAGAATGGCGGAAGATACATTTCTGCTGTGGGTCAACAAAGACAGCGGCATTACCAATGTAGACGAGTTTGTGGCGGCAGCCAAGGCAGCTGGTGAAGACTGGATTATGGCCGGCACCGGCAAAGGGCAGGAAGATCAGTTAATTACTGACTTCTTGAACCGATCCTATGGTCTCGATATGACCTACGTTCCATTCAAGGGCGGCGGCCGTGTTGCCAAAGAACTTGCAGGTAACAATGCGAATTCCACCGTGAACAATCCGTCTGAGCAGTTGGGTTTCTATGAAGCTGGCAACACAGTACCGCTTGGAGCTTTTACAGACAATAGATTGGAAGTGTTCCCAGACGCGCCGACTTTCGGCGAACTTGGCAACGAATTCGTCTATTACATGCAAAGAAGCGTTGTTGGACCTCCCGGAATGTCTGCTGAAGCTGCAGCCTACTACCAGGACCTGTTCCAGAAAGTGTTCCAGACCGAAGAATGGCAGGAATACAGAAGCAAGAAAAGCCTGTATGGCGATTTCTTGAGCGGCGATGCATTGATGGAGTACTGGATGGTAGAACGTGCCATTCACGAAGTAATGCTGAAAGAAATCGGAGAGATTTAAATCCGACTAGCCTAAGTCGGTCCGGTAGTACGAATGCGTAAAGCTGAATTGGTAATGGCCGTAGTTATGGGCCATTGCCTCTATCGGATTGATGTGGAAGAGTGCTGAACTCCCCATCGGCTGGATCCCTCGAGAGGGTCCAGGCGGTGGGGCTTTTCCATTCTGGCTTTCCGCTGGAATGCTAGTGTGTTGTATTTGGATAATTGTTCGCTGGTTCCGCGGATACTTTGACACACACGGCGATACCCCCTACATGGACCGCGAAACGCTCGTGATATTTTTGACTGGCGCAATTTCCCTTACGGTCATGGTTGGATCAATCTATCTCGTCGGCGTCTATGGTGCAATACCACTCCTTCTGATCTTCTATATGAAATATATCGGTCGCCATCCATGGCCGCTGACCATTACGCTAGCAGTGATGTTTCCTGTTGTGACATTTTTCTTTTTTGAGATCGCACTTACCATAACGTTACCAAAAGGGTTAACCGAACCTCTTTTCTATCCGTTGTACGATATTTTCCTGTAAAAAGTGGAAACTCTCAGTCTTCTGTTAGACGGCTTTGCCGTCGCTCTAGAACCTCTCAATCTGGCTATGATTCTAGTTGGCGTCATCATTGGGCTTTTCATCGGAGCCATGCCAGGACTTGGCTCGGTGAATGGAGTTGCGATTCTGCTGCCGATGACGTTTCTGGTACCCCCAACTTCTGCGGTAATCTTCCTCGGAGCCATCTATTACGGGGCGATGTATGGCGGTGCAATCAGTTCAATCATGCTAGGAATACCGGGTGCTTCCACCGCGGTTGCAACAACCTTTGACGGTCGACCGATGGCCAAGGCAGGATTCGCTGATCAAGCTTTGATTGCTGCTGCTACAGCATCTTTCGTCGGTGGATCAATTTCCGTGATTCTTTTTACAATGTTCGCACCGCCTCTAGCAGAGGTAGCGTTGCGATTTGGTGCACCGGAAGAATTTGCACTGATGCTGCTTGCATTTGCAACGTTCATTGGACTCGGCGGTGATGACATCCCAAAGACATTTTTCTCAATCCTGATTGGACTGGTTCTCAGTGCAGTCGGACTTGATATTGTCAGCGGTGACCCACGGCTGATCTTTTTCGATATTCCAGGATTTTTTCACGGTGTGAATTTCCTAGTACTCGCTATCGGGATCTACGGAATCGGAGAAATTCTCTGGACGCTTGAAACCAACAAAGGTGAAGTAGAGGTATCGACCCTCGAACTCTCGTTCAAGAAGTTTATCACCAGCATCATTCGATTGAAGGATTCGATCATGGCCATGTGATGGGATCATTTCTCGGATTTTTCGTCGGTATTCTGCCAGCCGCTGGAGCCACTCCCGGATCGCTGATGGCATACGGCGTGGCAAAAACGATGGACAAAAATCCAGAAAGCTTCGGCAAAGGCAACGTCAAAGGTGTCGCCGCACCCGAAGCTGCGAATAATTCTGCCAGTACCGGTTCCATGCTGCCGATGCTGACTCTTGGAATTCCAGGCTCACCGACTACAGCAATTCTGCTGGGGGGCATGGTCATTTGGGGACTTGAGCCCGGACCCAGACTGTTCATCGACCAGACCGAATTTGTCTGGGGGCTGATCGCTAGTCTTTATGCAGCCAACCTGTTCGCACTATTGATCAACCTGGCATTCATTCCGGCATTTATCTGGGTACTCAGAATACCGTTCACCATCCTCGCGCCCACCATCTTCATACTTTGCATCGTGGGCGGTTATGCGCCCACTCTCGACATGCACGACGTCTGGCTCATGCTTCTATTCGGCGTGGTCGGCTATCTGATGAGAAAACTCGACTATCCGATGGCGCCCGCAGTGCTCGCAATTGTTTTGGGACCGCTTGCCGAGACTTCCATGCGACAGTCACTGATTATCGCGCATGGTTCGCCAGCAATTTTCTTTGAACGGCCTATTTCCGCAGGGATCATGGTTTGTGCGATAATTCTCCTACTGTTGCCGTTGGTAAAAATCTTTACAAGAAAAAGAAAATAAGCCGTTCGATCCTAATTCTCACAACTAGACTTGGAGGTCTGAATACCCGTGAATTCAGAAATAACCGGGCAGCCTCACTTTAAACATCTTTTCAGTCCGCTCACCCTGGGACACAAGACGCTCAAGCATCGATTGAATTTTGGCGCGCATACTGCCAACATGGCAGTTGACGGACTCCCAATGGAACGTCACCATGGCTATTACTTGGAAAGAGCGATTGGGGGAGCAGCCATGATTGTGGTAGAACCCGTTCCAGTTCATCGTACAGCCGTCCTGACTCGCGGAAATTTTCGTCAAGGAGACGACAGCATAATTCCGCACTTTCGCAAAATCACAGACAGCTGCCATGAGTATGAAACCGTGATGATTCAGCAACTGTACCATGTTGGAGCGCACGGAGACTGGGATAACTCTTTCGCACCGAACTGGTCGCCGTCCGGTATGCCTTCCATGCATGACCACGACGGCAGCGTCGCAATAACGCACAATCAAATTGTCGAGGTAATCGACTCGTTCGCGCGGGCTGCTGCTCGCGCACAACAGGCAGGATTCGACGGATGCGAACTGATGGCTGCTTACAACGCAATTATCGAGCAGTTCTGGTCGCCCTTTACAAATCGAAGAAACGATTCTTATGGCGGTTCTTTCGAGAAAAGAATGAGGTTTTCGGTAGACTTGCTTGCTGCAATCCGCGAAGCAGTCGGGCCTGATTTCATTATCGGCGTCTGCACTAGCTATGACCCTGTCGAGTCTGACGTGCTGCCACTTGATGCCATGCAGGATATTGTTCGTTACCATGACGAACGCGGTCTCTTTGACTATGTAACCATAGGAACTGGAGGGTATTACAACCACACAATGATCATACCGAATGCATTGCACGAAGATCAACTGGGTGTTCCCTTTGCAGCAAAAATCCGCGAGGCAGTTACCTATTCAAAAGTTCAGGCTGAAAGTCACATACGGACTCCAGAGACCGCAGATTACGTTATCGGCTCTGGAAGTGCAGACATGGTCAGCATTGTCAGAGGGCAAATCGCAGACCCTCATCTGGCAAACAAAGCTATGCAGGGTCGTGCTGATGACATCAGACCTTGTCTGTCCTGCAATCAAATGTGCTGGGGGCGTAGATACAAGGATTACTGGATCAGCTGCCTGATCAATCCATCAGCTGGGCGTGAGTTCGAGTGGGGCGGAGATCGATTCACAAAAGCGAAAGTCAGCCGAAAAATACTGGTTGTCGGTGGCGGTCCTGCAGGTTGCGAAGCGGCTCGGGTTGCGGCAGAACGCGGACATGATGTCACTTTGGTTGAGGCTTCCGGAGAGCTTGGGGGTCAGTTTCGACTAGCCGGACAGCAGCCGAGAAGAGGACAAATTCTTGACTTTATTGCGTGGTTTGAGAGACAGCTCAATCGAACTGGAGTCGAAGTTCTGTTCAATTCGCCTTTCTTCTCCGAAGATGTGATTGCGTTCGAGGCAGATGCTGTAGTACTTGCAACGGGATCAATTCCATCACAAACCGGATATCAGCGTGGCATACCGACTCGCGACACGTTGCCAGGTATCGACTGTGAAAATGTCTGGGATGTGGAAGACGTCATGAACCGCTCTGCAAAGTTGGGCAAGTCCGTACTGTTGCTTGATGACGTAGGAACCTGGAAAGCTGGGGGAACTGCACTTCAAATGGTTGAAAAAGGACACGAACTCTCAATCGTAACGCCCTACCCGGTTGTCGGACGGGAAATCACACGAACTGGCGCTGACCTCGCGCTGCGGGAACGACTGCGCAAAGCCGGAACTCGATTCTACTGTGAATCAGTGGTAACTGAGTGGAACGGAAATCAGGCTGGAATTAAGGACTTGCTGGATGGATCAGAGGTCGAAAAAGAATTCGACAGCCTTGTGCTTGCTACGGTGAACGTACCCGTAAATGAACTTAAAAACGAACTGGCCGGGAACAGTCGTTCGAAATTCATGTGATCGGAGATTGTCTGTCGCCCAGACAAACACCGGCTGCAACCTACGAGGGCCGGAAAGTCGGCATGCAACTGTAAATAGCTTCCTCGATAGAACTCGTCTGTGACCGACCAGTATCGACAGTCGATTTACCTATTGAACTGGAAGTACAAATACCCGTACCGGAATTGTGGTACCTGGATAGTTGTTCATTTTATAGGTGAACAGATGTCCATCATATTCGTAGGTAACGTCATAACCATCCGCCCTGCGTACTTCAACTTCTCTGTTAACTGTCGCACACTGTATTTCTGTTCCACTAGAACCCTTGTTCTGGGCATTTTTCTTTTCCAGATCGCTGGCAATTGACGCGCCCAGAATTCCGCCAAGAACAGCCCCAGCATCGCTGCTGTCATCAAGTTCCTTTCCAATCGCTCCACCGAGAAGGGCACCTAGAATTTCAGGGGTATGCGAAGAAGTCGAACCCGACCTGCTGACTTGAACTTCCCGACATTCTTTCGTTGGCCTTACTTCTTGCACAGTAACATATCGCTCCGTGGTTGAAATAACCCGCGCCTCTCCGTTTATGGAGGGTGGTGAAGCAGCAATCACAACTGCACTCCCTGCAACGACAGTGAGTCCAAATAAAACTGTTGACAGATAAATTTTACTTTTCATGACTTTGCTCCCAATCATGCAAATTTTAAGCGCCTGATTCCTTCACACGTAAAAGTAGATTTCCTTCCCACAATGCGCAACGGTAATCAATAGCATATTCAATACTCTAAATAATTATATGTTTCTTTTGACACTCTTTGAACAGCATTTGTTCCTTACAAATTTCTGAAATCAAGCAGTCATTCAGGCACTTTCAATAATGTCTGTCATAGTATTTGTTCTGAAATTGTAACGGCAACCTCACTCGTTATTTTTGGTTCAATTGCCCCGGTCTCACCAAAGAAATCTCCACTTGCCGCTTGAGCGGTGCCGGACCGCGAAATTCGAGCGACTATGGAAATTTTATCAAAAGCCGAAATTGTCATATTTGGAACCATCGCCGAGTTGTCATCCAGTTCAATGACAAGCGGCAGGTCTTTCACTTGCCGTTTGACAACTGCCAGCGGCACGGCAGGGCCCTGCATCGCCCTGGCAAATATAAACACTGAATCCTGAGGATCGACCTGTTCCAATATGGCCGGTTCGACAGAAACACTGACGCGTACTGATTGGCCTGCAGCCACTGTTGACGCCCCATCACCGGAAGAACTGCTAGTACTGGCAATTTCGGCTTCTGCGCCTGATATTAAACGTCTGATTTCAGAACGTACATCCTCATTTGGACTCAGTTGTACTGCTTTGCGCCAATAATCCAGTGCACTTTGATAATCTTGCCGAAGAGCTACAGCAAAGCCTGCTAGAAACAGTGCTCCGAAATGCTGCGGGTCCAATTCCAGTGCGCGATCGATTAACGATTCCGGTTCGCCCCGCAACTCTCCATTGTTTGCAAACGCACGTGCGTTAGCTTCGCGCACCAGTACATCAGCACTATCTCCGGCAGTTCCCGAAATTTCTTAAGGGCACCAGCTGCCTCTGCAAATCTTTCCTGAGCAACGAACAGCCGCGCCAGAGTATCCCAGCCCAGAGCATCATCGGGATGTTCCGCCAGTCGTCTCATCACTTCCTGCGTCTTTTCTTCAAACGCCTGTGCCTCGAGATTTGTTTCATTGTCCAGTAGACCGCCGTCCGCTACTTGCGTATTTGCGACTGGCGGATTGGAAATGACTGATGGCTGACCGAGCACAAGATACAGCGCACCAGCGGCAATCGGAATCACCGAAGCAACAGCAACAGCAGTCCATCGGTTGACTTTATCTCGGTTGCTGTGAATCTGAAAACCTTCTTCACCATTCGTTTCATCCAGATCGATCAATAGCCCGCGTTCGATCTCTTCCTGCAGGGTCTCGGCATCGGCTGATTCTATCTCGCCGACAGCGATTCTCTGTCTGAGCTCCTCTAGCCGTTGCCTGGCTACTTCTATATTCTTTGTTCGCGGGCAACTTCCTGGGAAATCGGCTCTCGCAGGATTACTCGTACAAGCGACCCCACGGCAACGCACACAAGCACGGTTGCGATCAGAAAGAAAAGGACGCTCATGCTGTCCGAATGGTCACTCGTCCAGTAAGCGTTGCGCTTTCTCGCGCTCGACAGGACTCAAATCGGAAATCGGTCTTCTTCTTGTACGGTGCGAATATAGCCAGAATGTAGAAACTGCAATAATCAAGAATATGGCGGGACCAAACCACAATAGTACGGTCGTTTTCTTCAAGGGCGGTCGATACAGAACAAAATCTCCAAAGCGCTCAACCATATGTTCGATGATTTCGTTATTGGATTTGCCGCTACGAACCATGTTGTACGTACGTTCTCGCAAGTCTCGTGCCAAACGCGCGTTTGAGTCCGCAAGGGTCTGGTTTTGGCATACCATGCATCGCAGTTCTTCCAACAGCTCCTCAAATCTCGTCTCCTGCTCGGGGGAGTCGAATTCAAGCATCACTTCTGCAGCATGCAATTGCTGCACTGAAAGCAGAATCAGAATCGAGCTGAAAAGGAATAATTTCAACTTTTTGAATCCTCGATCAACGGCAGAATGACACTAGTGACGTCGTTATACGTAATCGGGCCGATATGTTTGTAGACAATGACTCCGGAACGGTCGATCACGAAAGTTTCAGGAACCCCGTATACGCCCCAGTCAATCGCCGCCGCACCTTGCTTGTCTGCTATAGGCGTAACCAGATACGGGTTTCCCAAATCTTGCAACCAACGAAGCGCATCGTCAGGTTCATCCTGGTAATTCAGGCCGACAATCGGTATTCCGCGATCCTTCAACTCAAAAAGCACCTCATGCTCTTCTCTGCATGCAACACACCAACTGGCCCATACGTTCAACAGCCAAGCTTGCCCTTTCATGTCTTCAGGCCTGAAAGAAGCCTGTTCAAGATGAAGCAGTGGCAAATTAAATGACGGTGCGCTTTTCCCAACTAAAGGAGAGGGCACGCGAGTGGAGTCAAGCTTGAGTCCAGCTGCAAAGAATCCAGCCACCGACAGAAATACGATCAGTGGAATCAGGAATTTCGGTCGAGCGAAAAACGATTGCACTAAGCTCATGCCTCAGAGGCAACTTCCGCGGTCGCCGCGATTTGCTCCCGTCTTGTGCTCGGACTCCTCAACCGCTGGTCGGTTGCGGCTAGGAATCCACCAATTGCCATCAAAATTGCACCACCCCAAATCCAGCGTATGAACGGCTTGATATGTATTCTCAAGCTCCATGCACCATTGGTGTCCAGAGGCTCACCGATTGAAACATAAAGGTCGCGGATAAAACCGGGCCGAATTCCCGCTTCTGTCAGAGGGTTGGTTTGAGTCGCGTAGGTGCGTTTTTCGGGAAACACGGTTGCAATGTGCTTGCCTTCGCGACTTGCTTTAACGGTACCGAAAGAAGAAATGTAGTTGTCCTTCGTCTTATTCACTACGCCTTCAAAAAGAAAGGTGACTCCGCCCAATTCATAGGTATCGCCAGGCACCATGCGCAAATCTTGTTCTTTTTCATAAGTGCTGACCATGGTTACTCCAACAACGAACACTGCAATTCCGAAATGGGCGACCGACATCCCCCAGATACCGCGAGGCAGATTCATCAGCGCGCGTATTTTCTGTGGACGACGCTTGACTCGATCCAGCAATCCGAAAACAGTGGAAGATGCCGTCCATAGTGCCAATGTCAAGCCGACTGCAGCCAGCCATTGATACGGACCCTCACTCAAAAACGGCAATCCCAATCCCAGTACGAGGCTAAACACCAGCATCGGCCAAAGACTACCCATCAAGCGGCTGAATTGGTCGCGTTTCCAGCGCGTCAAAGCACCGATTCCGGCGAGCGCGGCAAGCGGCAGCGTCAATGGGATGAATACAGAATTGAAATACGGTGGACCCACTGAAACTTTTCCGAGTCCCAGAGCATCCAGAAAAAGCGGGTACAGCGTGCCCAGCAAAATGGTCGCAGCAGCAGTCACTAAAAATACATTGTTGAGGAGAATGCCAGCTTCGCGTGAAACAACGGAAAAGGTCCCGCTTGAACGAATACTGGGGGCTCTATATCCATAAATCGCAAGTGAACCGCCGATCACAAGACAAATCAATATAAGAAGAAATACACCGCGGGTTGGATCATTGGCAAAGGTGTGAACGGAAGTCAGCACACCAGAACGCACTAAAAATGCACCAATTAAACTCAGTGAAAAGGCCAGCATTGCAAGCAATACGGTCCACGATTTAAATAGACCGCGTTTTTCAGTTGCTGAAAGAGAATGTATCAGCGCAGTACCAACCAACCACGGCATGAACGAGGCGTTTTCCACCGGATCCCAGAACCACCATCCGCCCCAGCCGAGTTCGTAATAAGCCCACCAACTGCCGAGTGCAATCCCAAGAGTCAAAAAAATCCAAGCCATATTTGTCCAGGGTTTCGACCAACGCGCCCAGGCTGCATCCAGTCGCCCGCTGATCAATGCTGCCACGGCAAATGCAAACGCAACGGAAAATCCGACATAACCCATGTACAGCATTGGCGGATGGACCACCAGTCCGAAATCCTGCAGTAATGGATTCAATTCCTTGCCGTCGGCTACGGCCGGAATGAGTCGATTGAACGGATTTGAAGTTAATATCAGAAACAGCAGAAAACCAACGCTGACTACGCCGAGAACTGCAAGTACCTTTGCTAGAAAATCTGCCGGAACCTCGCGACTAAACCAAGACAGTGCCGCGGTCCAGCCAGCCAGCATCAACACCCACAATAGTAGTGAACCTTCATGCGCACCCCAGACTGCTGATATTCGATATATAAGTGGCAGTTCCGTGTTCGAGTTCTGGGCGACATATACAACGGAAAAATCATAAGTAATAAATGCATAAGTCAGGCAGAAAAAAGACAGCAGAAGTAACAAGAGCTGTGCTCTGGCTGCGTATCTGGCACTGGCGAGCAACGATGGCGCTCTCAATAGTGTCCCTGTTATCGGCAAAGCAGCCTGAGCAAACGCCATGCACAGTGCAAGAATTAAACAGAATTGGCCAAGTTCCGGAATCATGTTCGGTTGATATCTATTCCGTTTGAAGAGTCTGGGCAGCCTTCAAGGCATCGGCGACTTCAGGAGGCATATAGTTTTCGTCGTGCTTGGCAAGCACCTCGTCCGCCTGGAAGTTTCCCTGTGAGTCGAGTCTTCCCCTGGCGACTACGCCTTGACCCTCGCGGAAAAGATCCGGAAGAATACCGGTATATTGGACTGGTACTGTGCTTATCGTGTCTGTAACTTGAACTTCACCAGCATGTCGTTACCAGGCCGGTTAATACTTCCCTCGACAACCAGTCCGCCTATGCGAAACTGTTTTCCGATGGGCGCGTCTCCAGCTTTCACCTCGCTCGGACTGATGAAATACAACAGATTGCTCTGGAACGCATTCAACATCAGTGCAAGAGCGATAGACATCCCTACAACTATCAATCCGGCCATTCCTAAGCGTCTTGCTCTTCTCGGAGTCATGTTCAGAATAGTAATATTTGTGATCGAACCAAGTTTGCAGAACGCAGATTCTTGAATTCCACGAAGAAACTTCGTTTCTGCTGCACTCGTATATTATGTTGTATTGTCGCGCAATTGTCACACATACAAACTGCCCATTGACAGATTCTTGTTGAACCGGGTCCGACTGTGTTGATTGTCAGATGCCGAACAGAAGGTTCACCATCAAAATGACGACCACAAGAAATACGAGTGTCATGCCACTTCCAGCGCGTACGAAGTCAGCCACTCGATAGCCACCTGGACCTTGGATCAATGCGTTGACCTGATGCGTAGGGATCAAAAATGAATTGGAAGTAGCAAGTGCCACAGTCAGCGCAAACACTGAAGGATTCGCACCGATTTCAACCGCAATATTGATTGCGATCGGTACCAACAAGACCGTTGCGCCTACATTGGACATTACCAGTGTGAATACTGTTGTAAGAATTGCCAGAGCGAATAGAATCAGAAAATCCGGGGTGCCAGCCAACAAGTGCACGAACTGCTGAGCGATCCACAAAGCGGTTCCACTCAGTTCAACCGCGATTCCAAGCGGAATCAAACTAGCGAGGAGAAAGACGCTCTGCCATCCGATAGCATGATACGCTTCTTCAATTTTGATGACTCCCGAAATAATCATCAGAACTGCTCCGGTTAGCAGGGCCGCTGAAAGTCTCAAATCGGTAAAAAGAACGAGTCCAAGAGTCAACAGGAAAATCACCATCGCATACTTGAACTTTTTGGGCCTGAAGTCTTCTCGCGGAAAATCCGTTACAGCGACAAAATCAAGTGAGCTCACGAATCGCTGTAAATCTCGCCACAGACTATGCACAATAAGCGTGTCTCCGGCCTTCATCGGAACATCAATGAGATTCTCGCGCACCGGTTTTTCATCTCGATACAGCGCCAGCAGTGTAACGTGGTAATTTCTTCGATAACCCAGATCACCCATGGTTTTTCCGATCGCCAAGGATGAAGGTGGAATGACGACCTCCGCAATGCCGGACGTAGATGGGTTAAACGCGTCTTGAAATACCCTAATCTCGTTTTTCAAAATTAGATTGTAGGTTTCTGCGTTAGCCACAATCTGCTCATAGCGCCCCATGATGGCAATGTCGCAGTTGGGGACGATTTCTGTATTTCGTTCCGGCTCCACTACGAGTTTACCACCGACATTGATTGCGATAATCCGCTCATCGTAACCGCCTTCATCTTCTAATTCTCCGATTGTTCGGCCAATGATCGAACTGTTACTGTTTACTGACAGTTCATAAACTTGACCGGTAATTCCGTAGACATCTTGCACATAGCTCGCAACAGCACCCGTTTCCAGAGATTTGACAGTACCTGCGGGAAGTACGTATTTACCGAAAAAGTAAAAATAGCATCCACCAACGAGCAACAGCACCACACCAATTGGCGTCACGGCAAAAAGCGAAAAGGTTTCCAGCTGAGAGACATGTGGTGGAAGCTGCGGATTGGCAAAGATTATCAAGTCGTTTAGCAGAATCAATGGGCTTGAACCCACCATAGTCAGCGTACCTCCGAGAATAGCGCAATATCCCATCGGCAATAGCAGACGAGTCGGTGAAACTCCGCTGCGCTTGGATATGCGGTCAGCTACTGGCAAGAACAATGCGGCCGCTCCGATGTTCTGCATAAATCCCGAAATCAAGCCGGCTGTTCCCGAAATCAGAACCATGATGCGTCGTTCCGCATTCCCGGCAATCTGGAGAATTCTAGCTGCCAGGCGATTCAAGCCACCGGTTTTGTCCAGCCCGGCTCCCAATATCATGACCGCAATAATTGAAATAACCGCGTTGCTGGAAAAGCCATCAAATAGTCTGCTCATAGGCACCAGGCCACTAAAATCCGGGACTAGACTTGACAGGCCAATGATGACCATAATCAGAATTGCGACAACATCAACTCGGAAGACTTCTGTAACAAAAAGGAGGATCGTGACGCCCAGCAGCGCCAGGACCCAGATCATTGTGATTGTTAGTGGAATTGTTTCTGTCAACTATGTTCGCCCATTAAAATGGTGATCAAGTTGACACAAGGCGCATGCTGCTATTGGACAGTGCAACAGGTACAAAATAACTCCCAGCGAGAGATATTCAAGCTGCGTCTGGCTGTTGACATACTGGGTAGTTACATCCCTGCGAATGAAGTGTCTGCAATGTCGAGACGACAGGGTTTTCGACAGTATCGTTTGTCGTCTCACCAATTATAACGAAAACTGTATTGCAGCAATGTGCGAATGTGGTGTTTTTAGAGAATTTTCACCTGAAATTGAATGAATTGACTTCGCTCATCCTCAAAATTCTTGTTTTTGCTAAAATAGCAATTACTGCTGAATAACATAAACCGTGCGTCAAAAGAACACTCGATGAAATTCAATATCGCCTGTATCCAGAATTGTGCCACAGACAATCTGAGTCAAACCATTCAGGATTGTGAAGTTCTGTCTCGAGAAGCTTACGATGCTGGAGCTGATCTAATCTGTCTGCCCGAATTCTTTTCATATTTGAACCTTAACGAGAAGGGTCTGGATGTAGCGCCATTCCGGGAATCCGAACATCCAACTTTGGCAGCTTTTCAAGAGCTGTCACTCAAATTGCAAGTCTGGATTCTGCTGGGTTCGATAGCCATTTACGATTCTCAGGGGAAGAAACGAAATCGATCGATACTTTTGAATCCACGAGGAGAAATCGAGGTTCGATACGACAAGATCCACATGTTCGATGTAAATCTCCCGAATGGAGAAGTCTATCGAGAATCAGACGTATTCTCTCCCGGCAACAAAGCGGTTACTGCAAGCTTACCTTGGGGCGAGTTGGGACTGACGGTTTGCTATGATTTGCGCTTCCCGCATTTATACCGTTCGCTAGCACATGCCGGGGCAGATGTAATTTCTGTACCTGCCGCTTTTACTCGAACAACCGGACAAGCGCACTGGCATGTCATGCTTAGAAGTCGAGCCATTGAGACTGGCGCCTATGTCGTGGCACCCTGTCAATATGGAGATCATGGCAGAGCGAAAACGTACGGCCACTCATTGATTATTGACCCATGGGGGAGAATACTCGCGGATGGCGGAGAAGACAGAGGCTATATAATCGCCGAAGTCGACATGGAAGAAGTTAAGAATGCTCGGCGAATGATTCCGGCTCTTGAACATGACCGAGATTACACCAAACCCAATCTTGAACTACCGCAGACGCTTCGAAAAGTGTCTTAGCGACGCAACTGCTTAAAGTAATTTTCAACCTGAGCAAGGACGTTAAACTGATATGAGTGAGTCTTTATTAATAACGCTGATTATTCTGCCGATTGCCATAAGCATCGTAATCATGTTCTTGTTTCGTGGCAAAGGTCCGTCAACCGTGGACCAAGATTCCCACAACGATCACTAGAAAACTAAGAATCTTCATTACTGGCAAGGCAACCGATGGGTTGTTTTTGCTTTCAGCAGTAACGAAGAAAGATTCCGGCCCTGAGTTTCGGATCGAACCAGGTTGATTTCGGCGGCATTACCTGACCTGCATCGGCAACTTCCATCACTTCTTGAATGGTTGTGTTCACGCACGCAAATCCCAGTCGCCAGCCTTTTTTACATCTTTCCATCAATCCTGTAATGCCCTCGACTCCTGGCGCATAGCTAAGCCTTTCGTCGGAACGAGCGTTGTGAATTCCAAGCACCGATGCCAGAATTCTTTCTTGCAGTATCGAAACGTCAAGTGATCCAGCCGGATTGTCGGATGGAACCATTGCAGCAGGAATGCGTAAGCCATAAACCGAGTCGTCAACAATCATGGTGATGTCCCTGGATCGCATGGGGAGCAAGGCATCCAAGTCACGGGTATCTTTCTGCTGGACTTCAATGCCAGTTGCCGCAATCGCAGCAATCAATTCGGATTCATCCATGCCATTGAGGTCGCGAACGCAACGAAAATAGGAAAATATCCGCAACTGACTATCTGGAAACAAAGCAACTAGCAGATGATCCGCATTCGGGCACTCATCAACTCCTGCAGCACGCTGTTTTACAATTTCAGCGAATCTCGCACCTGACGCACAGCGGTGATGACCATCGGTCAGGTAGGTATATTCAATATCAGCAAACCCTTGCTCAAGTTGTGCAGACAGAGCTGAATCACTCACTTTCCAGACTGTCTGAGCAACATCATCCCAAGCTGTAAATTTTAAGTATGACTCGTCCTGCGTTACCTGTTCTACCACATCATCAATGTCACTTCGGTCTGCATAGGCTACGCAAATCGGACTGGATGTCACGCCGACGTTCTCCTGATAGCGCGTTAACATGCTTTCCTTTTCGAGTTGGGTATCTTCGTGCTTTTTCAGTCGCCCTTGCGTGTATTCATTGACCGGGATATCGGCGATAACACCGATCTGCTCATGTTGTCCGGCCTGCAGTTTGTAGAGATAGTATGCCGGAGACGTTGTGTTCAAGAATGCACCATTCTCCAGCAGTTGATTTAGGTGAGATTGATTGTGGTGGAGAATTTCCTCAAGCGTCGGACCTGAACCATCAAACTCTTCGAGTGAGCGCATGACGTTGACATAGTTTCCTGGGTGTAATCCAGCAAATTCTCGCCGCTCAGATGGTAGCATGGCATCATATGCTGGCGTCACCACGCTCGCTGCTCGTTTAGGCTCTACCAGATAGCCGTCGAATTTTCTGATTTTAGGCATCAGGAATTGTCCTGAGAGGCAAAATATTAGAGATTAGGAGTGTGAAGCGCGAAAATTATCCATGAAATTCGCCAGTTTTTCCACTCCTTCCATAGGCATGGAATTGTAAATGCTTGCGCGAATTCCACCGACACTTCGATGACCCGTAAGATTCACAAGACCCTGCAGTTCGGCATCCGCCAGAAACTTCGATTCCAAACCTTCATTCGGCAAACGGAATACAACATTCATGCGAGACCTGCTCTCACCTTCAACCGGGCAATTGTAAAACCCATTGCTGGCGTCAATCATTCCATACAGGTGTGCACATCTTGCTATGGACAATTTTTCAAATTCATCCACTCCGCCTTTATCTTTGTACCACTTGAGCACTTTTCCCGCGACATAAATCGGGAAAATTGCCGGCGTGTTAAAACGAGAGTTAGTAGCATAGTGAACTCGGTAGTCAAGGTAGGTGGGAAGATCCCGCGGGTGCGTCTCAAGCACCGACTTTCGCACGATCACGAGTGTAAGTCCTGATGGTCCCAGATTCTTCTGGGCACCGCCGTATGCAACGTCCATGAGATTCCAAGGAATGTGTCTGGAAAAGTAATCGGAAGACATATCGCCGACCAAAGGAACACCCAAGTCTGGCCAATCGTACAGTCGAACACCACCGATGGTTTCGTTAGTCGTGATATGGAGGTAGCGAGTATCCGGTTGCAGTTCGATTTCATTCTCGCTGGGTGTGCGACTAAACTGATCGTCTGTACCATCCCAAGCGATATACACGTTACCGTAAACCTGACTGTCCTTCATCGCAAGATTTGCCCAGTGTCCGCTATGTACAATGGCTGCCTTTTGCGAAGGTGCGAGTAAATTCATGGCTGTCATTGCGAACTGCAATGTCGCTCCGCCCTGAAGAAACAGAATTCCAAATTCGTCCGGAACGCGCAGCAGTTCCTTGACGAGCCCTACTGCTTCGTTGTGAACTTCATCATAGTGGGGACCGCGATGACTACACTCGATGAGTGACATCCCCGAATTTTTATAATTTACCAGTTCTGACTGAGTTTCCTCCAAGACCTCCACGGGTAGCATACATGGCCCTGGACAAAAGTTATAGACGCGATCGTTCAAGTGGACACCTCCTAATCGGCGCTAAGGGTTAATAAAATTTGTTAATTCACACGATTGATGGTGATGCCTTCCTTGAACGCATCAATGATTTCAACCACGCCCTCCGCAACCGCGTTTTGAGCCTGGTTTGTTGACGCACCGATATGGTGAGTCCCGTAAACGTTTGGATGTTTAGCGAGTTCCGAATCAAAGTCACCAGCTGAAGCAGCAGGCTCGTTTGCATAGACATCTAACCCGGCCCGAATGGACTTCGTATCCATGGCATGCAGCAATGCCTTTTCATCAACCACGTCGCCGCGCGAAGTATTCAGCAAAAATTGCTCCTTCACGCATTCGCGAAAGAAACCCTTCATCGATCATATTGCGGGTGCTGTCTGCGGCTGGAACATGAACGGTAACTATGTCGCTTCGAGCAGCGAGTTGTTCCAGTCCTTCTACTGTGCTTATACCGAGTGAAGCCATTCTTTTGAGCAAGCTTTCAGATCGACCCGGCTTTTCAACCATTAGTATATTCAAGCCAAAAGCATGTGCACGTTCAGCAACTGCCATACCGATGGCACCGGCTCCAACTATGCCGATAGTGCGTCCCATCAGACCTTGTGCTGATGAATATACCTTTTTATTCCAATGGCCTTCGCGCAGTTCTTGGACGTTATCCGGAATGTTGCGATCAATGGAGAGCAAGAGTCCCATCGTGAGTTCTGCAACTGCGACGGCATTTTTACCTGGGACATTGCAAACTGAAACATTTCGCTCTGCAGCGAATGCCTTGTCAATCGTATTGGTGCCCGCACCTGCACGGATAATGATCCGCAGATCAATCGCAGTTTCAATCGCAGCTTTTTCCACTCTTGTACTGCGAACGACCAGTGCATTGGCTTCTGTGATGACACCAGGCAAATCTTCTGCTTGCAAATCCGGTTGATAGCGGGTTTCGTGCCCGAAATTCTGAATCTGCTGCAACTGCTTCTGGGGAAATTTATCGGCAAATAGTATGTGCATTCTTTCTCAAAAATAAAAGTTTCATGCTATTGGAAATGAATTCAATTGTTCACAACTTCTCAGTTCTATTAAGGCAGTGCCGAAAGCAAGGCACTTACAACATTCAACAACAGAGGAATTGGCTCCAACTGCTCTTCGCTAGTTTTCCCCACACAGGGTTTGAGAAATACTTTCAACTATTCGGCTGGCAGAATACAACCTAGCCTGTGTAACAGACCAGAATTGAAACTGTGTTGCGGCAATGCTTTAGGATGACATGCAACCCGCATATCCTTGCTCACTTTGACAATCCATATCGCTTGAAATAAAAACCACAAGGAATAGATTATATTCAATATTTTTATTCATTCATGCCTTAAGGTGTAAATAATTGCGTGTAAACTCATGAAAATTACGAAAAATTCTTTCCTCTATTGATGTTGAAGCAAAGCAGTAGCTTAGAACAGGGCATAACAGTAAAATGTCCGGCGCCGATAGGTTGTTGCTGGCATGTATTTCGGGTCATCGGGCTTTCATTGCTGCGTAGTGGCGGCGCCCTGTTCCAGAATTTGCTTGGCTTCAACCTACACTACAATTATGCACTGCCGATTCAAGAATGTCCGGCTTGAACTGCTTTATAGACATGAGATCAAAATGTAAACACACATCATTGCGCCTTGGATCAACATTAAAATTAACTGCAATGACTCAGACTAGCCTTTTGCTAGTTGCACCAATCCAGATCATCCGGTGTGGCTGGATTAACACAACATGAAAGAATATCGAATGAACACAATGACATATACTCGAGTTGCACATGTTTCTATCTGCAAGCGTTTCACGCAACGTCTGCTCCAGATTATTATCGCCTTGACATTGGCAGCATCTTCATCGGTGGTATTGCAGTCAGTCGAAGCGGCTGATAAGAACAGCCAGGGAAACGTGCAAATGTCCAGGATAGATAGCAACTCGACGCACCCTGTCAGCGTGATTGACCGATCAGATATTGAACTGTCTGGAATGACGAATGTCTCAGACCTTCTGGCAAGTCGTAGGCTTTACAATAGTTTTGGTTTTGCACGACCATACATCCTCGGGAGCGGTCGAGCTGCACTGCTTGTGAACGGCCATCCAATTTCCGACACAACTTACAACCTCAACTCCCTGCCTATTTCAGCCATTGAACGAATTGAGGTTTTTGGCGGAAGCGCGTCCGTCTTTCACAGCAGCGGTTCCATCGCTGGCGCGATCAATATCATTCTTAGACGCGACTTTGAAGGAATCGAAGTCCAGTTGCACGGTGATCGTCCGACGGATCTAGGAGCAGATGCAGAGCACGTAAGTAGTTTATGGGGAGGTGCAATCGGAGCAGGTCATCTTACGATAGGTGTAGACGCTTTTTACAGAGACAACATTCGTGACGCTGATCGTGATCATACCCGCTCCATATGGACAGAGGACGGTTCGTTCGCTACTACGCATCGAATGTCTCATTCGGCGGTAACACAGTACTCATTCCCGTCACCACCAGTGCCGGCAATACTTTGATTGCACGTCATCTAGGCGATTGCCCAGATGACCTATACACCGGCGTACTCGAACGGCCTAGAGGCATACAAGGCTCAGGTTGTGGATTTCCGTACGGTAATTATCAGTGGAGTTGGGGTTGGCGTAATCGAGAGAGCGTGTTTTTAAACTTCGAACACCCATTCGGCGAGGCATCTGATATGTATGTCGATGCCCGATGGTCAAATACCGACTACATGTCTCGTATGGCGCCCTCAGTCGGCACTATTGAGTTACCAATCAACACCGAGCTGCCGAATGGCAACTCGATAGTGGACGAAGTATTGCCACTGCATGAAAGAAGTGGCATAACTTTACCCACGGATGGGAGCATTTTTGTGGCTCATCGCTTTTTAGGGCACGGCAACCGCGACACGCGAGTAGACATAGAAAATTATGATCTCGCGCTCGGCTTGAAAGGACAATTCGTGAGCGGTATCAACTATGACACACAAATTCGATACTATCGTCATGACAACATCCAGAAGGCTGGTACCTACGTGAGCGAAAACGCGTTAATGGATGCGATCACAGCAGGGCACTATGATCTAGAGAATCCACTATCGCAAAACTCAGATCATCTAAATGCAATTCGCGATACTGGGCTTCATCTGACCAAAGACTACATCACGAACCACAAGAAAATCCACGCAACCCTAAATGGAACCGCATTCAAACTTGACGGAGGCGATTCTCTTTGGGTAGCAGGAGCCGAGTTTGTCGATGAGGATAATCGGAATATTTACGATTATAGGGATGTAGAAAACAATCCTCTTGTAATCGAGTCCGACGTAATAATCGGGTCCGCTGGCAATTCATACGCAGGCAATATTCGCCGAAAGTCCGCGTATGCCGAGATGTCATTGCCTCTCCGTCAAAATTGGGATGTCGTGATTGCCGGACGACATGACGACTACCATGATGTCGGTGCAAAGTTCTCTCAGCAAATCTCAAGCCGCTTTCGCTTCAATGAGAATCTAACCGTCCGAGGTTCCTGGAGCAAAGGCGGTAGTCCACCCAGTCTGTATGCATTGCATCATGAGAAATCACTGGACTATCCATACATTTGCGATACGATTAATCTCGACAACCCGAATGACAATTGTGTTGAGTATCAGGTTCAACGCGAAAATATAAGCAATCCAAACCTGAAACCTGATGATTCCGAAAGTGTGAGCTTTGGATTTGTCAAAATTTAAGTATGTTTTGCGCTCAGCGCAGACTGGTTTCGAATCAAGCTATCAAAAACGCCAGTGTCATTGCCAGCTCAGATGATTGTCGACTTGAAAAAGAGTGGGCAATTACCAGCAAACGCAGATGTCATATTGGGTGATGGCAATCGAATCTCGAAAATCAGCAGCCCTTTATTCAACAGCGGAGCATCAGTTGTCTCCGGGGTCAATGTTCGCGCACAACCGACTGGCAAACTGATTGGGCAGACATGGATTTTGAAGTTCGTTGGCTTCACCTGATGCAACCCAAGTCATACGTGGCTGGCGTACCAAATCCAGACGATACACCGAGTGAGCGAGTTCATGCAACGCTTCTCGCGAACAGAAACAATTTGACAGCGAGCTGGAATGTATCTTTCGTATCAGGTTTCTGGAATCCGCGAGAAACCTATCGTTACAAGTCGTGGATAGGACACGATGTTATGTTACGATGGGAAAATGCATTTGGCAAGGAAAACGTAGACCTTACTACTGGAATTTTGAATGTCGGCGACCGCGGTCCGGCCATTGATCCTACTAGACCTGGTGCAGATGGTGCGGTTTCAACATTGGATTCCCTGAGAGGCAGGACATTTTTTCTAACCACTAAAATGTCGTTTTGACGATAGTCGAACTGATTTATTGGTAAGCTGAGTGCCGGCACACTCAATGTTTGATGATGCCGTTCCGTGGCAGCAGTGAACGGTCAGATTTCAACACTGTAACAGTCGTGCCAGTTAACGTAGTGCCTGTTTGATGCCTGGAACTGCGAACGAGACGGACAGGCAATTCATTCCGTCTTCAATTCTGTCTTAGAAATTTGATCTCGAATCGCTTCGTCACGATCTTTCATAACTGTGAATCTACAAGACCAAATTATCAATTCGGCACTCTCCTGGATAGTAGCTGTCGTCCTTGTGCTATCTGGAACCGTTGTTGCGGTAGCAACAGAACCAACATCCCAAGTACCACCTCGATATATGGTTTCTGCTGCCCATCCAAAGGCAACTGAAGCTGGACTCGACATACTCCGTCGAGGTGGAAATGCAGTTGACGCAGCGATTGCAGTACAAATGGTACTAAATCTGGTTGAACCGCAGAGCTCTGGAATTGGCGGTGGTGGTTTCATGCTGTTCTATAAAGCCTCGACTCAAGAAGTCCTCTCTTACGATGGACGAGAAACTGCGCCTGCGGAGGTGACCTCTGACCTGTTCCTGACACCGGAAGGCGAACCAATGAAGTTTTTCGATGCTGTTTTAGGTGGACGCTCTGTCGGCGTGCCAGGTACTGTGGCAATGCTGGCTCAGGCCCACAAAGAACATGGGGAAATTCCTTGGGCGGAGTTGTTTGAACCAGCTATCAAGCTCGCGCGGGATGGATTCACTGTCGGTCATCGGCTCGCTTCGATGCTTGCCGGCGAACGCGCAGACCGACTGAAGACGTTTGCTGAAACTAGAGAATACTACTTTCCGAACGGCTCACCGCTTACAGCTGGAGATATTCGTACTAACTACGCTTTCGCAGAAACTTTAATTGAGATTGCACAACATGGGCCTGAAGCATTCTACAGAGGTGCAATTGCTGAAGATATCGTTGAGACAATTCGGCATGCACCCTATAGGAGTGGGTTACTTGCATTATCGGACCTTTCAGAATATCAAGCAATCCGCCGACCGCCAATTTGTCACCCATATCGAATTTATCGCATATGCGGAATGGGGCCGCCAAGCTCGGGCGCATTGACAGTCGGTCAGATACTCGGGCTACTGGAATACTATGACCTGAAATCTTTGGGTGCTAGCAATCCAATCAGTTGGCACCTCATTGCGGAAGCATCGAAACTTGCGTTTGCAGATAGAAATCGTTACTATGGCCGACTCCGATTTCGTCGAAGTTCCTACTGAAGGTTTGCTTGATCCAACGTATCTCGCTAACCGCTCCAGGCTGATCAAACTGGATTCTACATTGGACACACCCGCAAATCACGGGCTACCACCTGGACCTCCAGCTGTCAGTTACGCAAACGACCACGATGTGAGTCGTTCAGGTACAAGCCACATTTCAATTGTGGACTCCGAAGGCAATGCAGTGTCAATGACAGGCAGCATTGAAGGGCCATTCGGTTCCCACTTGATGGCTCACGGGTTTCTGCTCAACAATGAATTGACCGATTTTTCATTTGTTCCCGAAAAGGATGGCATGCAAATAGCGAATCGTGTAGAACCTGGAAAAAGACCACGCAGTTCAATGGCTCCCACTCTTGTATTCAACTTAGATGGTTCACTTCGACTCGTAGTGGGGTCACCGGGTGGCAGTCAAATTATCGGATACTTAGTCAAGACACTAATTGCAGTCTTGGATTGGGATATGGATATTCAGACAGCAATCGATTTGGGGAATGTTGTAAACCGGAACGGTACACCGACCTTGAAGAAGGAACTACGGCACAAATGCTGCAATCTCAGTTGGACAGTTTAGGACATCAGACCCGAGTACGCAGCTTGACGAGCGGGCTTCACGGCATTGAAATTGTAAACGGAGTATATGCGAGGAGGGCGCAGACCCTCGGCGGGAAGGAATTGCGCTGGGAGAGTAAGTAAGCCAGACTCGATTGAACATTGATCAGAGTCTAATTTTGATTGCTTGAAAAATCGTCGGGCGAAGCTCTCCAGCATCTACAACCGCCATCTTGAGTGTGGAACTCACCAGTCGTGATTCTGCCATCTCTTCACCAAATAATCTATAAATTCAACCGGTTTTCTCCGCTTACCTGGATATTTCATCTCGCACAATCGAACGATACCACTCGTTGCGATCGCGAGTGCTTACTGAGGCAAACCCAGCCTGCTCCAGTAACTTCATCATCTGTTCAGCCGTACAAAAGTGAAAATCCAATTTGGAGTAATCAAGCCAGTCCCTCACTCGTTGTGATTGAATCGTGGTTTCACTGCCTAGCCAGTCACTTCCGACAAATTCACCGCCGAATTTCAAGATGCGAAATATTTCTTCGTAAAATTTTTGTTTGTCCTCGATATGAATAATCGAATCTTTGGAAAACACGATGTCAATCGATTCATCTTCAAAGTCCAGCTCCCCTGATTCGACTAAGCGGTATGCAATCGACTTTGTCAAACCGGCTTCCACAGCTTCGTGTTCGGCTCGAGCAATCAGGCGATCAATAACGTCAATCCCAATAACCTTTTCTGCACCGTAATCAGTGACCAGCAAACGATCTATTCCTCCAATTCCGCAGCCTACATCCAACACCGTCTTTCCACGAACGACAGTACGTTTCAGAATTTCGTAAACTTCAGCCGTCCCTCCTGGTGAGAGGAATCCTTCTCCCCACAACCACTCAAGACCTCTTACAAATTTATCGTCATATGCCATACATGAACACCATTAAACTCGATCCGCTCCAAGCTGAATTCATTCTGTTGATTCGAAGTATGTGAACGGTACAAAAATCGCCACCCCAATTCACAGAACCTTACTCATATATACTCATATACTAGTGCCATTTGTTAATTTATTTGGCTTGGCATATTAACATGCCATATTCACAGGAGGAGAAAATTTTGGCAAAGGAGACATTGAAACAAAGGATTGATGCGGGCGATTTTGTAATTACTTGTGAACTCACTCCACCCAAAGGCACCGATCTTGTACCACTGTTTGAAAAAGCAGAACTGCTGAGAAATCTTGTACACGCTTTCAATCTGACCGAGTCTCACTCTGCGAGAATGGCCATGGAACCTACTGCGGTCGCACATCTATTGCTCGACCGAGGCATCGAACCAATCGTGCAAATGACCTCACGAGACAAGAATCGAATCGCAATTCAAGCAGGCATGCTGGGAGCGGCTGCTCTCGGAGTGCCAAATCTGGTTTTCATGGGAGGTGACCCACCAAAATACGGTGATCATCCGGATGCAAAACCTGTTTTCGACCTATTTGCTCGCAACTCCTTGAAGCCGTCAATGCCTTGAAGTCGGGGAACGGACTTAACCGGCAATGCTTTGAAAGGAACTCCAGATTTCTGCGTTGGGGCCGTTGTCAATCCAGGAGCTTCGGACCCAGAAGCCGAGATTGAAAACATGCATCGAAAAATCGAGGCTGGTGCTTCATTTCTTCAAACCCAAGCCGTATATAACATAGGTGAGTTTGTTGGATTTTTAGATAAAGCGGGTAAGGTTGAAGTTCCGGTCCTGGCCGGTGTCATTCCGATCAAATCCATCAAGATGGCACAGTACATGAACGATCGGGTACCCGGAATCAACATCCCCGATCATGTAATCGAAAAAATTGCTGAACAAGGTAAAGACAAGGAACGCATCGCAGAAACAAGCATTCAAATATCCGCCGACCTGGTAAGAGAACTACGACAAGTTGCAGGCGGCCTGCACATCATGGCGATCGGGTGGGAAGATAAAATTCCACAGATCCTGGATCGCGCCGGCTTTCATGCTTGAAAATATGCACTGATTTTCAGCACCGCCTGCGTATCAAGCTTTCGAGAAAATTATTTACTCACGAAACTCGGCTTCTTGGCCGGCATCTACAAGCCAACGCCACAGATAGCTGCAAAACTTAGTCTCACGATCACATCCAGAGTTGTTTCGTCGGCTTCTTGCTTCAATATTGTGACCGCAGTTCTAGCAAGCACAGTTTGCGCACACTGGCTGGATTTAAAAACTCGTGGATGCAAATCAATCGCAATTCCTCGACTAAGTAGACCAGTCGCCTTGCGCCCTTCAACTCTGATGATCGTTTGAGCACTGGATTGATCCACGCAGGTAGAAAATCCTTCAGAGGTGACTCTACCGAGAATCATTCGTATCTCCTCGCTACGGTGCTGTGGGGAAATCACGAGCCACTCATCCGGCCCGAGCCACGCGCACAAGATGTCGTCGTGTACCACGAATGTATTCGGTTCACGCGGGACATCAAATCCAAGCGATTGTTTGAACTCTTTCAAAACTAGCTCATCATCTGGCTGAATACGAATATTGAAATGTCCCAAAAATGCAAGTTCGGACAGCTTCACCTGTTTGAAGCTTACATCTGGAGAATTGTCACTGGGAATATCGGACAAAGGCGACAGTTCCTGAATTTGTCTAGACATTCTGTCGCTCCCCTTGAGAGTCATAGAATACCGGACTGCAAATCGTAGCCGGAATCGATTCTCCTGTCATCAGCGTCGAGTAAATGCGAGCTCCCATACGCGAATGCCCGCCTTTTACGACTGCTAATGCGATTGACCGGCCCAAGCAAGCACTCCAATAACTAGACGTAACGTGTCCAATCATGGGAACCGGATAGGCATTTGACGTCGCTTCCACTAGCTGACCGCCTTCAGGCAATACTTTATTCGGATCATCAGTAAGAAGCCCAATGAGCTGCTTCCGATCTTCTCTCATGCAATCGGACCGACTTAGCGATCGTTTGCCAAGACAATCTTTCTGCTTGGAGACAATCCAGTTCATTCCAAGGTCAATGGGAGTCATGGAACCGTCCGTATCCTGACCCACAATGATGAATCCCTTTTCGGCTCGTAGAACATGCATCGTTTCGGTGCCATAGGGTGTAATTTCGAATTCCTGACCGGCTTCATACACTTGTTTCCACACATGCATGCCGTAAATTGCTGGCACATTGAGCTCATAAGCGAGTTCTCCGCTGAAACTGATACGAAATATTCGGCCTGGTACGCCTGCTACCATGGCTTCTCTGAAAGTCATGAAAGGAAACTCCTCATTTGATGCCTTCAGATCAGGCGCTACCCTTTGCAATAGTTGACGAGCTTTCGGCCCGGAAATCGAAATGACCGCCCACTGTTCTGTTACTGAGGTGAAATACACCTTCATCCACGGCCACTCGGTCTGCCGCCACTGTTCCATCCATGTCAACACATGAGCCGCTCCGCCGGTTGTTGTCGTCATGTAGTAATGATTTTCTCCAAGTTTCGCCGTGACTCCATCATCCATGACCATGCCGTCTTCTCCAAGCATCAATCCATAGCGACAAGAGCCTGTAGTCAGCTTCGACCAGGAGTTGGTGTACACCAAATTCAAAAAATCAACTGCATCCGGTCCGTAGATTTCGATTTTGCCTAGGGTCGATGCATCCAGCATCGCGACCTGATTTCTTGCCGCCAAACACTCTCGGTCGACTGCTTGCTGCATGGTTTCGCCTGACTTGGGATAGTACCACGGTCTTTTCCACTGACCGACATTCTCAAATTCTGCGCTGTGCGTGACATGCCATTCATGCATCGCAGTCTTGCGTACCGGATCAAAAAATTCTGAGCCCAGTTCTCTTCCCGCAATTGCCCCGAATGTAACCGGTGTATAAAACGGACGGAAAGTCGTCGTGCCAGTCTCGGACATCTCCTGCCCCAAAGCCTTGGACAAGATTGCCATACCATTGATATTTCCCAGTTTCCCTTGATCTGTACCAAACCCGAGCAAAGTGTATCTCTTTAGATGCTCAATGGACTGATAGCCTTCCCGCGCCGCAATTTCAATGTCCTTTGCCGTTGTATCGTTCTGAAAATCGACAAACTGTTTCGATGTTTCCCGGGCATTTGCACTCGGCACTCGCCAAAGCGGCTGTATGTCATATTCCTCCGAACGTCGACCCAAATCCTCTCCATTCTTCTGGCCTTCGACCGCTTCATACCCGGCTAAACAGGCAGCGGCAACACCTGCTTCAAAACCTTCTTGGATTGCCGGCTCAGCCGAAAACACCGCGTTGGCGGCACCTACTGATTGTTCCATCTGAACTGAATCTCCTGGTACGAAGCAGGCTTTATTTGAATCGAACCAAGGTCTCGCGCCAGACTGCGCGTGTAAATGAACAGCAGGACTCCAACCACCAGAGACTGCGAGCAGGTCACAGTTGTAAACTCTCTTGGTACCAGTAATCGACTCAAGATCGTTCGAAAGTTCCATGACTTCCACTGCGGTAACTCGTTTTCGTCCTTTCGCACAAACAACAGCTGACTGGGCAAGAATTTTTACACCACGAGTAGCAAGCATTTCAGAATAAACGGTGGCCCCCCGGGAACGGACATCAATCAGGGCTTCAATCTGAATGTCCGCATCCAGCATGTCCAGAGCAGTTCTATAGGCGCTGTCGTTGTTGGTAAAAATCACTGCCCGATTGCCTGGCTTCACACCAAATCGGTTGACATACACCGAAACCGCGGAGGACAACATTACACCTGGCAGGTCGTTGTTACCGAAAACCAGCGGCCGCTCAATTGCGCCGGTAGCCAATACGACCTGTTTCGCACGGACTCGCCAATTTCGTTCTCGAGCACAGTCAGACGACGCATCAGCTAGATGATCGGTCACCCGTTCATTCAGAACCAGGAAGTTGCTGTCGTAGTATCCAACGACTGTGGTGCGTGTGAACAGACGAACATCCGGATACTCTGCAAGTTCCGTCAAAACACGCTCTAGCCACTTTCGATCATCGTCACAACCAGTTCGCAGAAATCCGCCGCCGAATTCATGATTTTCGTCCGCGATAATCACACGCGCTCCGGCACGAGCAGCACTCAAAGCTGCTGCTAATCCCGCTGGGCCACCGCCAGCAACCAGAACATCACACCATGCATTTACTTTGTCATAACGATCCGGGTCAGCATCCGACTGAACTTTGCCGAATCCGGCTGCTCTGCGGATTACTTTTTCATACAGCATCCATCCTTTTCGGGGATACATGAAAGTCTTGTAATAGAATCCAGCAGGAATAACTGGCGAAAACCACCCCATCACTGATGCGATATCAAAAGATAGGCTTGGCCAGCAGTTTACGCTTGATACTTCGAGCCCCTCGTAAATCTCCGTCTGAGTAGCACGCGGGTTAGGCACCGAACCTGATCCCGATTCAATCTGAAGCAAGGCATTCGGTTCTTCCGCACCAGCACCCATGATTCCTCGAGGTCTGTGATACTTAAAGCTGCGGGCGACCAAGTGGACACCATTGGCAAGCAAAGCTGAAGCGACAGTATCTCCTTCAAAACCTCTATATTGTTTCTTGTTGAAACGAAAGGTGATGGGCTTGGTGCGATTGATTCGACCGCCATTCGCGAGCCGGTACGGTTGATTCACTGCGAATCCTCCGGAATTGGATCAGTCGGCTTGTAGCTGCAAGCAAATTTATAGGTAACTGTATTTCGCTGGGCGTTGAACCAACGCCGGCATCCAGCACTGTGAAACCACTGCTCGTGTTGGTCACCTTTGATGTTTTCGCGCATGAAAAGATAGTCGGCCCACTCGACGTCTGAAAGATCGTCCGGCTTCGTGGGGCGAACGATATGCGCCTCACCTCCATAAGTGAACTCATCCTGTTCTCGCAAACCGCACCAGGGACAGTGGATCAAAAGCATAATTTGTCTTGCCTGCTTGGATGAAATTTAGTGGGCAACACCGGCAGCCCCATGCTCGTCAATCAGCGCACCCGAAATGAATCGGTCAAGTCCGAATGGTGCATTCAAACTGTGGGGCTCGTTGCGTGCGATCGTATGCGCAAATACCCAGCCTGATCCCGGAGTGGCCTTGAATCCGCCAGTGCCCCAGCCACAATTGAAAAACAAGCCATCTACAGGGGTTTTCCCAATAATGGGGCACGCATCGGGGCATACGTCAACGATACCCCCCCAGTGTCTGAGCATTCGCACACGAGAGAAAATCGGAAACAGCTCGACAATTGCAGCAACATTGCCTTCAATGGTAGAAAAGCTGCCGCGTTGACCATAACCAAGATAGGAATCGACTCCCGCCCCAATAACCAATTCGCCCTTGTCAGACTGACTGATATATCCATGCACGGCATTCGACATCACAACGGTATGCAAAATAGGCTTTATGGGTTCGGATACCAGTGCCTGCAGCGGGTGACTTTCAATCGGCATTCTGATACCGGCCATTTCCGCAAGCACACTTGAATGCCCTGCTGCAACGACTCCTACCTTGTCGGCGCGAATAAAGCCACGAGTAGTTTCGACTCCTTCTACTACGCCATTCGTTCTACGAATTCCAGTCACCTCACAGTTCTGCAAAATATCGACTCCCCTGCTATCCGCTGCTCTCGCAAATCCCCACGCAACGGCATCATGGCGAGCGATCCCACCACGAGGTTGAAACGACGCACCCAAAATTGGATATCTGGCGTTCGGCGAAGTGTTGATGACTGGAATGAGCTTCTTGATGTCCTGCGGATAAAGAACCTGACTGTCGATTCCGTTCAAACGATTGGCGTTGGATCGCCTGTAAATGTCTCGCATATCCTGCAGGTTGTGGCCAAGATTCATCACGCCGCGCTGGCTGAACATGACGTTGAAGTTCAGCTCCTGCGATAGCGACTCCCACAACACCAGGGATTTTTCATAAAGATGTGCGGCTTCATCCCACAGATAGTTGGATCGAACGATGGTTGTATTCCTACCGGTATTCCCGCCTCCAATCCAGCCTTTTTCGACTACTGCAACATTGGTGATGCCGTGCTCGGCTGCGAGATAGTAAGCAGTAGCAAGACCATGTCCGCCACCGCCGACGATAACTACATCATAAGATTGTTTCGGCTCAGGGTCTCGCCACGCACGCTGCCAGTTCGAGTGCTGGCTGAGTGCATGCCGGGCCAAACTGAAGATAGAGTACTTCTTCACTGCCTGACCGTTGAAATTGAAGTCAGTGCAATAGTATTAGCTATAGACTGGAAACCGACTACACAATTCCTTTACTTTACTCTTGATGTCGTTGATGACTGATTCATTTTGAACATCATCAAGAATGTCGCACATCCAGTGAGTCAAGGTACTCATCTCCTCTTCCTTGAAACCACGGGTGGTCGAGGCTGGGGAACCGATTCGCAGTCCGCTGGTGACAAAAGGAGAACGAGGGTCGTTCGGAACAGTATTCTTATTAACGGTAATATTGGCTTCTCCGAGTGCCGCAGCGGCGTCTTTGCCAGTCACATCCCTACCAATCAGATCAAGCAAAAACAGATGATCATCGGTACCGCCAGAGACGACTTTGTAACCTCGTTCCATAAAAACGGCAGCCATCGCTCGGGCATTATCCAGCACCTGCTGCTGGTATTCTTTGAATTCGGGTTCGAGAGCTTCCTTGAACGCAACCGCCTTACCAGCAATAACATGCATCATCGGCCCGCCTTGTCCGCCCGGGAACACTGCTGAAGCGAGTTTCTTCTGAATTTCCTCGTTCTTGCGTGCAAGTATCAATCCGCCTCTCGGGCCGCGCAGAGTTTTATGTGTCGTTGTGGTAGTGACATCCGCAATCGATACCGGATTCGGGTACAAACCGGCTGCAACCAGTCCGGCTACATGGGCCATGTCCACGAACAGGTAGGCACCGACACGATCGGCAATCTCGCGAAAACGGTCCCAATCCATAATTCTGGAGTAGGCCGAGAATCCCGCAACGATCATTTTGGGCTTGTGTTCATCCGCAAGGTCGCTGACCTGTGCGTAGTCGACGATGCCTTCTGAATCGACTCCGTACAGAACTGAGTTATAGATTTTTCCAGAAAAATTGACTTTAGCGCCATGCGTCAAGTGACCGCCATGGTCCAAACTCATCCCAAGCACCGTGTCATGTGGCTCAACCAGTGCCATGTAGACTGCAGAATTTGCCTGCGAGCCGGAATGCGGCTGGACATTTACATAGTCTGCATCAAATAGCTGTTTTGCTCTTTCAATCGCCAGATTTTCCGCCACATCGACGAACTCGCAACCACCGTAATAGCGCCGGCCTGGATAACCTTCGGCATACTTGTTCGTGAGTACCGAACCCTGAGCCTGTAGAACTCGCGCGCTAGTGTAGTTTTCGGAAGCGATCAGTTCGATATGCTCTTCTTGACGAACTTCCTCATTCTTGATTGCTTCCCATAGCGGCTCATCGTAATTTTCGATAGTGTCGGTCTTCCTGAACATTTTTGTCTCCTTGCTGGTTTCAGAAGCCCATTTCTCGGCTGAAATGCTGTCTTGGAATAAAGTGAACTTTACATTGTAATTGAAATTGTCAAGATTTAATTCTTGAGAATTCTATTGTCGGCAGGTGCACATGCTGTGCTTGCACTATAATTTACTAGTGATATGATCGTTCAAAATCAAATTCGACAAACACTGACTGAAGCACTCAATCCAGTTCATCTTGAAGTAATCAATGAAAGCGGTATGCACAGTGTACCTGCGAATTCTGAAACCCACTTCAAGGTAGTTGCCGTTTCAGAAAACTTCCGTGACCAATCCCTGGTTTTTCGACATCGCACGATCAACGAATTATTGGCGGAACAGATTGCAGGACCGGTACACGCGCTATCCATCCATGCGATGACACCAGAGGAGTGGCACGCAAGCGGTCAAACCGCTGCTGATTCTCCTCTTTGCAGGGGTGGCTCCAAAAAGCAGAGTTAATCTGCTTGCAAATCAATCACACCTGTGCCGTCTATGCGGCCACGCCTGAGATCATCCAGGGCGGCGTTTATGTCCTTCAACAGATAAGATACAACCGTTGGTTTAATGGGTATTTCAGCGGCGCGTTTCAGAAACTCCTCACCATCCTTTCGCGTCAGATTCGCTACTGACCGAATTATGCGTTCTCCCCAAAGATACTCATAAGGAAATGACGGAATATCACTCATGTGAATTCCTGCACAGATTACACTGCCACCCTTTCTGACTGCTTTCAAGGCGATCGGCACAAGTGGACCTGTTGGTGCAAAGATGATGGCTGCGTCGAGCACCGCCGGCATATCCTCATCCGATCCTCCCGCCCAAATCGCTCCGAGCCTACGGGCAACTTTCTGCCTTTCGACATCACCAGTCCTGGTTATTGCATAGACATCGCAGTTTTCATGCCGTACGAGCTGTAGCAGAATGCGTGCTGCGGAACCGAAACCATAAAATCCGATTGTTTGGGTACTGTCAGTTCCATTGGTATTCACGGCCATACGAAATGCGCGATAACCGATCAGCCCTGCACACAGCAGCGGAGCCAAATTCAAATCGCTCAAACCGGAATTCTGATTCAGCGGGAAACAGAAACGTGCATCGACTACACAGTAGTCCGCAAATCCACCGTTCAGGTGATAACCGGTAAATCGGGCATTTTCGCAGAGGTTTTCCTGTCCTTCTCGACAGTACCTGCAGGTCCCACAAGTCCATCCCAACCACGGTACGCCGACTCGCTGCCGGGATAGAAACCTGGTGCTCTAGATTCGATGACTTCACCAACAATCTGGTGACCTGGAACAATAGGAAGAGTCGGTGCGTGCAGTTCTCCGTCAACAATGTGCAAATCGGTTCGACAGATGCCGCACACTCGGTTTCGTATTAGTACTTGATTTGCTCCGGGCGAAGGACAATCAATTTGCTCAAGTGCCAGGGGTTTGCCGTATTCTTTCAGAAGTGCGGCGCGCACGGATCCGGTCCTTCAGTCTGCCTCTCTCAAGTCGCTAGATCGGTTTACTCAAGGAACCAGTCAATCTGATTTACGACGGCGAATTATTTGCGTTACACGAACTGTCAAAACCTTTTCCGATTTCTGATTGACCACCGTGCACAATTTTTCGACATAGCCACGATCCGTTCTAGAGGATGATGATTTCGTACTGAGAACTTCCACTTCCATGTGCAATGTGTCGCCGGGTCGTACCGGCAGCAACCAACGCAATTCATCCATGCCGGGAGACCCCATCCCCTGTTTCAGCATTCCTTCCTGGATGTACATTCGGAATACCAGAGCCAGCGTCTGAAAACCGCTGGCGATCAATCCTTTGAATTGAGAATTGGTTGCAGCTTCGACATTAATATGGAAAGGCTGCGGGTCATATTGAAGCGCGAATCTGATAATCTCGCTTTCAGTAAAGGTAACGCCGCCACTACTGAATTTGTCTCCAACATTAAACTCTTCAAAATACATGCGACTTCAAATCCTCTATGAAATTTCGGGGTTCAAGCTGTAATAACGAGCCATGGACTCTCTTGAGCGTTTGTAATGATATTTCATTTGATCGGGTACATAACGATATTCAGAACCGACTGGACATGCTATTCGAGAGAAGCAACTGTAAGCACAAGGGGAAGAATCCTGAATGCGGAATCGCGCACATTCATCCAGTCCGAAGGCGCCAATCTCCCTTACCGCGCCTGACGGACAAACCGTCTGACAGGGTTTATCCAAACAGGAGTGACAAGGATGATCGGCTTGATCTGGCTTGGTTGCAGGCAGTTGCTTTTCCAGCAGGAAAATGGAGCGATATGCAAACCAAGTTCCGAATTTCGGATGTATGCTGATGCCCATGGGAGTGGTGTAACTCCAGCCGGTTCGCTCTCCGATAGCTCGCAGTGAAATTGGGTAGCTCGAAGGATAGAGAATCATTGTTTCTGAATTTAGATAGTCTTTGGCGTATGTTGTCGCCAAATGGAGGCTGAAATTGTCGACTGGATCATTTCCATGCATTCCAAATGACTCTAACGAGTGCCACAGTTCATAGCCTGCATTGGCAATCAAAACCGCACTTGGATAGTCTTCCAATCGAAGATCCGGCACCGCTGGTACTAACAGGTCAGCAATAGAAGATGTATCAAATACATGATAGAGATTGATGCCGTTCGTCCGGAGATATTCGAGGCCGTCAGACTGATTCATATACTGTTCACCCAATACTTTCGTCTAAAATTCGATTGATGCAGGATTGATCATCCTCATTTCAAGGAGCGTGATTGTATCTGGATTGAATTTAAAGGAGATTATAAAGATAACTACACATTTTTGGGGCATATGAGTCTAAATCTGCTACCATCATCGTGAAGTTAAATGAATTAAAATAAATACATAGATATGACATACAACGCATCCGGCAAACATCACAGAGAGGGTATTTCAGTAATTGAACTGTTCGAATTATTTCCCAACGAACAGAAATCTGAATAGTGGTTTGAACGCTGGAGATAGGGACCACAAAGGACCTGTCCGCATTGTGATTCTCCCCATACTACAGTGAGAAAAAAACAAAAGACCCATACCATTTCATTGTCGCGATTGCAGGAAGTATTTCAGTGTTCGAACCGACACGGCAATGACCAGCTCAAAGATATCTTTACAGAAAAGTTCCAAATTGACAAACTATAGAATACTGATTGCGTTTGATGATGAACTTCATCAGACGGGTCATTTGGCGAATCGAGTTTCAACAAAGGACGATAATTTCAAGCCACTCCTGCGCAGACCGATTGGCTCCACCGTTGAATGCCGAGTCACAATCGATTACTGAAGTCGCAATTTAGATGTAGCCGCTATGGGGGTTGCACGTGTCCCGCATAAAATAGTCGTTTGGCTGGTCAAATTTGCCATCTGATCTGTCAAGCATCTTGCGCGTGTGTCGCACTGGCAGCAAGTGTGCTGACAGCCCTGCAAATTCAACAAAGATGAGACAAACCTTTTACAGCACAAATTCATATTAGTGAAATTGTGTATTTCAAGGCGAGTATGCTGCTTAAACTAGGACCCGCCGAAAGATCTGGGTATCATGGAACCATAATGTTGGAATATTTTGATAGAATGCGACGCCACCTGTTCCATTTGTTATGTTGCTTTTCTATAATGATTTAAACGTATTGCTGAATATATTTTTGATGGGAGGGCATTGGAATGCCTGATGCGGGTGGATTAGAATCTGTACGTAATTTTTCTTCGTGTGAAATTACTCAAATTGAACCCGACGTTCGCTTCGCTTTTATCCTCTCGCCAGAGTTTACATTGCTACCATTTGCTGGCTTTATAGACTCCGTCCGTCATTGCGCGGACGAACGCGACTTAAGTCGCCAGGTTTACTGTCACTGGACCTGTATCGGTCCAACGCTTGAACCAGTAAAATCAAGTTGCGGGGTAGAGGTTGCACCGTGGAAAACCTTCGACGATCCCCAAAACTACGACTATATTATTGTCGTAGGCGGCAGGCTCGCGGTCTTCGATCAGCATCGTCCTGAAACATTCGAGTTCCTACGTGAGGCCTCTGAAATCGGTGTTCCGCTTGTGGGATTGTGTACCGGGAGTTTTGCACTAGCCGAAGCTGGGCTTATGGACGAGATAAGATGCGCTGTTCATGCCGTTCATAAGAATGAACTGCTTGAACGCTATCCATTGGTAATTCCGATTGTCAATGAAATGTACGTCTCCGAAAATAATCGAATAACTTGCCCAGGCGGCACGGCGGCAATTGATTTAGCCATCGAAATCCTGACACAACATTGTGGTATCAACCGCGGCAGTAAGGCTTTGTTCGAACTAGTTATTGATAAACATCGAGATGCACGCCACATTGGAAAACTGCCTTTTGGGGAACTTCAAACCTGCGGTGACTGGCGAGTGGAAGAAGCCATCAGATTGATGAATCAAAGCATGAGTGAACCCATCTCAAGTGAGAATCTAGCTCAATGCCTGTCAATCAGCCGACGCCAACTTGATCGGGCATTTCAAACTCATGTCGGTAAGACTCCTCAGGAGCTATACCGTGACATGCGGCTCGAGCACGCCCGTTGGCGGTTGCTAAACAGCTCAAGAACAATTACTCAAATTGCTTATGAATGCGGATTCTCCGATTGCGCCCATTTCGCCCGCTGGTTCAAACGGAAGAACGGTCTCAGCCCAAAAAACTACAGACGCAGCAGGCGACGAGACTTTTGGTCGTCACCCGACGAATCAGAAACGCTATTAGCACACTGATAAAACTGGTGAACCACGGATCTGTTGGGTAGGGTATTGTAACTTGGCAAGACTAAGGCTGTATCATCACGCGATACGCAAAATGGCGAAAATTTTGGTTATCGATTCACTACTGTCCCAACGTTTAATTGAATAAAATCAATTGTTTAGATGATTCGGTCGGTTCGATTGTGTAATGCGTTTGACTAAGTAGTTGAAATAATGGAGTTTTCTCAAACAGAGTCAAACTCAAGGTCTGCAAAATTAAAAATTTGAGTCTTACAGTTGGCACAGGCGTCGACGGAACTGCTTGGAATTTTCAAGCCTGTGACACCCCATAAACGGCAATTAAATACATAAAAACAATACATTAGTACGACATTTCAAGTTAACGTTGGGACAGTAGTGTTATCGATTAAGTAGTCGACTTTGATCAACAATTCGTACTTTTTTTGAAATTATATATTTCGCATACCTCGCCACATTCTTGCCTCGACCAATCGTGCAATAAACGACATGGGCAGTGACAGAGCAAGATAGATAACACCTACAAGAAGGTAAAGGTGCATCGGCAGGAACGACATTGACGCTATGTCTTTAGCGGTCAACATCAACTCAGGTGTTGTGATGAGCGCGCATAGCGAGCTGTCCTTCAGCAACAGGATCAACATATTCAGCATCGGCGGCAGTACGATCCGAACCGCTAGAGGCAACATTATGTTCAGGAACGATTTTAAAGGAGTCATGCCTACCGCCAAGGCTGCTTCACGCTGCCCCGAATGTATAGCTTGAAACCCAGAGCGAAAGACCTCCGCGATGTATCCCCCCATGCTAAACCCCAAACCGATGACACCGGCCCAGAATGCATCGAGAACAATTCCGAGCCCAGGTAAACCGAAATAGATCAGAAACAAAATTACCAAAGTTGGAACGCCACGCGTGAATTCGACGTAGGCTTTACTGATCCATTGCAAAGTTTTCGAGTTGCTCATCCGACCGAGTGCAACCACCATACCGACCGCAACTGCCAGAATGTAGGAACACACCGTCAACCCCAACGTAACGTAGATTGCCGAATGGATCTGGGGCCACCAGCTATGCCAGTTCTGGTTGTAAACAGCTAGGAACTCAATCATTTCACATTTGCCTGGCTTGTTTCTCAAAGCGATCAGCTAGTCGTGCCAGCGGAAAACTCAGGCAAAAGTAGATTATTGCCACAAGAATATAGATAATTTCGGTATCAAAGGTTCGCGTAACCAGATTACGCGCAAAGAACATGATCTCAGGCGCAGCAATTGCTGAAACGATTGCCGTATCTTTCAGCAATCCGATGGCGTAGTTGGCCAAGGGTGGCAAGGTCACTCGCCATGTTTGCGGCAGGATAATGTCTCTCAGAGCACCCATCGGTGTCATTCCAACCGCAAGAGCAGCTTCGCGTTGTCCAGCATGAATGGCTCCAAATCCTGCACGAAATACTTCCGTCAGCATTGCGCCACCAATTAAACTAAGTCCGAAAACGGCAGCGGTAAATGGGTCAAGCTTCAAACCGGCATATGCCAGTCCGAAATACAGGATGAATAACACGGCGAGAGCCGGCAGTCCACGAAATACCTCAACAAAAATATTGATCGACCACAGCGCTAGCCGCTGAATCACAAAGATTACCAACTCTGTTGTAAAATTTTTTGGCGCACCCCCACGTCGATCGCCGTATGCCTTGATCGCGCCGAACACTAAACCGATGACAATGGCAAAGCAGAAGGTCAGAACTGTAATACTGATCGTATAGCCTGCTCCATTGAGCAAAGTGACAGCATACAATTGTATTTTTTCGGACAGAATCATCGCCATATGACACTGAAGTTACATCACTGGTCAATGACGGTCCAGCATCTGTCCTAAAAATGATTTCAGTCGTTCATGTGTCGGATTGTCGATGACCTGCTTTGCTGGACCGTGTTCCGCAATTCCACCGTCATCATCCATAAAGACAATTCGATCTGCAACCTCTCGGGCAAATGCGATTTCATGAGTCACGAGCATCATCGAGCGACCTTCAGCCGCAAGTTCCTGAATCGTGTTTAAAACTTCACCTACAAGTTCCGGATCAAGCGCAGAGGTGGGCTCGTCGAACAATAGCAGTTTGGGGCGTTGGGCCAAGGCCCGAGCGATAGCAACACGCTGTTGCTGTCCACCAGATAGTCGTTCTGGATATTCATCGAGCTTGTGTTCCATGTGCACCTTTTTCAGCATCTGTTCGGCTAAATCATGTGCTTCACTTTTTGCCATGCCATTGACCTTGATCTGTGCATTGCTGACCGATGTTGACGACAGTTTAAATGGCTATAAAAGAGACCTTGAAACCATGCCTATGGTTGCACGTTGGCGCGACAATTCTTTTTCCGACATGCTAGTGAATTCTTCACCTGTCTTCTTTTCACCGAACAGTTCTCCGTCGAGACATATGTGTCCCGCATTTGGAACCTCTAGATAATTCACGCACCTCAAGCAAGTCGATTTGCCACAGCCGGAGGGGCCAATTAGAGCAATCTTTTCTCCTCGCTTCAATTCGAGGTTGATTCCCTTTAAAACGTTGAGTGAACCGAATGATTTATGAAGATCTTCGACAATCAGAAGCTGGTCGTTCATTATCGTTGCCACTAAAATGAATTTGAAAAGCTGGTGGGGTTAGTTTTCATCTTTCCCCACCAGTAAAGTTAAAAAAGTATTTACAAGACTATTAGCAACTTGGCTGCTTCCAACCTTCTGGTCGGTCAACACCAGCGCGCTGATTTGATGGACCGGGATCAAACCAATGATCATCGCCCATGCCATATTTTGCTGCAATCTTTCTGATAGAGCAATCTGCCCAGAGTTCGGCAATGACTTCGTTGATGGCATCAATCAGTCCGGGATTATCCTTGTTAGCGGCAAAGATTGTGTTGCCAGCCTGAGTCAACTGAGGATAATCCGGGTTTTCACCTTCGCAAAATGCTACCTGGTGAACGCCCCAGTCCGGGTTTGTGCTGATGCCAAACTGAACCAGCGGCGGGTCGGCCATTAAAGCATCGACACGGCCTGTTATTAGATCGCGCATGGCTGCATCTGAAGTGTCGTACAGCTTCAGTGTAAGACCAGGTATCGTTTTCAGTTCATCTACCCAAGAAAAGCCCGTAATTGTCGCAACTGTTTTGTTTTCAAGCTCTTGGATTTTGCATAGGTTGCTATCGGACTTCTGCGCAATAGTAGCGCGGAAGTAGTAAATTGGGTCCGACAATGTCATTACCTCGGCCCGCGACCCTCGCCAACCCATCATGCCATGCATGACATCGACACGCCCAGCCTTTAGAGATGCGATCTCTGCCGACCACTCCATCAATGCCGGCACAACTTTGAGTCCCAGCTTGTCAGCGACCAATTGCATGATTTCGCCATCCACACCGATCAGCTTTCCATCCTGATAACCGGTACCCGGCATGTCACCGTTGAAGGCGACCGTAAGCTTACCTTCTTCAACAAGTGTAAAATCTGCTGCCGATGCTGAAAAGCTGATGACGCCCAAAGCAAGCAAACTGGCCGCCACTAAACTGTACAGTCCTGTAATATGGAAACTTAAGGTTTTCATAGAAATTCTCCCCGAAATCTTTCACGTTAAATTCGTCTCCTACTCAATGCACAATTACCAGTGCAAAAGTAGATAAAACGGTTCTTTTAAGGTTCGCAGGGAGTTCATCTAATTAATTGTATATTTGGGACATATTGCAGAATGTATAGTTAAGATATCGACTTTTTGACCAGTAATTGGACGAAACTTCAGAACCAAGTGTTGAGTTCGATTGAATAATGATCATTTTGGAGGCATTATTCAATCAAAATTGCCCCAATATCACTGCTGTCCCAAAAAAAATCTGAAAAGTGTATGTATCTTGTTGTTATTATTGATTTAAACACTGTTTTAGGAGTGTTCGCAACGTCAGCACATCTCGCTGGTCTACCAACGCACCAGAACAGTTCAATCCACAACAGGAAAATACGGAACTATTTGCAGCGGCAATTCGTTTTTCTCAGATCACGGATTATTTGCCATGGCCAATTTTCAATCGCTGTGTCCAACGCTACAACGGCAGCCGCTGGGTCAAGTCGTTTCGAAGTTCAGACCAATTTCGCTGCACGGAATTTGCTCAGCTGACCTATCGAGAAAGTCTGCGCGACATCGAAACCTGTTTGCGGGTACAGGCGAACAAACTCTATCATGAGCGCGACTGGTGCGTCTACGCAGACTTCGCACAACACTGATTCACATTGCACATCGGCTCTACGGCGATGATAACCATTATTGCCTGGAGCTCGACAATACGGTCTATGTGTTGAATTCCTCCACCATAGACCCATGCTTGTCGTTGTTCCCATGGGCTGGGTTCGCAAAACCAAAGCGGCTGTCAAACTCCATACCTTGCTGGATTTGCACGGCAATATCCCAGCATTCATCCATATCTCCGACGGAAAACTGCATGATGTGTATGTCATGGACTGAGCCTACCTTGAATTCACACGCCTGTACCGACAGCATCAGCTCGGCAGTTTCTTTGTGCTGCGATCGAAGTCCAATACCGTGTTCCGAAGGCTGTATTCCCACAGCGTCGAGCTTTCCACGGGAGTGATCTGCGACCAAATGCTAAGGTGCACGGTAATTCTGAATTTATCTGAACACTCATTCTGGAGTTATCTGAACGCGTTTTTCCAAGCAATCTAATAACGATTTCCACATTTTGTCTTAGTTGTCTTTGTACTTTAAGTTTGCTCTTCCCTGTCAAGTGTCAAGTGTTGATGTACGCTGCTCCGCGTTGTTGTAGTTATTATGTGGTTTAATCGCCGGTTAGTTTTCAGGCTTCACCGACGTTAGCTATCTTTATAATCCCCAATTTAAAATCTACAACTGAACAGATCAGAAATTTAGATATTTGACTGTCAAGGTAATTGGACATCGTGGCGCAAGAGGACTTTTCCCGGAGCTAAGCCTCGCGGGAATAGCAAGAGCGCTTGAGCTCGGCGTGGACGGTATTGAAGTGGATATTGGAGTGACTGCCGACCGGCAAGTCGTCGCGTACCATGATTACGCGCTGAATTACTACATTACCCGTGACAGCACTGGCCAATGGCTCGAACGAACGGGAGAGAAAATCTGCCAACTCACATTGAACGAACTGCGAAGCTACGATATAGGGCGCATCAGGCCTGGTTCCCAATATGAGAAGCAGTTTCCTCACCAGCAACCTGTAGACGGATGCCAAATTCCGACCCTTGAGGAAATCGTGCAGCTGATAAGGGAACACGGTTCAGAAACAACGATCTGCATAGAGGCAAAGCGCACCCCGGTTGTACCGACATCAACGCTTGAACTGAAAGTCTACGTAGACACCATCGTTACAGAGATTCAGCGACTTGATATTGCTTCGCATTCAATTGTTCACTCATTTGACTGGAGCGTTCTTCATCGAATCGACAAACTGGCACCCCATTTGAAACTGTGGTACCTGACTGCCCAAATGCAAAGACTCAACACCGTTTCAGACATTTCATGGAGGCGCGTGGACCAACGGAAGTCTTTTGTCCGATTATGGCAACTCCATACCGCAGATGATTCAAGCGGTGGGCGGCAATGCTTGGAGCAGCAATCATGACATACTTACAGCAGAACTGGTTGATGAAGCGCACGAATTGGGACTGGAAGTGTACGCCTGGACTGCAAACGATTTAGAGAGGTTTCAGTTTCTGTGTGATGCTGGTGTTGACGGAATCACAACCGACTATCCAGATCGGTTAATGGGGTTTCTCGGCCACATGAAGTAGGATTGCTTGGCAATTCTGCGGCGTTTGCATTCCCAAACCGATTAGGGATTCAGCGTTCTGGCTTGAAAATAGGGGTTCGCCAAATAGAAATTGGGGGACATGTACTTTTCAATGCCATCCTCCATTTCACAAGTGCAATCTAGCAGAACAGAATTCGCAGACAGGATTTTTCTCACCTCACGGATGAGCAGTCATTCAGACGTTTTTGAGCTTGCACGTACATCAGAGCCATGAACGAGATGTCAACGATCAACCAAAGGATTCACGCGTCCTGTTCGTCAAACAATAAAATAGTAAAAAGTTGTCGTCTTGATGTAAACGCGTATATGCATGGATTACACTTCTGATAATTCACTGGCCTTCCGGGCCGCCGCAGCGATGCGGAAGCATTCGCTGCATTGCTCGAACGTCACTATGACCGTATTTACCGAGTCAGTGCCCGCGTATTGTTCGGCGAAGCCGAGTTGGCGGCGGATGTTGCGCAAGAGGTGTGTTTGAAACTGCATGGCAAGCTTGCCACTTTTCGCAGCAATAGCCAATTCACTACGTGGCTCTATCGGATCGTTGTAAATGCCGCCTATGATGCATTGCGCGATAAATCGGTTCGCGAACGCATTGAACGAAACTACGCTGAAATAGAAGCTCTTTCTCGCACCGATAATGGTTCAGAAACGGATGATTCGGTCTGGCTTCAAAAAGCTCTGGGACAATTATCGAATAAATTGCGCAACACCGTGTTTCTCGTGCTCGAAGAAGAATTGACCCATGCAGAAGCGGGGAAGGTGCTTCAAATTCCGGAAAAGACTGTATCTTGGCGAATGCACGAGGTGCGCAGACAACTGCGCGCAATTGCCGCAACCGAGATGGCTGAGCGATGAATGACGAGCTTGCGAGACTGAAAGCAGCACTTCGCGCCAATGCGCCGCAGGCGCCTGTAGGCGTTCGTGATCAGGCAATTCGCACGGCCAAGGAACACTTCGAATGTCGCGAACGAGACTGCAGCAAATCGAACGATTACTTTGCGATGCTGAAGTCCGCATTCCACAACACAGTCCCTCAGGCACCGCCAGAGGTTCGCGAACGGGCCATTTCCACCGCCATGGAGCAATTCAACCATCATACCAAAGGAAGTAGCGTCGATAACCGTCATATGGGTAAAGCGTTGAATCTCAGCGCATTTAATTCATGGCTACGGAGGCTAATTATGCACTTTTCACGTTCTTCTTTCGCACTCGTCGGCAGTGCCGTCGCTCTCGTAGTTGGCATTATTTACTTTCAGTTTGTCGTGACGACGCCTTTGAATCTTCAAGTTCGGAATCTCGATAATGAATCTGTCGATTTTCTTATGTCCGGGAATACCGATACGACTGATTCTACACAATCCCTGATTTCAGCGGAGACTGCAAGTCCGCAACGTGAAGTTTTTGCCCCAAACGAAACATCGAAAGCGCGGGGACAAAGAATGTCTCAAGAGAAAATGTCTGTGAGGGAATCAAATGAACAGATGATGTCAATGGAGATGGAACCGTCCGGGGGCCTAATGATGTCAATGGAACGATCGATGTCAATGGAGCGATCTGTGCGCCTTGATAAATTTCAAAGTCGAGTTCGATTCACGAAATTTTCTTCCAATCCCGTAAAGCTCGTCACCGAAGAACCGATGTCCACATTCTCAGTTGATGCCGACACCGCTTCATACGCATTCATACGTGCAAATCTAAACGAGGGCTATTTTCCACCAAAGGATGTAGTGCGTACTGAAGAACTTATCAACTACTTCGCCTACGATTACGCACCGCCTGAGACGCGTAACCAGCCATTTGCCGCACATGTCTCTCTGATGCCGGCACCTTGGAACGATGCATCCCGGTTGATGCACATCGGCATCAAGGGGTTCGAACTGGACCATAGCGAAGTACCGCCGGCAAATCTGGTATTTCTGATTGACACCTCTGGATCAATGGACCAGTCGAACAAGCTACCGTTGCTGATTCGCTCGTTCAAACTATTGCTGTCCGCGTTGGCACCGGACGACCGAGTTGCGATCGTTACCTACGCCGGTTCGGCCGGCGTGGTCCTAGAACCGACACCGGTCTCGGAACGAAGCAAAATTCTGGACAGACTTGAACGTCTTTACGCGGGCGGTTCGACCGCGGGCGGCGATGGAATTCGTCTAGCTTATCGACTCGCTGAGCAACACATGGTATCAGACGGCATAAACCGGGTGATTCTTGCAACCGACGGTGATTTCAACGTCGGCATCACCGATGTTGATGAGCTTGAGGAATTTATTTCGCGCAAACGATCAAGCGGGGTGTTTCTATCAGTTCTGGGATTTGGGATGGACAACTACAATGACGATCTGATGCAGCATCTCGCCCAAAACGGCAATGGCAATGCCGCATACATTGATTCAATTTCGGAGGCACGCAAAGTGTTTGTTGAGCAAGTGACTTCGACGCTTGTGCCGATCGCAAAGGATGTGAAGATTCAAGTGGAGTTTAATTCTTCGACGGTCAGCGAGTATCGGTTAATTGGCTACGAGACCCGCATGCTTGAACGTGAGGACTTCCGCAACGACAAGGTCGATGCGGGCGAGGTCGGTGCGGGCCATACGGTGACCGCCATTTACGAGTTGACGCTAGCAAACACGGACGCAGGTCACATTCCTCCGAGCCGCTATCAGAGCACAGAATCAGAGTTGAGCAGCAACTTCGATGACGAATTCGCATTTCTGAAGATCCGCTACAAGCTCCCTGATGCCCATTCAAGCACTTTGGTCACGCAGCCGGTGACTGTCGCTAACTATTTCGATACGGTAAATACGGCGCCGCGTGACGTGCGTTTCGCCACGGCGGTAGCGGCCTTTGGTGAACTCCTGCGCGGCGGACGATACACAGGCGACTACGGATATAAAGAAGTCATCGCACTGGCGAATGATGCGCTTGGTGATGATCGTTTCGGTTACCGCAGAGAATTTATCCAGCTGGTGCGCATAGCTCAGACGGCCGAGTACCTAAACGACTTGCTCCCAGAGTAAATCCATTCCACTGAGGCAGGGTGCACATGTGGGCACCCCATTTGAAACTGTGGCACCTGACTGCCCTACCGCAAAATTCGACATCGTTTCAGACAGTCATGAAGGCGCATGGACCATCGGAATTCTTTAATCCGATTATGGCAACTCCGTACCGCAGATGATTCAAGCGGTGGGCGGCAATGCTTGGAGCAGCAATCATGACATACTTACAGCAAAATTGGTTGATGAAGCGCACCAATTGGGACTGAAGGTGTACGCCTGGACTGCAAACGATTTAGAGAGGTTTCAGTTTCTGTGTGATGCTGGTGTTGACGGAATCACAACCGACTATCCAGATCGGTTAATGGGGTTTCTCGGCCGCATGAAGTAGGATTGCTTGGCAATTCTACAGCGAAATAATTCTCAAACTGACTGCACCACTTGGAGGGAGGAATCAGAATCACAAATCCCGTGTGGTTTCACCGTATAGGTAATTCGGGGATTATCCGGTTGAGTTCTTTCTCCAAATCTTGCTCCAATCAATATCACCGTTCAAATCCAATATAAATTGAAGACAATTCATCCGTAATTCGCATTATTGCTATCGTCGTAGTGATGTTTATAAGTTCTGCCATTGTCCTTTGAAGCGTCTGCAATTAAATCCAATACAACTTGATACATAGCTCGATTACCGGAGATCAACTGCCAAAATTCCCGACCACACAATTTATGATAATCTCCTTGGATAAACATTCTGGATGTCTGTCCGTAACAACAACCTTCAATTGCACGGACCATTTGTGAATATCCACCTTGTTGGAATATTCTGCGAGCCTGTGTAAAATGTTGTTTCATCCGTTTCTTCTGGTCAGAATTCCCCCAATTGGGTCCCGATTTTATGCTTACAATGTACCGAACATTGTCCCGATCAAACTCCAAATCTATCCCTTCTACCATTGATTTTCTTCCGCCAAACGACTGCTCGCAAACTTTGATTGCTACTCTTTTCCAGAATGACACCAAATAGTGTTTCATCGCTTGAAGAGAGAGTCGCATCCACTAGAGCTTGTACTAGGTCTTCAAGTGCTTCGAAATTCTTATAGCGAAACAGATACGGATTCTTTCTCCTAATGATCTTAACCAAATCTAATCCATTCAGCTTGTTTAGTTTTGATTCTTGAAACCGATGCAATTCATCATGAATAAATTCGCGCAATTGAGCCAAATCAATTTCTTTATCTGCGAATTTAGCTGCCGAGGTGGACGGTACACCAGCAGACTCTGATTTGCTGTTTTTCTCGTCAGAGATCATTCAAACGTTTTTCAGCTTGCTCGCAATAGAGTTTATTAATCTCAATTCCGATAGACCGGCGGCGCAACTGACTCGCTGCAATCAATGTAGTTCCACTGCCCATGAAAGGATCAAGCACCATGTCCCTTGGCTGAGTAAACAATTTTATAAACCACATTGGGAGCTGTTCGGGGAATACCGCACTATGATTACGATTGCCACATTCTGTAGCCATGTGCAAAACATTTGTAGGATAGGCTTTGGTACGTCCGAGCCAGTTGGATACATTCTTGCCAAATCCACTGCCAGCAGCCGATTCATCTCGTATTAAATCAGTATCACTAAGACGTGCCAAGCGTTGATCTGCCCAATTACCCATTGGCACCATCACATTCTCTTGGTACATAGCAAAATTTCGTTGGCGATTAAATTGTAGCAATCGCTCCCAACTGTCTCGAAAACGATTAGGCCACTTCCCCGGGTAACAGTTTTTCTTGTGCCAAATGAACTCCTCCGTCCACAGCCAACCCTGTTTGCGCAATTCCAAAATCAACTCTATTACGTAAGTATGTCTTTCGCCATTTACAACACGTTCCTTGATATTCAAAATGAACGTGCCAGTAGGCTTAAGAACTCGCGACAGTTCCAGCGTAATTGGCAACATCCAAGACACGTAATTGTCAGGTCGGATTCCACCGTATGTTTTATTCCTGGCGTCAGCATAAGGTGGGGAGGTAACGATTAGGTCAACAGAATCCGCTTTAATTCTTGCCAATTCTTCTAGACAATCCCCGTGAATAACTAGAGACTTATTTTCTAGCGGGTCTGGAAGTTTGAATGGTACGGCAGTGTTTGACAAAGAAATTTGCGGCTTGCTATGCTACTTCGTAGTGAATTGAACGGTAAAATTCCGATTCACAATTTGTTATGAAAATACTTTCATGCGAATGGAAATCTGCCGTGTCCACATATCTAAATATTAGATGTAACCAATATATTCTTACATCTCTTGCACCTGTGAAGCAAGTTTTTCGGCATAGACATTATCATACCATCAAGAGAGTTAATATTGTGTAATTTCCGATATTCTGGAATTGGGATTGTCAACAGCTCTAACAAAACTTCTGGTTCACTGCTGTATTTGCAGAGTAAATCCGAGTACTTTGGCGCAATAGGTATTTTTCGCATTACTTCGTCGACATTTTTTGTAAGTGAATGGGACCGCAGGGAATAATTGACAATCTGGAATCAAAAATTTTACGTACCTTTCGGAAAGAATTTATTGATAGAAACCTATCAATATCTATCAATATAGGAAAAATTGATAGATATTTTCATTTGAATGAATAGGTGCTGAATCGTAAGTCATTGATATTATTGATTCAGAAACAAATAGTGGAAATTACATTATTTTTTGCCTACCGTAAGCAGAATCGGAACCCGGTGTGAAATAAAGGACTGCCTGAGGAGTTACTTTTCTTGATGGGCTTGATCTCAAATGGTGGAATTGGCGAATTTACGACGAAGAATTTTCAAGGTTGTGCACGTTGTGAACCTACTATAGATTACGTTACTGGTAGAGTTGTAAGCGAGCCGCTATGCATCCGGTCAATGATGAACTGTGAGATTGCTTCATAATCACTGAGGTTTAGAGCCACAACGTCCAAATCAATAAGTTCCGGCCTATCTGTCGCCACTGCAATGACATGTGCATCATTTGTGGCAAGCAGTGCATGCTTGAGTGAAGAGCGATACACTTCAATTTTCGTAAACGGTTCATGCTTGAAGCCCTCGACAATGACAAGGTCCAGATTTTGATGCGAAAACTGAGCCAGCATTTCTCGTAGAACCGGCTCGCTGTGGTCTTCTTTCTCCATCACCCACGCAATTCTCTGCTTGGACGCAATCAGAACCTGTTGCGCTCCAGCACTGCGTAGTTCATAACTGTCCTTGCCCGGCCTGTCAATCACGAAACTGTGGTGTGCATGTTTGATGACTCCAATTCTCAACCCACGCTCGCGCAAAATTGGAATGACTCTGCTGACCAAGGTTGTTTTACCGGTTCCGCTATAAGCCGCAAATCCAATAATCGGCAGTCCTTCCTTACATTTTTCAGCCATTAGACTTTCTGCACGTTCACAATCTTCCGACGTGTTGATATTCAAGAAACAATCCGGCGAATCAGAGAAATCGGCAGTTGCATATTGATGATTGACAAACCATTTGTCAATCTTCCTCTCGCCAGCATTGAGAAAAGACAGCAAATCACTGTACAGTTCAGTTTTCGCCAACATGAACGTCGGTTGCAGACGTTCCGCATCTTTGGCGACGACGATATCAATACTGCTGTCAGCCTGAGCCATCATTCGGTCAACATAATCTCGATTCAAAAACGGTCCATCACAAGGTACTGTGATAACCCAAGGTGTTTTTGCCACTTTCATCGCACTGACAAGACCTGCGAGCGGGCCTAAAAATCCTTTGATATCGTCCTCAATGACAGGTACGCCGAATCTACCGTAACTTTCCAGATTTCGGTTGGCATTGATCAGTACTTCGGATACCTGCGGCGATAACAAGTCAATGACAATTCTGCACATCGGACTCCCGGCAAGCTGAACGAGGCCCTTGTCGATACCCCCCATTCTGCGTGCTTGTCCACCTGCCAGAATGACACCTGTGACTTGTGCACCGATTGAAACATGATCTAAGTTCATGACTGCAACACAAACCTTCCTTGTTCCATCTCGACGGTCCGATCAGGCTTATAAGATTCAGCAGATTCATGAGTTGCAATGTACACAGTCGTACCGTCATCTGCAAGACTACGAATCAAGGCAAAAGTCTGATCGCGAGAAAATTGATCCATTGCGGCTGTCGGCTCATCCAGAAGTAACAGCTTGGGCGCCAGTATCCTTGCACGAGTCAATGCAACACGTTGCTGTTCGCCACCGGAAAGATCTCGCGCATTTCGTGTGCGCGAGCGACAATAGTCCGGCCCATTCAAGTGCACTTTTACGTTTTTGTCAGTATCGGTTCGATTGCGCCCTCGTACACGAAGGCCGTATGCGACATTTTCCGCAACAGAACGATCAAACAAGTACGGAGTCTGATGAAGATAAACAACCGACTACGGAAGCTTTGAAATGCCCGCCTCCACGACATCTCCCTTCCGTTCAGTGCCACTGTGCCAGTGTCCGGGGCAATCAGGCCCGCAAGAATTTTAAGAAGCGTGCTCTTTCCCGCGCCGTTTTCGCCATGAATGACGACGCATTCGCCCCGACGAACGATAAATTCATCAACATCCAAAACTGTGCGTTTTAGCAAAGTCTTTCGGACGTTCTTCAATGTAATCAGTTCGTTGAATTGTTGCATGACACCACTGAAATTATTAGTTACGCGCCATATCGCGACCTCGCACCGTCGCCACCGAGAAATTCAAGGCAAGCGCAAGTGTGATCAATACGGCTCCCAACGCAATCCCCTGCTCAAAATTCCCTTTCGAGGTCTCAAGCGCGATCGCTGTAGGAATGTTTCGAGTGTGATGCAGAATGTTGCCACCAACCATGATTGAACACCCAACTTCGGATACTACGCGACCGAACGCGGTGACAATGGCTGCAATCAGTCCGAATCGAACTTCCCGCATGATGGTAAACATTGCTCGCAACGGACCAGCACCCAAAGTTCGTGCAGTCTGCCAAGCCTTCAAATCCACGCCTTGAAAAGCGACGTGAGTCATGGCGACAAGAAGTGGAAATGCCAGAATCATCTGTCCAATAACCATCGCGCTTTGCGTAAACAACAATCGCCAGCCTCCGAACGGTCCCGAACTATAAAGCATTATGTATAGCAGCAACCCTACAACGACAGCCGGAAGCGCTACCATGGAATTCACAATGGTGATTAGCGGTCGTCTGCCTGGAAAGTTACCGAAAGCCAGTGCAAATGCCACCAGCAATGCCAGCGGAGTGATGAAAAGAATTGCACGGAAGGAAACGAAAAACGATATACCGACGATTTCCCAGATGGCCGCATCACCCGTGAAAAGCAGTTTCAGTGCTTGAGCGCTTGCAATGATCAGACTGTCCATGGGCACTACCTAGAGTCTGAGAAACGATGCAGGCAAAAGAAGAAAAATTATGGAAAACAAATCCGACAATTCAATGAGAATATCCTCAGTCATTCAATGACATAGAACAGCTGCTCGCCATTTACCCTGTAAGTTGAAATGATATTTTTGGCTTCATCGGACTTCAGCCAGTTAATCAGGTTCATTGCATCTTCATAATTAACGTGAGGGTGAACTTCAGGATTGACGGCAATGGCACCATACACATTCCTCCCATCCAGTGCTCCTTCTACATGAATCGGAAGTGACAATCGATCACGCATGAATAGCCAAGTACCTTTGTCCGCAAGAACATAAGCATTGAGTTCATCAGCAATTTGCAACGCTTTCCCCATTCCGAGACCCACTTCTTTATACCAGTCACCTTCCGGTTTTATACCAGCCTGGTTCCACAATCTCAGCTCTTTCTTATGTGTTCCCGAATCGTCTCCTCTGGACACGAATGCCGAGCGAGTGTTTGCAATATTCGCTAAGGCTTCCTGCATATTTTTCATTCCATTGATTCTGGCCGGATCGCTTTCAGGGCCTACGATAATAAATTCGTTATACATAATTTCCTGGCGATTCACACCGAACCTGCTCTCAACCAATTCCAGTTCCGAATTTTTTGCATGTACCAGAATGATGTCCACATCGCCATTTCTGGCGTGATTAAGAGCACGTCCTGTACCGCCCACAATAGTGTGAACGCTGACGTCATGTTTCGCTTCAAACACGGGAACCAGTTTTTCAATTAATCCGGAATTCTCTGTACTCGTCGTCGTAGAAAGTCGTAGTATGTCTGCTGCGAAACAAATACCGACTGTTCCAAATAACAGAGATACCAGTAAAACAAGTTTGTAAGAAAGGGATAATCGCACGATCTATTGATTCATAAATTTAGTAATTGTTGAAACTTGAAGCATTCGACAAAACATCCTCATTTACATCACTGCTGGTTAGGTGCTTCATTCACGCAGCGAGTTCAATTTTGATTTTCAAGTGATAGAAATTCGTCTCTAAAAGCGTTTCAAAACAACAATCAAAAGAATTGCGAATGCACTTGTTTTTCGGTTGCCAACATATCGGGACAGTGTTTGACACAATCTTACCAATCAAGCACAATGTATATGATAATGTGTAAAGTTATCTTGATGCTAATTCTGACAAATTCAAGCAATGAACTCACCTAATCCGCGAACAACCTCCATTACAGTCGTTGGTAGCGGCTCTTGGGGAACAGCAATCGGTGCTTGGCTTGCTCGCAATGGTCACGACGTACGAATTTGGGATATTGATACCTCAGTAATTGACGATATCAATGCCACACATTGTAACAACCGGTATCTACCCGATTGTAAATTGCCCGAGAATCTGGTTGGATATCGAGCGCTGGAATCCGCTATGACCGATTGTTCGACTGTTGTACTAGCAGTCCCAAGCCGAGTTTTTGAGACTGCACTCCTGAATGTCACATCTCACCTTGACAGAATGGATTCAAGCAACACTCCAACAATTGTGTGGGGAACAAAGGGATTCGCTCAGAAAACTGGTGAACTCTTGAGTCATGTCGCAGAGCGTGTACTCGGAGACACGGCAGTTACAGCGGCTATTTCAGGTCCAAGTTTCGCATATGAGGTTGTGAGAGGAATTCCGGCCGGCTTTGATCTGGCGTCAAAGTCGAGTGAGAGGATCGAATCCATCGCCGACCTTTTTCGCAGCGAAAACATTCTGGTCTATACAACTTCGGATATCATCGGCGTTCAGGTTGGCGGCGCAACCAAGAACGTAATCGCGATCGCGGCAGGAATCTCAGATGGTCTCGGCTTCGGCATCAATGCCCGCGCTTTGCTCATCACGCGCGGACTTGCTGAAATGAATCGCCTGAATGTCGCTCTAGGCGGCAGTGCCGAGACAATGATGGGGCTGTCCGGACTTGGAGATCTGGTTTTAACCTGTTCTGGTGATCTGTCGCGAAACCGCAGGCTGGGGCTCGGTTTGGGACAAGGTAAACCTATTGACGAGATCGTTGAGGAAATCGGCCAGGAAGTGGAAGGCATTCAATCTACACGGGAAACGTACCAAATCGGCAAAAAGATGGACGTTTTCATGCCTATGACTGAGTGCATGTATCGCATACTATATGAGGGATTGTCGCCTCTTCAGGCTGCTACCGAACTCATGGCAATCGGTCCGAGCCTCAAATGATCGAAATTTGCACCAACATTTGGAGTCTTTCAAGCAACACCCGAGATGCGGCCAGATTTTGGCTTAATCTCGCCATCTTCTGCAACTGAAATCTGGGGTAATTTCGTTCCAATTGGCAATAGATCTATGAAATAGCTAGCTTGCGAAAATGCGGCTGTTCCAAGAGTGAAAAAGAATCCAACTTTTGATTCGAGGTGCTTCGTCGCTCATGGAGTTTGCCGTGAATCGACTCATTACGTGGTTAATACGTCCAGGTGCTGACTTAACTCTTGATTTTATGCGGTTTGAAGTCGGTCAATACTTTATGCTTCTACGAATGACGAATCACAAGTGGCATGTAAATCAACTATATCTATTACGGAATTAATTCGCCATCTGGGTGAACCACGGCTACTCTTTGGAGTCAACATTTGCTTGAAATTTTTCGATTCTATCTCGCTTCTCATTCACACAGGAAACCAAGTAAAGAATATTTTGGAGCATATAGTCAATACTGTGAGAATTTTCCGAGGCTAGTGAAATAAACATCGGTGTTGAGATCCAAGATAGATTTGCCCGCTGTTGATTCCAAATCAAATCAACTGAGCGAGAAATGTTTTCGCCGGCACGATAATTGGCTGGTGAAATTCGAAACAATCTCGTTCCACAAATTCCATGTCGAATGCAACCTGAAAAGCATGTGGCGTCTGAGTTTGCCGCTGAAAATATGCCAGTGAACTGGAAAGCTTCGTTCTTTCGCTGCTCTTTACTTCTACCAAAAACCAAGGAGAATTGTCACGCGTTACTAAGAAATCAACTTCACGTTTCTGCTTGTCGCGAACGAAATATAGACCGAACTCACCTTGACCGGTTTCAGTCCACCAGTGAACAGCTTTGAGTAAAGCGCTTGCAACAAAATTCTCGGCGCGAGCACCTGAATCTTCAACTTGTGACCAATCCCACAGATAATACTTCGGCTCCTTGCGTAATGCCCTTGCCACATTGCTGTACCAAGGTCTCACTGTAAAACAGAAGTAAAGCGACTCCAAAGTAGAAATCCATCGCCTGACAGTGTCCACTGATACGCGAACACTCTTGGCAAGGTAGGAATAACTAGTTAGCTGGCCGACTTGTTGTCGCAGGTATTCGGCCAGCATTTCGAGCTGACCGAGTTCCTGAATTCGAGTGAGTTCACGCAAGTCTTCGCGCAGAAGATGTTCGGTGCGCAAGGAGCTCCAGCGACCGTAGAATCGCTGATTGCATTTGATATACGGTTCCGGAAATCCCCCAAAACGCCACAGAGTTTCCCAATGCTCATCATCGATTTTTCGAGGTTCTCGGTTGACCAGCTGCACCGTAGATTGATTATTGCACTCCGGTACTGAAAGCGGATGTAGAGTGTAAGGAAAGTAACGCCCCATTAAACTGTCTCCACCGCGCCTGAACACTTGAAGAGATGCGCTGCCGGTTATCAGCACTTTGGTAACAGATTCATATTGATCAAAAAATCCCTTTAGAAGATTCCGCCAGTGTTGATACTTGTGTAATTCATCGAACACACAAAGTGGCAGATCATCGGCAAGTCGCTCCACTCCGAGCTTGTCAGCGATTATTTGTGGCCCTTCCAGGATGGTTTTTCGATCAGACTGATTGTCCCAATTAAGATACTGGTATCGAGCAAAAGAGTTTCCGATCATCTTGGCAAAGGTGGTTTTACCGACCTGCCTAGGACCTGAAAGAAACAACATCTGCCGATTATTTTGATAATGCCCTGTGAACTCGTTGGATAGATATCTATTGATGTCCATTATCTGCATATAACGTAAATTAGTAATTACTGTTTTACGATTATACATAAAATAGTCATAACTTGATGAACCACTGATATTTAGGGCGTATGGGAGTATGAAATTCATTCCTGACTAGTATTCAACTGCATCGTTAATTCGAAACATCTTGAAAACAGTTGAATTTCTCTGCATTCTATCTGTATCGTCAGTGGGAAGAAGAGCAATCAATGGAAACAGCTCGTTCTCTCGTATGCAATAACTCCATAGACTTCATTTCTTGATCGTAAATCTACTGTAACGTTCTACAATAGTTCCGCATCAATTTGTGTGGAATACAGGTTCCGAAAATTCAAAAATAATTGCAATTTCATGCAACATCAAAGCCACTCACACCAAAAAAATTGGTATATTATTTTCTGTTACCATTTGCCGTAGTGCAGAGTCGGTTCATATTTTACGGCTTTGCTTTTATTTGCATGACTGAAAACTTCATTCGGTCGATTAGAATATGGATATGCCTTGGCTGAATTAATCAAAACTCAGGTATGACACGCTTTAATTTACCGTTCCAAGCAGGAACCGGTAGAATTCTTGTCACCCAAACCATTGTCACCCTGATCGGTCACGATGATCTTCGCCTTTGGTGGCATTGTTTCACTCTATTCAGCTCTCTTGGGCGGCATCGCCTGCCTGCTCCCCAGCGCATATTCAATATGGCGCGTATTCGGTAAAAATCGTGCAGTTCATCAACTTGACCCTCGTATATTTGGCATAATGCTACGCGCCGAATTCGTAAAAATCGCCATTACCGGCATCATATTTGCCACATTTTTCTGGTTGATCAATCCCATAGATCCAATCGCCATGTTCTCCGTGTTTACGGTCGCCATGTTTGCTGGATGGATTGAAGCCGGGTTGCGAATTGGCTAGACGCTGAAATTCAACTGATCGGTTATTCGTACATTTATGGCTAGCAACGACGTCCTGACCGCATCAGGCTATATCAAACACCATCTCCAGAACCTGACGTTCGGAAATCATCCTGAACATGGCTGGTCGATCGCGCATAGCGCACAGGAAGCCGCCGACATGGGGTTCATCGCGATTCACCTTGACAGCATGTTCTGGTCAATTTTTCTCGGCGCACTGTTCCTGATCGTGTTCCGTCTTGTTGCAGTACGCGTTACCAGTGGCACGCCCGGAAAGCTTCAGAACTTCATTGAGTGGATCGTAGATTTTATTGAAGATAATGTGCGTGGTTCGTTTTCCGGTAAGAATGACCTGATCGCCCCGCTCGCACTCACACTGTTCGTCTGGATTCTGTTGATGAATCTGATGGATCTGGTGCCGGTCGACTGGATTCCCGAGCTGGCAAAACTGCTCGGTATCGAATATATGAAAGTGGTCCCGACAACCGATCCGAACATCACCTTCGCAATGGCATTGTCAGTGTTCGTTTTGATGATTTACTTCAACATCAAGAACAAAGGCGTTAGCGGGTTTCTTGGCGAGTTGACACTACAGCCTTTCGGCAAATATATGATGCCAGTCAATTTGTTCCTGGAAGGCATCGGTCTATCTGGCAAAGCCGCTGTCACACTCGCTGCGATTGTTCGGGAATTTATATGCAGGCGAGATGATTTTCATTCTGATCGCCCTTCTGTTCAGTACCGGATGGGTACTCGGAATTGCGGGCGGATTTTTACAATGGGCATGGGCTGTGTTTCATGTTTTAATTGTACTGTTACAGGCATTTATATTTATGGTACTGACCATTGTCTATATGGACATGGCTCATCACCAACACTAAACTAATTTCAGTCACAATGGTTTGCTAGATCGGAGATAACATTATGGAAGCAGCATTGTATTTTATCGCTGGTGCCGTTCTGCTCGGTATGGGCGCAGTCGGAGCCGCAATCGGAATTGGAATTCTCGCCGCTCGATTTATCGAAGCAATCGCGAGACAACCCGAACTGCTGCCAATGCTGCGCGTTCAGTTCTTCATCATGATGGGACTCGTCGATGCGGTTCCGATGATCGGTGTCGGTATCGCATTCTACATTCTGTTCGCAGTCGCGTGACGCAGACCGGTCGCAGTCTGACCGGTATAAACCAACTGGTGTAGCGCAATATTATGAATATTAATCTGACGTTAATTGGACAGACGGTTACGTTCATCATTTTCGTCTGGTTCTGCATGAAATTCATTTGGCCGCCGATTATGAACGCGCTGAATGAAAGACGCAAAACCATATCGGACGGACTCGCCGCAGCCGAACAGGGGCAACGCGAGCGAGAGAAAGGCCAAATGGATGCTAACGAACTCGTCGAAGAAGCGAAGTCACAGGCGCAGGAGATAATCTCTCGTGCTGAAAAACGCGGTACTGAAGTTGTCGCTGATGCAAAAAGCGAAGCTCGGACCGAAGGAGAGCGAATTCTCAATGCAGCACGTGGGGAAATCGAGATGGAAGCCAACCGTACCCGAGAACAGCTGCGAGTGCAGGTCGCCCAGTTGGCGGTCTCCGGTGCGGAAAAGATTCTCGCCAAGGAAGTCGATGCGAAAACGCATGAGAAAATGCTTTCCGACCTGGCTGACAACCTTTAACCAAGGGCTACCGAGACCGTGAGCGAACTCTCCAACATTGCACGACCGTACGCACAGGCAGTATTTGAAATCGCCAAGGAGTCTGGACGCTTCGACGAATGGTCCGAAAGCCTTGAGACTTTGAGCGAAATCGTCAGCCTGTCGGAGTTGCAAGCCCTGATCAGTGACCCGCGTGTTACTCGAGAACAGGTACTGGATATCGTTCTCGAAATTGGTGCTGACGCTTTTGATGAGCAATCGCGGAACTTTGTGAGAACTCTGAGTCACTATAGACGGCTGCCGACCGCGCCGCTGATCGCAAGTCAGTACGAAAATTTGCGCGCGGAGCAGAAGGCATCATTGAAGCGGAACTTGAAACCGCATACGAAATTGATGATGAACAGCGAGGCAAGCTGATCGCTGCACTCGAGACCCGGCTCGGGCGCAAGGTGAGACTATCTAGCAAACTTGACGAAAACCTGATTGGTGGTGCGGTTATTCGCGCCGGCGATTGGGTGATTGACGGCTCCATCCGAGCTCGACTGGAAAAACTCTCCAGCGCTCTTGGTGTGTGACAACCGTCACTCCATACACATAGACAGCGTAACTGCCATTATTGAAACCAGAGGAAGAAACAAATGGCGATGCAATTAAATCCGTCCGAAATCAGCGAGCTGATCAAGGCTCGAATTGCGGACTTTGACGTAACTGCACAGGCAAGAAGCGAGGGAACCGTAGTAATGCTTACGGACGGAATCGTCCGTATTCACGGACTTGCAGATGCACTGCAAGGAGAAATGCTGGAGTTTCCGGGCGATACTTTTGGACTCGCCCTGAACCTTGAGCGTGATTCAGTCGGTGCGGTGATTCTCGGTGACTACGAACACATAACAGAAGGCGACACGGTCAGGTGTACCGGTCGAATTCTCGAAGTCCCAATCGGCGAAGGATTGTTGGGCCGGGTTGTCGATTCACTCGGACGCCCGATTGACGGCAAGGGTCCGATTGAATCCAGCGGCTCAGCGCCAATCGAGAAAGTGGCGCCCGGTGTCATTTCTCGTCAATCTGTGTCTGAACCCGTTCAAACCGGATTAAAATCAATCGATTCCATGGTTCCGGTCGGTCGTGGTCAGCGAGAACTGATCATCGGCGACAGACAAACCGGGAAAACCGCGGTTGCAATCGACACCATCATCAATCAGAAAGACACCGGTATCAAGTGCATCTATGTTGCGATAGGCCAGAAACTTTCAAGTATCGCAAACGTGGTACGCAAACTTGAGGAACACGGCGCGATGGATCACACGATTCTCGTGTCAGCGTCAGCTGCCGAAAGCGCCGCCATGCAGTACATCGCACCTTACTCCGGCTGTACTATGGGTGAATATTTCCGCGACAACGGCCAAGACGCCCTGATCGTCTACGACGATCTCACCAAGCAGGCATGGGCCTATCGTCAGGTTTCGCTGTTGCTGCGACGTCCGCCGGGACGCGAAGCCTATCCAGGCGATGTCTTCTATCTTCATTCACGACTGCTGGAACGGGCTTCTCGAATCAATGCAGACTATGTTGAAGCCCTCACCGAAGGGAAAGTGAAAGGACGTACCGGTTCTCTGACTGCGCTGCCGATAATTGAAACACAAGCAGGCGATGTTTCGGCATTTGTCCCCACCAACGTAATCTCAATTACCGACGGACAAATTTACTTGGAGAGCGACCTGTTTAATGCAAACATTCGCCCAGCAATCAATGCAGGTCTATCAGTATCAAGAGTTGGTGGAGCAGCACAGACGCCTATCGTCAAGAAACTCGGTGGCGGTATTCGTCTTGCCTTGGCTCAATATCGTGAACTCGCAGCGTTTTCACAGTTTGCCTCTGATCTTGACGAAGCAACCCGCAAGCAGTTGGAACGAGGGCAACGAGTTACCGAAATCATGAAACAGCCACAGTACGAGCCATTGTCTGTAGCAGCAATGGCGTTCGCACTGTACGCGGCAAATGAAGGTTATCTCGATGCTATCGAGGTTCCCCAGATCGTCGGTTTTGAGCAGGCAATGCAGTCCTACTTGAAATCAAATTATTCCGATCTGCTTGAGGCAATCAATGCAAACCCGGAATACAACGATGAGGTTGCCAGCACGATGAAAGATGCGCTTGACGATTTTGTCAAGAACGGCACCTGGTAATCTGATCACGAGCCACATCAAAATCTCAAAAAATTGAATTAAACCATGGCAGGCGCAAAAGAAATTCGTACCAAGATTCGTAGCATCCAGAATACGCAGAAAATCACCTCTGCGATGGAAATGGTTGCTGCCAGCAAGATGCGCCGGGCGCAGGAGCGTATGCGAGCCGCCCGCCCCTATGCCGAATCCATCCGAAGGGTGATCGCACACCTATGGCACGCCAACCTCGAATACAAGCATCCCTATGCGGTGGAAAGAGAAACATCGACTGTCGGATATATCGTAGTCAGCACCGATCGCGGTCTTTGTGGCGGTCTCAACATCAACCTGTTTCGATCAGCTCTCAACTCCATTTCAGATTGGGAAGGTAAAGGAGTTTCAGCCGAATTCGCCATCATCGGCAACAAGGGACTTGGATTTTTTCGACGATTGGGGGCAAACATCCTCTGTCAGGCATCCCATCTAGGCGATGCGCCACAGATCGTCGAACTGATTGGAGCCGTCAAAAGTAATGCTGGATGCCTATGAGGAAGGAAAGATTGACCGACTTTATCTGCTCAGCAACCACTTTGTGAACACCATGACACAGAGTCCGTTGATTGATCAGATTTTGCCGATTAAAGTTGATGAACCGGATCAGAAACTATCGCACCATTGGGACTACCTGTATGAACCGGAATCGCATGAAGTGGTGGACTCGTTGATGAAGCGTTACCTCGAATCTATCGTTTATCAGGCGGTTATCGAAAATATCGCCTGCGAGCAATCGGCTCGAATGGTGGCAATGAAAGCTGCAACCGACAACGCCGGAGATCTGATTGACGAGTTGAACCTGATTTACAACAAGGCGAGACAGGCGGCGATCACACAGGAAATTTCCGAAATCGTAGGCGGTGCGGCTGCGGTCTAGTATTAACGAACGAAGTCAAACTAGCATCCGTGTGGTGCTTGAGAAATAAATACCAGTAAACAAGAGGCAATCATGACACAAGGGAAAATTGTCGAGATCATTGGAGCAGTCGTGGACGTGGAGTTTCCACGAGCAGAGGTTCCAAAAATCTATAACGCACTCAAAGTAGAGCAAACCGGTCTTACGCTGGAAGTGCAGCAGCAGATGGGAGATGGTGTCGTTCGAACCATCGCCATGGGATCCAGCGACGGACTGCAGCGCGGACTTGAGGTAACCAATACCGGCGAGCCCATCAAGGTTCCTGTCGGCGAGCCGACGCTGGGGCGCATCATGAATGTACTTGGCGAGCCCGTAGATGAAGCTGGACCGGTCGAATCTGAAAATCATTGGGCAATTCACCGCAAGCCGCCCGAATTTACCGATCAGGCGACAGCCGTGGAAATCCTTGAAACTGGCATTAAGGTCATTGATCTAATCATGCCAATTGCAAAGGGCGGAAAAATTGGATTGTTCGGTGGTGCAGGAGTCGGCAAAACCGTCACGCTGATGGAACTGATCCGCAATATCGCAATCGAACACGCTGGTTATTCAGTTTTCGCAGGAGTTGGTGAGCGAACCCGTGAAGGAAATGACTTCTACCATGAAATGAAGGAAGCGGATGTACTCAACAAGGTCTCACTGGTTTACGGCCAAATGAACGAGCCACCCGGCAACCGCCTCCGTGTAGCGCTCGCGGGGCTGACGATATCCGAATTTTTCCGCGATGAAGGCAGAGACGTGCTATTGTTCATCGACAACATTTACCGTTACACGCTGGCTGGAGTAGAAGTATCCGCACTGCTGGGCCGAATGCCGTCGGCAGTCGGATATCAGCCAACGCTTGCTGCGGAGATGGGAATACTTCAGGAAAGAATTACTTCCACCAGAACCGGTTCGATCACTTCCTTTCAGGCGGTTTATGTTCCAGCCGACGATCTGACTGACCCATCGCCAGCAACTACGTTTGCTCACTTGGATGCAACCTTGGTTCTATCCAGACAGATTGCAGAATTAGGCATATACCCGGCAGTCGATCCGCTCGATTCAACCAGCCGGCAGTTGGACCCACTCGTGGTAGGACAAGAGCATTACGATACAGCTCGTACCGTTCAGGGAACACTGCAACGATATAAGGAATTGCGAGACATCATCGCGATTTTAGGTATGGATGAACTTTCGGAAGACGACAAGTTGGCGGTCTCCAGAGCACGAAAAATCCAGCGCTTTCTGTCACAGCCATTCTTTGTTGCCGAAACATTTACGGGTAGCACAGGAAAGTACGTATCACTGGCTGATACAATCAAAGGATTCCAGGGAATTGTAAACGGTGATTATGACGACATACCCGAGCAGGCTTTCTATATGGTCGGTCCGATTGAAGAAGTCGTCGAAGCACACAAGAAGGCGGCATAGCCGAGTTCGATCAATCAACTGAATAAATCATCATGGCTACAATTCAAGTAGAAATCGTTAGCGCTGAAGAGGCAATCTGGACAGGTACCGGAGTCATGGTTTTCGCGCCTGCGGAAATGGGGGAAGTCGGTATTGCCCCGCAGCATGCTCCGTTGCTTACGCGATTGAAGCCGGGAGAGGTGCGCGTCCAACAAGAGAACGGTGATGAACAGTTTTTCTTCATTTCCGGTGGATTGCTCGAAGTTCAACCGAACCAAGTAACTGTACTTTCCGATACAGCTGTCAGAGCTGCCGATCTGGATGAAGCGCAAGCGTTGGAAGCTCAACAGAAGGCGGAACGCGATCTGCAAGACAAGACTTCCAAGATGGATCTCGCCAAGGCAAAAGCGGAACTCATCCAGGCAACGGCACAGTTGCGCGCTCTTCAGAAACTGAGACAAACCCGTCGCTGACTTGACAACCTGTTCGGTTTCGATCGAATTCAAACCGAAGAATTGAATGGGGCATGGATTGACCAAATCCGAAGTCATCATACTCGCAGGAGGACAGGGAGTGCGAATGCACTCCGACAAGCCGAAATCTTTGCAGCAGATCGGCGGCAAACCTATGCTCCACTACATCGTCGATTGCGCGAGGAATGTGGGTTTTGACAGAATTCATGTCGTTTACGGCGCAAATGGCCAAGAAATTCCAAAAACGTTTGCACAGGAAGACATTAACTGGGTATTGCAGGCAGAAGCCCTTGGTACCGGGCATGCTGCCTTACAGGCAATTCCCCACGTGATACCCAACTCAGTCGTATGCATCCTGTATGGCGACAATCCGTTAATTGACCCAAAGACCATATCAAGGCTGACTGAACTGGCCAAGGGAAATAGGCTCGCGCTGCTCACAACCGAGCTGAAAGACCCGACAGGCTATGGGAGAATCAAGAGAAACGATGATGGCAAACTGCAAAAGATTGTAGAACACAAGGATACCAATGAAAACGAGCGTAAAATTATGGAAGTGAACGTGGGACCGCTTGCCGCTCCGACAAGCTTGTTGAAAGGATGGCTGACACGACTGGACAATCACAATAATCAGAGAGAATATTACCTGACCGACATCATCGATTTTGCTGTATCAGATGGAATTGAGGTTTCAACAGGGAAAACCCTGCACAGGTGTGAATCTTTAGGAATTAACAATAGATTTGACCAGGCTCAACTTGAAAGGATCGTTCAATTGAACAAAGCAAAAGATTTAATGCACTCAGGCGTACAGATTGCCGACCCTGCAAGATTTGATTTACGTGGGGAATGTAGAGCCGGCAAAGACTGCCAAATCGATGTGAACGTTGTTCTGGAAGGCACTGTAAATCTTGAAAATAATGTAGTGATTGAAGCCAATAATGTCATTCGAAATTCCAATCTGGGTGACGGCGTCACCATCCTGCCGAATTGCGTAATTGAGGGAGCAAAGATTGAAGAAGGGTGTACGATCGGGCCGTACGCCAGAATTCGACCAGGTACAAAAATTGGCAAAAATTGTAGAGTCGGGAATTTTGTCGAAATCAAGAATTCCGAAATTGGCGAAGGATCCAAGGTCAATCACCTTGCATATATCGGTGATTCCGAAATTGGAAAGAATGTAAATTTTGGTGCCGGTTCGATTACCTGTAACTACGACGGCCAGAACAAGCACCGAACGAGAATCGGCAATGATGTATTTATTGGTTCCAACGTATCACTTGTTGCGCCTCTCGAAATTGGCAACAAAACGGTGATCGGAGCCGGATCCACAATCACTAAAGATGTGGAGTCGGGTCAAGCGGCAGTTGAACGATCAAATACCAGAGTCGTTCCCGCTAATCGACTGATTTCTAGAATAAAATAACTGCATTCTATAAGAGAGGATACAAGTTCTCCGAACTGTCAGAGTGCCAAAAATCTCAACTTTATAGACACTTCCAGTTACCAATCAAATTATGTGTGGAATTATCGGCGCAGTTTCCAACCGTGACATCGTACCTACCCTGGTAGACAGCATGCGCATAATGGAATATCGAGGTTATGATTCCGCTGGCATTGCAGTGATCAATTCCAATGGCGAGTTCGATCGGGAAAGATGCGTAGGTAAAGTGGAAAAATTAGTTCATTCGATTCAGAATGGAAGTTCAATTTCCGGCACGACTGGAATCGGACATACCCGCTGGGCCACGCACGGCCCTGCGAACGAAGCCAACGCACATCCACTCATCAGCAGTGGCCGAGTGGCTGTCGTCTGCAATGGAATCATTGAAAATTACGAAGAATTGCGACATCAGCATCTTCAGGAAGGAAGTATTTACGATTCTGCAACGGATACCGAAGTCATTCTGCATGAATTGATGAAATTTCTGGATGACGGTTTGGGATTCCTGGATGCAGTCAAGGAAACAGTAAAACGACTCATCGGTTCTTATGCTTTCGCCGCCCTGTGTATTTCCGAACCCGGGAAAATCATCGTTGCCAAGCGCGGTTGTCCACTACTGATTGGGTTCGGTGATAATGAAACTTTCATCGCTTCTGATGCAATTGCGCTAGCCAAGATTGCAAAATCCATAATTGTGCTGGAGAATGGCGATATCGCAGAAATTTCGGGTGTATCGGAAACCAACATCATCGATCAATTCGGTGAAGAAGTAAAACGAAAAGATGAGTCCATCCTAATTCAGCCAAAGCTCGTTGATCTGGCACATTACTCCCACTACATGCAAAAGGAGATTTTTGAGCAAGGCTCCGCGGTTGCAAACACGCTTGAAGAGCGAATTACGAACAATTGCATGCTGGAAATTGAAACTTTCGGTGAGGAAGCAGTCGAAATATTTAATCAAGTGGAAGCAGTGAGAATTCTTGCTTGTGGAACAAGCTACTATGCCGGAATGGTTGCAAGAATTTGGCTGGAGTCAATGGGAATACCTTGTGAAGCAGAGATTGCCAGCGAATTCCGATATCGAAATCCTGTTGTACCCGACAATGCGTTGGTTGTCGCAATATCTCAATCAGGTGAAACCGCAGATACACTGGCAGCACTGAATCAAGCATCGAAACTTGGCTACAAGTATTCCTTAGCAATCTGCAATTCTCCATTCAGTCAAATGACCCGCGTGACAGATCTGGTTTTGCACACACGTGCAGGACCGGAAATTTCCGTCGCTTCTACCAAGGCATTTACCACACAACTGGTTTCATTGCTGCTACTGATGATTGCGCTTGCGAAGAGAAGAGGAATGACTGTGGATGAAGAAGCCGAGATTGTTAGTGAGCTTCGAGCCTTGCCATCTCGAATTGAAGCGCTTCTTCAAATGGACAAAGATATTGCTGAATTATCAGATTACTTTGCTGACAAGGAACACACCTTATTTCTAGGCCGTGGAACTCACTATCCGATTGCGCTGGAAGGAGCGCTGAAACTGAAAGAAATTTCCTACATTCATGCTGATGCATATCCCGCTGGAGAATTGAAACATGGTCCGCTGGCGCTGATTGATGCAAAGACGCCGACGATCGCCGTAGCGCCCAACAATCATCTGTTGGCTAAACTGAAAGCAAATATTCAGGAAGTTCGTGCAAGAGGCGGCAAGCTGTTTGTTTTTTCTGATTCAGGAACCCCTATCAAGTCAGACGAATTGATTGAAGTAATTGAAGTTGTCAAGTCAGGGCCATTCACCTCTCCCATCATTCACACGATAGCTCTGCAACTGCTCGCCTATCACGTGGCAGTCACAAAGGGGAATGATGTTGATAATCCAAGAAACCTAGCAAAATCTGTAACCGTGGAGTAGTTTCCAACGTACGGGTTCTGACGTTGATTATTACCTCTGTTTCACTGCAACTCTAAGAACCCCCACACACTCTGGGTTCGCCCATACTCTGAGCACCAACAATTCCTTCCATTGCACCATTTCTTTTCAATCTTGAAGAAAAAGAGATTGAGGGGAAATAGATTGAATACACGATATAAATTAGAAAATGGACCACTCAGTCTAGTCATTGTTGATGGACAATACCGAAGAGGAGAAATCAGTGCAGAATAGCTATGAAGAGTTACCGTCAAATCTTCCTGTTCCGATAGATGATGGTGCTTGTGACCATTTGGTGGGAATGCGGTTTCCAGACATCTTTTCTGAAATCCACTACTGGAGAAAATGTAAATCTTTCACGAATTGAAGGCGGGAGTTGTGATCTATTGTTATCCAATGACAGGCAAACCAGGCGTTCCGCTTCCAGAGGGTTGGGATGAAATTCCAGGCGCACGAGGTTGCACGCCTCAGAGTTGTTCATTTAGAGATCATCATGCAGAACTATCTGAACTGGGTGCTGAAGTATATGGTATGAGCACGCAGACATATGAATATCAGCAAGAAATGGCAGAACGCCTGCATCTTCCCTTTCAAGTAGTCAGCGATAGTAATCTTGAATTTTGCAGAGCGATGAAAATCCCAACTTTCAGTGTGGATGGAAATACACTGATGAAGCGAGTCACGATGATTTCTGATAATGGTTCGGTTGAAGCAGTCCACTATCCAGTGTTTCCGAGTGACTCTGATTCAAAATGGGTTATTCAATATCTTGAATCTAAAAGAACATAGTGATCAATCCCACAAATTGACTGAAGCAGTGACAGTGGAGTAGATTTCGTAACCGAAAATTATTGACCTGCATTTGGTTGGCAGGCCAATAATTCCAAAAATAAACCCCATCCGGTAAAAATACCGGATGGGGTTACAACTTTTTCGACACATCTAGCAACTATTTTTCGACAGTCACTAACGTTTGTCGATTAACAGATCTAACCGCCTCCAGAGCGAAAGTGTTCGTCTTCTTTCTTCAGCTTATTGGCTTCACTCATCAATTGACAAATGTGCCAAGCCACCCCAGAAAACCACTCCAGCCAATACCAGCAGCCACTCAGTCCCTACAAAAGGATATACCGGACCGATATCGGCGATTGTTCCCGCCCAATCCGTAAATGATCCTGTCATCATCTTAATTTACCTCCAGGTTATTAAGTTTAACTGCCTTTGGCAGCGGCTTCTGCATCCATGATCGCTTGTTCTTCAGCGTCCATGGCCTCTTGCCCATAGGTGTCAAGCCCAGCAATTTCAACCGATTTGGGTATTCGCAATATGCCGAGTGAATTCAAAACCTTCGCGATGACGTAGCCTGGGATGAATCCCAAAACTCCAAACATAATGATCGCTCCGATGAACTGTCCAATAGGATTGATCACTTGAAAGCTTGTATCAGGCGACGATGGATAACCCCAGAGCATGAACCCTGCGATCACGACGCCGAAGAATCCTGCATAACCATGCACTGCTACGGCACCCACAGCATCGTCAATCTTGAATCGTCGCTCTATGTAATAGTGCAGCTTATACATGAAGATTACACCAACGATAGCGATGAACATTGCCTGAATCGGGTGGTACAGATCGTTACCCGCAGAGGCTGCGATAATTCCAGCAAGTCCCGACGAATAAGTCCAGAACGCATCACCCTTTGAAACCCAGTATCCAGCGAGCAAACCACCAGACAGGGACATCAGGAAATTGACCGTAATGGCACTCAATGTCGTTGGGCCCAAATAAATGTTGGTAGCTGAGAAAAATTCACCATCACCGGCCTGTACATCCCAGATCGGAACGTTGCAGGCAACATAGAATCCCCAAAAACCGGTATAGATAAGAAACAATCCAATCGTAACCAGCCATGGGTTCCTTGGGTTGATATTGCGAGGCGTACCGTCTGCAGCAAATTTCCCGATCCTCGGACCGAGAACAACCAGAATTCCGAGTGCAAATCCACCTGCAATAGCATGAATAACGCCAGAGGCGTATGCATCGTGGTAGCCAAGCAACTGAACCATCCAGCCTCCTGAATGCCAGCCCCAAGAAGCATCAATGATCCAGAATACGGATCCAATTGCAACTGCCAGAATCCAGAATGCTCCCGACTGTATTCGCTCAATGACGGAACCAGAAACGATTGAAGCCGCAGTCCATGAGAATAAGAGGAACGCTGCCCAGAATACACCATTGATGCGTTCCCATCCATCGGCTCCAGCACCCATGTGAGTGCCCATGAGCTGACTCCAAGGTTCAGCATGTGGTGATTCGACTAAGCCGCCAGTAATTCCCGGGCCGTTTGGGAAGGCGAAATAAATCCACCAACCGAAAAAGAAAAAAGTAATTGTTACCAATGGAATCAACATCGTATTCTTCAATAGCGTATGCATGTGGTTCTTCTGGCGAGAAGCACCAACCTCATACATGCAGAACCCAATGTGAATCAGGAACATGATAACAACCGTAAGCCAATAGTAGAACTCGGTAAAAATTACCACGAGTGCTGATAATTGGTCATCCATGCTCTCACTCCTAAAAATATTTTGTGAAAATCAAATTCTTATATTTATAAATTTCAATTTGCCGTTAACGAGGGCAAAATCTGCCCACTTACTATATTTTCTAATTGATTATCTTGGATTTTATAGCAAATTTACCCTTAGATTCTACATTAGATTGCACTTACGAGGGAAGCAATTAATTGAATTGGGCGATGATGGATGAATGGCTGTACGAATTTATCCGAAATATGGAATATAGATCACACGTCAAATTCATGTCGAGCACGACGAGCTTTTTGGAAGTGTTCAGATGCAGCGAACCATTTAGCTCATCAAAATATTTACGAGATTGTTGCGATTAAATCAAGCTTTACCATGATTTAATATATTGCAGAAACTTATTCTGCCACCCAGTCGGATTGTTCCTCACTGAGTTCCATATCTACTGCCGCTGCAATCAAGGCTTTCGTGTAATCGTCTTGGGGATTGTTGTAAATCTGCTCAGTTTTGCCTTGCTCAACTACGCGTCCTTCACGCAGAACGACAACCATGCTCGCCATCGCTCGTACTACTGCCAGATCATGACTGATGAACATGTAGGCTAGTGCATGACTTCGTTGGAGATTTCTGAGAAGTTCAATTATCTGTGCCTGAACCGAGCGATCTAGAGCAGAGGTGGGTTCATCGAGAACAATGAACTTCGGTTTCAGTATGACTGCCCTTGCAATTGCAATGCGTTGCCGCTGACCTCCAGAAAATTCGTGCGGATAGCGGTGGCGAGTTTGCGGGTCAAGCTCAACTTCTTTCAGCACTTCGATGACCTTTTGTTCTCGTTCCAGCTTGCTCATGTCTTTCTCATGCACCCGAAGCCCTCAGCAATAATTTCAGACACTGTCATTCTTGGACTGAGGCTACTGTACGGATCTTGAAACACAACCTGCATTTTGCGACGTAGCTCGCGCAATTCTTTAGTTTGTCTACCCTGGATTTCCCTGCCTTCAAATCGAATCCTACCTTCACTGCTGATCAATCTTAGCAACGCTAGTGCAAAAGTAGTTTTTCCTGACCCGGATTCACCGACTATTCCAATCGTTTCACCTTCTTGCACCGTTACGCTAACATCATTCACCGCCTTTATATGACCGATGGTTCTTCGCAGCACTCCTCGCCGCACTGGAAACCACACTCGTACAGACTCCGAATCAACTACCACCGGAGCCTCAGGCAGAGGTTCGCCGGAACGTCCTGACGGTTCTGCTTCGAGCAGCATCTTGGTATAGGGATGTTGCGGATTTTCGAATATCTCCGACCTGCTGCCGGTTTCTACAAACTCACCCTGGCGCATGACACAGATTCGATTCGCTAGTTTTCGAACCACGTTTAAATCGTGACTGATCAGTAACAGAGACATACCCATTTCTTGCTGCAGGTCACGCAGCAGTTTCAAAATTTCTGCTTGAATTGTCACATCCAAAGCAGTCGTCGGCTCATCGGCAATCAGCAAACCGGGCTCGTTGGCAAGTGCCATGGCGATCATGACTCTCTGTCGCTGTCCCCCAGACAGTTGATGCGGATAGTCATGAAGACGCTCGCGAGCGTTTCGAATGCGCACCATTTCAAGAAGTTCAAGCGATCTGCCTATCGCATCAGACTTGCTCATCCCTTTATGAACAATGAGCGTTTCGCTAATTTGTCTGGAAATCGTATGCAGCGGATTCAAGGATGTTTGCGGTTCCTGAAAAATCATGCCGATTCGGTCGCCGCGATATTCCTGCAGAACCTGCTGTGAAGCGTAGACCAATTCCTGACCGTTATAGCGGATACTACCGCTCGGGTGAAATGCTGACGGATACGGAAGAAGCTGCATAATTGACAACGCGGTAACAGATTTACCGGAACCGCTCTCGCCAACGATCGCAACGGTTTCACCGGAATGAACATCGAAGGATACGTTCCGAACCGCATCGCTGCGCTCGGCTACAGTCTTGAAAGAGACTGACAAATCCTGCACTTCAAGTAAAGGTGGTAGAGTCTGATTTTCGTTCATTGCACAGTTTTTCGGGGATCAAAGGCAGCTCGAACCGCCTCACCTATGAACATGAGCAAGCTGAGCATGATTAGAATAACGAAGAACCCTGTCAGACCAAGCCAGGGAGCCTGCAGGTTAGCCTTTCCCTGTGCCAGCAATTCACCGAGTGAAGCCGACCCAGGCGGTAGCCCGATGCCCAGAAAATCCAGTGAAGTCAGTACTGTAACAGACCCTGCCAGAGTAAATGGCACGAAGGTCATCGTAGCCACCATCGCATTGGGAAGAACATGCTGAAAAATGATCCTGGAGTGCTTTACTCCCAGTGCGTGAGCCGCTCGCACATAGTCGAAATTTCGCGCCCGTAGAAACTCTGCTCTTACCACGCCGACAAATCCCATCCAGGAAAATAGCAGCAATAGACCTAACAGCCACCAAAAGTTTGGTTCGACGACACTCGCCAGAATGATGAGCAGGTACAACGTCGGCAACCCTGCCCAAACTTCAATAAAGCGCTGAAACAGAAGATCGGGCCAACCTCCAAAATAGCCTTGTCACTGCGCCGGCAGCAACGCCGACGATTGCGCTGATAATTGTCAGTGTAAACCCGAATAGAACAGATATTCGAAAACCATACAGGGTTCGCGCAACCACGTCCCTGGCCTGATCATCGGTACCTAGCCAGTGCTCTCGGTCTGGTGAAGAGGGTGCTGGTGAATTAAGCCCCCACGCGACAGTTCTATGGTTGTAGCGAATCAGCGGCCATACCATCCAGCCTTCATTCTCTATCAGTTCCTGGACATAAGGATCCTTGTAGTCAGCCGCTGTTTCAAATTCGCCGCCAAATGCAGTTTCAGGATACGACTGAAAGATCGGATAATAAAATTCTCCCTTGTACACTGCCAAAAAGGGTTTGTCGTTAGCGATGAATTCTGAAAACAGCGACATTCCGAACAGCACTATGAAAATCCACATCGACCAATATCCACGCCGGTGAGCGCGAAAGCTGTCGAGTCTTCGTCTGGCAAGAGGGCTGATTTCCATGCCTAGAAATCTGGGCTGAATGTTCGAATTGAACTCTATGGACATGTCACGAAGTCTCTCTCGATTCAAAGTCAATGCGCGGATCGATTATCGTATACGTCAGATCACCCACTAGATTCATCACAAGTCCGAGTAGAGAGAAAAAATACAGGGTGGCGAACATCACCGGATAGTCGCGATTGAAGGCGGCTTCGAATCCAAGCAAACCCAACCCATCTAGCGAGAAAATAATTTCTATCAGTAAAGAGCCGGTAAACAAGATACTGATGAAAGCGCTTGGAAATCCTGCAATTACGATCAGCATTGCGTTGCGAAAAACATGACCGTAGAGTACGCGACGTTCCGCTAACCCCTTGGCACGTGCAGTCAGTACGTACTGCTGGCTGACCTGATCCAGAAAAGAATTTTTGGTCAACATTGCAAGACCGGCAAAGCCGCCAATTACCATGGCAATGACCGGCAAAGTAATATGCCAGAAATAGTCTGCAATCTTTTGCATCCAGGACAACTCATCCCAATTGCCAGAAGTAAGTCCGCTGAGAGGAAACCAGTCCAGATAGCTTCCTCCGGCAAACACCACCAGCAAGAACACTGCGAATAGAAATCCTGGGATCGCCGTACCTACAATCAATGCAACAGTAGTCCAACCGTCGAACCGGGTTCCGTCTCTCGTTGCCTTTACAATGCCAAGCGGAATGGAGATCAAATAAACAAACAGCGTAGTCCATAGGCCAAGTGAAATTGACACTGGCATTTTGTCGAGAACCAGATCCGTAACGGACTGATCTTTGAAAAAACTCTCCCCGAAATCGAAGAATATATAGTTCTTGATGGTCTGATAAAAACGAACATGCAACGGCTTGTCAAATCCGAAACGCTGTTCGAGTTCAGCAATGAACTCGGGATCAAGACCCTGTGCACCGCGATATTTGCTGGAGCCACTCTGCCTTCCGAGCGCACCGCTCTGTGAACGTCCCTGTTCGAGTGTTTCACCGGATCCTGATCTCGAAACGCGTTCTGTGATTTCCCCGCCAATACCGCTGAGTTCAGCGATGACCTGCTCGACTGGACCTCCCGGAGCAATATGGATCACCGCGAAATTGATGAGCATGATCGCAAAGAGAGTCGGTATCATGAGCAGAATTCGCCGAATGATGTAAGCGGTCATGACTGATCTTGTGTACCGAGTTGCATTAAAAATTTCTTGATGGATTTCCTGAAAGTGCCATTGTCAACTTTCAATGCCAGTTCCCTCAAATGGACAATTATTCAGTCTTTATCGAAGGCTGATCATCGCCCATTGCTTCTGCAAGACTTTGTGCTTTAGCTTCGTCATACCACCATCGGTCGAACAGTACGCCCCTTCTGGTAGGAACCTTGGGCCGGGAAAATTTCTCCCAGTACAGAATTCGATCTCCCTGGATATGCCAATTTGGTATTACGTAGTGGCCTGACAGCAAAACGCGGTCCAGTGCCCGCGTTCGAATCACCAGAGACTCCCGGTCAGGTGCTTGGATGACAAGTTCGATCAACTCGTCGATTACTGGATCTTTAATGCCTGCATAGTTGCTGGAACCCGGCTGATCGGCAGCGTATGACCCCCAATAGCCTCTCTGTTCGTTGCCCGGAGATTCCGATTGCCCCCATCCACTGATAATCATGTCAAAATCCTGAGCGCGGATTCGGTTCAGGTACTGGCTTTGATCGACCAGCCGCACTCGGGCCTCAATTCCGAGCCGCTTGAGGTTTTCTGTAAATGGAATCACAATTCTCTCAAATGCCTGGCTTACCAGCAATATCTCGAAACTCATGCGCTCACCAGTCTTTTCATGAATCAGCTTGAGATCCTGAACCTTCCAACCGGCTTGCGCAAGCAGCTCACGCGCAATCTTCAAATTTTGGCGCGATCTGCCGCTACCGTCGGTTTTCGGGGCTTGGTAAGGTTCAGTGAACACTTCAGTTGCAACCGGTCACGGTATCGGTTCAGAATTTCCAATTCCGCGCCTTCAGGCAGCCCGGTTGAAGCCAGCTCTGAATTCGAAAAATAACTTTCTGTACGCTCATACTGTCCGTAGAAGAGCTGTTTGTTTGTCCACTCAAAGTCGAATGCATAGCTGAGCGCTTCGCGTACTTTGGGATCGGAAAATTGCGCCCTCCTGGTATTCATAACGAAACCCTGCATGCCAGTCGAAAGCTGATGCTTGATAAGTTCTTTTTTCAACCATCCATTTTCGACAGCTGGAACATCGTAATCAGCTGCCCACGCTTTTGCCTGATTCTCCTGTCTTATATCGATATCACCTGACTTCAAAGCCAGCCGAATCGCAGTGTCATCGCGATAGAAGTCGGTACGCAGGATATCGAAATTATGCAGGCCACGCTTGACTGGCAAATCCGCTCCCCAATAGTCTTCAACCCGTTCCAGAACGATATAACGTCCCGGCTCGAAGTCCTTGATTCGATAAGGGCCGCTTCCCAAGGGCGGTTCCAGAGTCGTTTTCTCGAAGTCCCGCTCTTCCCAATAGTGCTTCGGTAGAATTGGCAATTGCCCCACAATCAGAGGTAGTTCTCTGTTTTCAATTTCTGAAAATGTGAATTTTACGCGTCGTTCGCTGACAATCTGTACTCCATCAACGCTGGAGTAGTAGTGCCTGTACCGAGGGTGGCCTTTGGTTGTAAGTGTTTTGAAAGACCATGCTACATCCTCCGCGGTAATTGGCATTCCATCATGCCAGCGCGCCTCCGGCCGTAAATTGAAAATCACCCAGGAACGATCTTCTGGAACTTCAATAGACTCGGCAATCAATCCATATTCTGTGAAAGGTTCATCGTCGCTGGAAGTAAGCAAAGTTTCAGTCGAACCGGTCCCGGTTGGATTTCCGATTGGGATGTAGGCGTTGAAGCTGTCGAATGTACCTCTTGCTGTCGAGCGCAACACTCCACCTTTTGAAGCGTGTGGATTTACGTAATCAAAGTGCTGGAAATCGGGGCCGTACTTCGGTTCGCCATGCATTGCGATCGCATGTACGGGTTTAATGGATTCCGCGGAAGCAGTTAAATTGTTGCCAAAGGCAATAACGCTTGCACAAATCCCAATCAATATGCTACGTCGCACTATTTTTGGCTCGTTAACAGTGTTGAATTTGTAGTCCATTTTTATTTACCATTACATTCGCGAAAATTGCCAATTTATTCATACATTGTAAATCCACGAAATTAGATTGAATTAACAGAAGTTAACTAATTCTTGGCTTGTGGCGATAACCCACAAATTGCGACCATGGAGTATTGCTGAAAGACCTAAATACAAAGTCTGACAGTGCTCGTGAATCTACATGACGCTAGTGATCTTTGCCTGAATGCCATTGAGAGACGAAGCTTCGGCCAGATGGTGCAGGAAAATCCCTTTCCTCAGTCCAGCCGCCAGCAAAAGGAAGATGATGGAAGGAGCCTTTCTTGCTCCCCAGTTTGCTCAAGAAGATCGACCCCAGGTTCACCCAACACCGAAACAGCAGCGGATTTCGCGCCATCCAACCCCACATTGCAAGCCCGATACGAGATTTCCAGTCGATCATTCCACGCTCGAATATCTGTGTCCTCAGTGTACGCAACAATTTCGGCAGAGGAATCTTCACCGGACAAACTTCTTCACAACGGCCGTTCAACGTACATGCGTTCGGCAGGTTTGCAGCATTCTGCAATCCGACCAGCAAAGGCGTCCAGACTGATCCCATCGGACCCGGATAAACCCAACCGTAAGCATGTCCGCCAATGGACTGATACACCGGACAGTGATTCATGCAGGCTCCACAGCGAATGCAGCGTAGCATTTCCCAAAATTCTCCCTGCAGCATTTTCGAGCGACCATTATCCAGCAGTACAACGTGATATTCACTCGGCCCGTCCATATCATTTGAATGTGCAGGTCCACTGTAGATGCTGGTATAGGATGACATTTCCTGACCAGTGGCACTTCTTGCGAGAATGCGAAGAAACACAGACAAATCGTCGTATGAAGGCAGGACTTTTTCTATAGAAGCTGTAACGATATGTACTCGAGGCAGGGAACTCGTCAAATCGCCGTTGCCTTCATTGGTCACCAACACTGAGGAGCCGGATTCCGCAAGTAGAAAATTCGCGCCCGTAATTCCGACATCAGCCTTAACAAACTGCTCGCGCAGCACTGTTCTCGCTTCATTCACGATTGTCGCCACTTCTTCGACGCGCTCGGTCAACCCGTATTTTGCATGATGTTCGTGAAACAGTTCAGTAATCTGAGTTCGGGTTTTATGAATCGCAGGAGCAATGATGTGGCTTGGATATTCTTTGGCGAGTTGAATGATATATTCACCGAGATCAGTTTCAACGACTTCAATTCCTTCGCTTTCCAGCGCGTCATTCAAGCTCATTTCCTCACCGATCATGGACTTGCCTTTGGTAACGCACTTGGCGTTTGCCCGACGGCATAACTCAGTGATGATTTCCACACCTTGTTCGGGAGTGCTGGCCCAGTGAACCTGGCCGCCCGCCGCGGATACGCTTTGTTCAAACTGCTCCAAATACTCATCCAAACGAACCAACACATGATTTTTGATTGCAACTGCGCGCTCGCGCAGTTGTTCAAACTCTGGCAGTTCATTGACTGCAAATTGACGCTTGTCTACAAAACCGCCTCGCGATTTCTGCAACGCAGCCTGTAGTTCCCTGGTCTAGCAGCGCTGTTCTGGCGCGACTTTTGAATTGCGGAGAGGTAACTTCCATAAGATAAACCAGCAGTTACTTTTGAGGCTGTCCGATAGCAGGTGCATTTCCAAGCCCCGCCAACACTTCAGCGACGTGCCGGACTTGAATTTGGCTTCCGCGGCGACGCAAAGTTCCAGCAATATTCATCAGGCAGCCTAAATCGCCTCCAAGCAGTGTATCGGCTCCACTACGCTCGACATTCTCAGCTTTTTCCGCTGCGATTCGAGCGGAAATTTGCGGATATTTTACACAGAACGTGCCGCCGAACCCACAGCACGCTGACGATTCGTTGCACTCCGTCATCTTCAAGCCTTCTACTTGATCGAGCAACATACGAGGTTGCGTACGGATACCTAATTCTCGATATCCCGAACAAGAGTCATGATAGGTGCAGGTAGCGGAATATTCAGCGACTATCTGATAATCTGCAACTTCTGTCAGAAACTCGGTCAGCTCATAGGTTTTCGCTGTCATCTCAGCAGCCCGAGATACGTGTGTCAAATCGCCTGCAAGTACTTCGGGATAATGGATTTTTACGGTCGCCGCACAGGAACCGGAAGGCACAACAACATAGTCAAAGCTTTCGAATGTATTCAGAAAATGGCGGGCGAGTTTTCTAGTGCCGGCCAGGTCACCATTGTTGAACTGCGGTTGCCCGCAGCAAGTCTGAGATTTTGGAACCTGCACCTCGAAGCCTGCATCTGCGATTAGCGAAGCCGCTGAGAACCCGATCTCAGGCCTTATAAGATCAACCAGGCAGGTGGCAAATAATCCGACCGATTTCCCGACTGCTTTGCTCCTTTTCGACACGGCAGTTCAACCCACAATTTCTGTTGTCAGTTAAGAAGTTTGTTCGGCAGCCACAGTGCGATTTCGGGAAAAGCCATAATCAGGGACACACCGATCAACTGTAGCAAAACGTAAGGAATAATTCCTATATAAATCTGCTGGATCTTGACTTCAGGCGGAGCTACCCCTTTCATGTAAAAAAGCGCAAACCCGAACGGCGGCGTCAAAAAACTCGTTTGTAGATTCACAGCAATCAGAATCGCAAACCAGTACACAAGATCAATTTTTGCAACATGGTCGCCAAAATCAAGTAAGGCGATAATTGGCGCAAACACAGGCAGCACAATCAGAGTAATCTCGATCCAGTCAAAAAAGAACCCAAGCAGAAATACTATTCCCATGAGTAAGAATAGAATTCCCCAAGGACCATATCCAGAGTTTTTAACAAACTCAATGACTATATCGTCGCCCCCTAGTGACCGAAACACATATGAAAAAGCCGTTGCACCAATGAAAATAAAGAACAGCATTGCTCCGGTCAAAGCTGATCGTTCAACGATCGATCGCAAAACCTCGAAGTTCAGTCTTCGATTCATTGCGGCAAGCAGTAACGCACCAGCAGCTCCCACACCGGAGGCTTCAGTGGGAGTCGCCCATCCGCCGACAATTGAACCGAGTACCAAAATTATCAGAAATACAGGTGGAATCAGTCCACGAAATATCATCACCCAAAAGTCTCGCCGATTCTGTGGCCCGAGTTCTGGCGGCAATGGCGGCGCAAGTGAAGGCTTGATAGAGGTAATCGTCAGTACGTAAATGGCGTAAATTGAAGCGAGCAGCAATCCTGGAAATACCGCTGCAACGAAAAGATTGCCGACCGACCTACCGAGCAAATCAGCCATGATCACGAGCATGATGCTTGGTGGGATCAGAATGCCAAGCGTACCTGAAGCGGCAATCGTGCCGGTAGCAAGCGGAACGTTGTACTGCCGCTGCAGCATGACCGGCAAGGCCATAAGCGTCATCATCACCACCGATGCTCCGATGATGCCGGTAGTGGCCGCCATGATCGTTCCCATGGCGGTTACCGCCAATGCGAGTCCACCTGGAACTCGGCGGAGTAGGATTTGCAGGCAGTACAGCAAGTCCCGAGCGACACCGCTTTTCTCCAGCGTTGTGCCCATGAATATGAACATGGGAATTGCAACCAGCACTAGATTGTCCGCGATTCCGCTCCAAATCCGTCCAACGATGTTGAAGAATTCTATGGGAACGAATACATCCAAGTACACGCCCAAATATCCGAAACCGAGCGCGGTACCGCCCAGCACCGCCGCGACTGGATATCCGCTGAATAACAATATCGCCAACACTAGAAACATGAACAGCGGCATGTAGTCAATGAACAGATCCAGCATCACATTGCCTACTTGATTTCAGGTATTTCAACTTCGGTAAGGTGAACCGCCACTTTCCTTTCATACTCGGTGACAATCTCGACGAACTCCGGGGGGCCGAAAAGTTGAATGATTTTTCGAAACGCAGTGCTAATCCCACTGGCGAACAGCAGTAGGAATCCAATCGGCAATACTGCTTTGATGATCCATCGGTACGGCAGGCCTGTGGCCGACGGCGCCGATTCGTTCATTGCGAATGACCGATGCCACCAGTCGACTCCGTAGAAAATCACGAGGAACGAGTACGGAATCAGAAAAAACAAACACCCGATCAGTTCTATCCAAAGTTGCTTGCGACGGCTGAGCCGCTCACGTAAGAGATCGATTCTTACGTGCGAGTCCTTGAGGTACGCATAACCCAAGCACAGCATGAACAGCACAGCATGAATGTGCCATTCCAACTCCTGAAGCTTGGTCGACCCAAGCACCAGAAACCTACGCGTAACCACATCAAAAAGAATCACGACGATCAGGCCGATCGAAGTCCATGCTGCAAGTCGCCCGATGAAAATAATTGTGTTATTGAACAGGGCGTCTAAGCGAAGAATTGTTTTCATGGAAAATTTCTATCTAAAAATGGAAAAGCGGCATGAAAAGCATAAAAAAATGTAGTCGAAAGCACAAGCGCATAGCTTCGCGCCCCTCGACTACAAAATACTAGTGTTTAATTTATTCTATAGTGATAATTCAGATATTACAGATATCCAAGTTCCCGCCAAATTGAGTAATCCTCCCGGAAACTCGAATAAGATTCCCAAACTCTTGCGAAATCGGGATTGGCAGCAACCTCCTCTTCAACATGTGCATTCCAGGCCTCTTCCAAAGCGGCGAGAATGTCGTCGGACCAGCGATGAATCTGTACACCCTTTTCCTTTAGTTCTAACAAAGCGGGGACCTGGAGTGCCTCACCTTCCAACAACCCGAAGCGGAAGTTGTCACCACAGGCAAGTTCGAACTGCGCCTGCTGTGTAGCATTTAGAGAATCCCATTTCTCCTTATTCATCAAAATTTCAAAGACCGTGGATTGCTGATGCCATCCTGGGAAATAGTAATGCTTTGCGATTTGGTAGAAACCCAGCTTCAAATCAATCGCTGGCATTGAAAACTCGGTCGCATCGATTGAGCCTAACTCAAGTGCCGGGAAAATATCTCCACCTGCAATCAATTGTGTTGATACCCCCATTCTTTCCATCACTTTGGCACCCAAACCAAAGAAACGCATCTTCAGCCCTTTCAAGTCATCAACTGTTTTGATTTCCTCTCGAAACCAACCGGAAGCCTCCGGTGCGATCACTCCGCAAATCAACGATTGCAATCCGTGTCTGTGGTAAATTTCATTCAGCAGGTCCTGCCCACCGCCGAAATACAGCCATGCGCCATACTCTGAAGCGCTTGGACCGAACGGGACTGCTCCAAACAAAGCAAGTGCGGTATTTTTTCCATACCAATAACCCGGTGTCGACCAGCAAGCATCAATTGCACCTGATGCGACCGAATCAAAACATTCCTTAGGTGGAACCAAAGCACCAGGCTCAAAATATTTTACCTGGATCTCGCCTCCCGATACCCGATCAAGGTTTTCGGTAAAGTGTACGCCGAGAGTACCAAGTTGTGTCAAACTGGATGCGAACCAGCTCGCCATTTTCCATCGGACCTTATCCGCAGAAACGGGAGCTGAAGTGAGTCCAGCGAATGCAATAAATGCGGCTACAATTACCGCCATCAATTTGCGTGATTTCATCTTAATTCTTTCCTCCAAAATAGAATATTCCCATCGCGAAGAACGCAATGGGCATTTGTTGAAATAGTCACAATAGTTCTGAAATATCTTACATTGCATTAATGTTTGCAAGTGAAATTACTGCATTTTGCTGACTATTTCAGATTCAATATATCAGACTGAACCCAATTCGTATTGAATTCGAATAAAAATTAGTCACATTAACTTGACGATAAAATTCTAATTTCAATCCTAATTGTCCGAGCTGGCACATACTTAGTATCATTTCTACGATATAGCAGGCAAGAATCTTGACAATGTTTGACCTTCGTTTATGACGGTGTTGTCTGAAATCCGACAAGGGTTGGTTTCGTACCAACCTGAGGTTGTCGACGATTCCAAGCGTCGCCGTGCTGCTGTCAGCCTGATACTGACAGAAGGCGACCAGGGAGCAGAAGTATTGTTCATTGAACGGGCACGACGCGTCGAAGATCCATGGTCTGGACAGATGGCGTTTCCAGGAGGCAGACGAGAACAGGGAGACGTTACACTGCTCGCGACGGCTCAGCGAGAGACACTTGAAGAAGTAGGACTGAGGCTCTGCTCTAGCTGTTTGGTTGGGCAACTCGACGACATTGTTTCACCAAAAGAAAGTCCGGCACATGGTCTGGTCGTTTCCTGTTATGTTTTTGAACTACTCAGTGGCGGGACGATTTCAACGAATTCGGAAGTTCACGATACAGTATGGATTCCAGTATCAGCACTGGTTGACCCGGAGAATTTCACGTCTGACTACCGCCCTACCGGTTACAGCGGAACTTTCCCGGGAATTCGGGTTTCCGGCAACGACACGCGGGTAATCTGGGGATTAACCTATCGCTTTCTATGCCGATTTTTTTAATGCAATAGAGCCAAAAGGCGTACAGCATCATACAACCTGAGAAATCATGTTTGATATATGTAGTCAGCTACTAGCCCAACAGACCGTCTGGATATTGCAGCCGCAATTCTGTTGAAATTGAGACAAGACAAATCAAAGGCATAGAAAATCGGAAAGCGGTAAAATGAAGAGTTCGAAACTATTCAGTAACCAGCCATGAACACCAAACAACTTCAACCTGTCCAAGACAAGTTTGCTCGCCCGATCAGGGATATTCGTGTTTCGATTACTGATCGGTGCAACTTCCGTTGCGTGTATTGCATGCCGAAGGAATTCTTCGGCTCGAACCATGCTTTCATGCATCGAGATGAACTGCTCACTTTCGAGGAAATTGATCGCTCGATCCGAGCATTCGTAGCCAATGGCGTAAAGAAAGTGCGGATTACCGGTGGTGAACCCATGATTCGTCGAAATCTGCCAGATCTGATTTCGCTGCTTTCCGAGATTCCTGGAGTCGAAGACTTGAGCATGACGACAAACGCGTCGTTGCTGACCGCATCCGCAGCTCGTACGTTGCACTCAGCCGGACTGCAACGTATCACGATAAGTCTTGACGCGATAGACAACAAAGTGTTCGGATCGATCAATGATGTGAAATTTCCAGTCAAGCGAGTGCTTGACGGAATTGAAAACGCGCAGTCTGCCGGAATATCACCCATCAAAGTCAACATGGTAGTCGCCAGAGGCATGAACGAAGACGAAATCCTGCCTATGGTTCGGCAATTTCACAATTCCGATGTCATTCTGCGATTTATTGAATTCATGGATGTCGGCAATACCAATGACTGGCAAATGGACAAGGTCATTCCAGCGACTGAAATTCTAGATACGATCCGCCGCGAATTTCCGATTTACCCAGTATCGCCTACCTACCGAGGCGAAGTCGCCAAGCGTTGGAGATATAAAGACGGCAAAGGTGAGATTGGCATCATTTCATCCGTTACCGAACCTTTCTGCGGCACCTGCAACCGCGCCCGTCTGACAGCGGAAGGAAAAATTTCACATGCTGTTTGCAACCAGTGGATTTGATCTTCGCAAACCTATCCGAGAGGGTGCCGATGTAGAGCAGCTTACGACGATTATTCAGAATATATGGAAGTCTCGAACTGATCGCTATTCCGAGCTTCGATCGCAAAGCACGGTGGCGCTGCCGAAAGTTGAAATGTCTTATGTAGGTGGATGACTCAGCTCAGATCGCCTGAATCAGAGCCTTCATTGCTGCTGATCTCTATTGAGACGGACATGCAGAAATATTATTTCGGTTGGATGGATTCTCAAATTTGAAAGCGGGCGATTAAACGTTCAATTGAAAGTCAACTTGTGTCAAAGCCTCGATGAGTTTTAAACGTTGATCATCCGATAGCACAACCAAGGGTGGGCGAACCCTGTTCCAGTCTGGATCTGATCGAAAAGCTGAATGCACCGACTTGAGGGCTGCAGCAAGTGGATACCGAAATACGATTTGTCGAATTTGCTCTGCCTTACTCTGCGCATCTTCTGCGTTTTTTGCAACTGACCACAAATCGTACACCTTACAAATCCCCGCAGGGTTGATATCGGCCGTTGCAGTTATTGTGCCAACTGCGCCAATTTTCAGTCCCTTGAGCAACAACATGTCCGATCCAGGGAAGATGGATAAATTTGGATATGCCCGGATAAATCCTTCAACACTTTGCCAATCACCCGAAGAATCCTTCAATCCGGCAATCAGTTCGCCGTGAGATTCAATCAACTTATCGATCAGTGCATGCGTTATTGGAACAGCGCTCATTTTGGGGTAGTGGTATAGAACCACCCTCAGCCTGGAGGAGTTCACCTCATCGAGTACATAGCGATAGCTTGTACTGATACCTTCCAAGGAAAAGATCCTTGAAATAAAATGGCGGGACCATCAGTACTGATTCACAACCCAGCTCCATGGCATGTCTAGTCACAGCAACTGTGTCGGTAATCGCTGTAAACCCGTTGCCAATTATCAAATTTCGGGGAGAAACGCCAGAAGCGATGAGCTTTTCCAGTGCTGTCATCCTTTCCGCTGCCGAGAAAGAAGCGGCTTCTCCTGTAGTGCCAAAAAGCACAATCCCTCTGCATCCATTCGACAACAGCCAATCAATATGGTCTTTCAGCCTCAATTGATCAATTGTGTAGTTGTCTTTGATAGGAGTGAGACAGGGCGCCCAGATACCTCGAAGCTTGGAACTCGAAGATGCATTGGTTCCTAACTGAGTGGAATTCACCGAGTGCATTGGAAAGCTCTTGCTTTCCGATCCGAAATTTTCAAATTTCATAGATAAATCCTAGCTTTCATCATGATGTGAGTTGCTATCAAACGGAAAATTATAACGAAAACTCAGGAGGCAGAATTTTTAGAATGGTTCATGTCTATCAGATACTGATAAACTCGGCAGCCTGCCGCTAGTCGTATCCAACTGGAATTCTTCCTGCCGTTTATTTCTTTACCAGGTGTTCCTGCAGTCTGGGCATTAGTTCGACCAGATTGCAGGGGCGACTTCGATAATCCAACTGGTGTTCGATCAACATATCCCATGCATCTGCACATGCGCCTGCCGACCCCGGCAGACAGAATATATAGGTGGCGTTCGCCACTCCTGCAAATGCTCTTGACTGCAATGTCGACGTCGCAATCTTTTCATAGGATAACACCCGAAACATCTCGCCAAATCCGCTGATTTCTTTGTCCAGCAAAGGACGAATCGCCTCCGGCGTTCCGTCTCGCCCTGTTACACCGGTACCTCCGGTTGTCAGAATCACCTGAATCTTTGGGGTAACGATCCACTGGCAAACCTGAGCCCTGACCTGATGAATATCATCGACAACAATCTGCTTATCCACACATTGGTGCCCCGCGTTCCGAACTCGCTTAATCAGCAGTGCCCCGGATTTGTCGTTTTCTTCGGTACGGGAATCTGAGATTGTCAATACGGCAATGGATACCGGAATAAATTTACGAGATTGGTCTTTCTTTGTCACCGCGGTCCCAATTGAAATCGTTATGCGAGAATCCTCAACTATATTGTATTGCTAACCACACACTCAATTGCGGGTTGAATCTAGCAACCACATCATGCAATTCCAAACTATACAATAGTAGAAGGCAGATGCCGATAGCAGAGAATCACTCGAATCGCGCCTGTAAATGAATTGTCTGATACAAACTGCAAGGGGAATTAGAAAATGGCGGAGCCAAACATAGCACAAAAAGAACCTTATGAAGTTACCCTGAAAACCGGAGAATACTGGTGGTGCAGATGCGGCCAGTCCAAGAACCAGCCCTTTTGCGACGGGTCTCACAAAGATACAGAATTTGAACCTAAACAAGTAAAAATATCAAGGGAAGGAAAGTATTATCTTTGTGGCTGCAAACATACCGCCAAACAGCCGTTCTGCGACGGTACGCACAATAGCCTTGCGTAAACTGCTTGGTAGAGAGCTGCCGCACTAATGTTTTCCAAGGATAGGCAGTGCACGCTCGCCTTGACGCCGGGTGATCCGGCAGGAATCGGACCGGACCTTGCGGTCTTGCTGTCCAAACGGTCGACCACGGACAGAATTGTAGTCATCGCAGACCGAAACATGTTGGAGGATCGATCGAAATTATTGCAGTGCGAGATATCGTTTTGCAGTTACGACTCCGAATCCCAACCGGCCGACAAAATGGAAGTCCTTCATTTCGACTGCGACTCGCCAGTCGTTCCCGGTAAAGGCGATCCCAGTAATGCCAGGTATGTTCTCAATACGCTTGACAGAGCAGTGCAAGGATGCTTGAGTCGGGAATTCGATGCTATGGTCACTGGACCCGTGAACAAGGAAATCATCGCACGCTCAGGATCCCGTTCATGGGACATACCGAATACCTTGCCGAACTGACCGGCTCAAAATGTCCGGTAATGCTTTTGACTGACGGAGAGCTTCGAGTCGCATTGGTCACGACTCATATCCCTTTAAACCAAGTAGCCGAAGCCGTTACCTGCGAAAGAGTCACTGCAGTCGCCACAGTATTGCACAATGATCTTCGCAGCCGATTGGATATCGCGTCTCCACGCATCGGAGTTTGTGGGCTAAATCCGCATGCCGGTGAAGGAGGAGTGCTTGGAGATGAAGAAATTGAGAAAATAATTCCGGCCATCGAAATGCTTCAAAAGCAAGGAATTAAATGCAGTCGGACCTCTACCTGCAGATACGATATTCGTTCAGAATCAACTAGAAAAATTCGATGCCATTCTATCGATGTACCACGATCAGGGATTGCCGGTGGTCAAATATGCAGGATTCGGAGAAGTGGTGAATGTCACACTCGGACTGCCCATTATTCGTACCTCAGTCGACCACGGAACTGCTTACGGAATTGCCGGTACTGGCAGTGCCGAAATCAACAGCCTGTTAAGCGCTGTTGAAATGGCACGAGAATTATCGAGAGTATGAATTTCGTGGCTTCCACCTCAAGAAGAAAGCGACTGGGACAGCACTTTTTGATTGACCCGCAGGTTATTGGTGACATCGTGGCCTTGATCAATCCTGCACCGCAAGATTTTATGGTCGAAATCGGTCCTGGCCGAGGCGCAATCACTGAAAAACTCGTCAACCGAGTCGCACACCTGCATGCGATAGAAATCGATGAGCAGCTTGCACACACGCTGCGCAAGAATTTGCACCCCGATTCCATTGAAATTCATCACGCCGATGCACTTAAATTTTCCTATTCTTCACTATGTGCAGAGAATAAAAAATTCGCATCGTCGGGAACTTGCCGTATTCCATATCTACGCCATTGCTTTTCAAGCTACTGGAATACGCGAGCTGCATACAGGATATGTGTTTCATGGTGCAGCGTGAAGTCGCTGATCGCCTGACCGCTGAGTGCGGAACGCGTAAATATGGCCGACTGACAGTGAACGTTGCCATGACGATGCAGGTTGAAGCGGTGTTCGATGTTCCACCCACTGCATTTTCCCCTCCTCCCGAAGTACAATCTAGCATGATTTATATGCAGCCAAAACAACTGGAAGAACCGGATACAGTCACTGCCTTCGCTTTTTCCGAGTTGGTTCGTCTAGCGTTTGGTAACCGAAGGAAGACTTTGAAAAATTCTCTCGCCGGACTGATTGATGAAACGAATTTTCTAGAAACCGGTATTGACGCAAATTTAAGAGCTCAAAACTTAAGCCCCGAAAACTATATGCGACTTGCCCATAATTCAGTCTTGCACAATCCAAGAGCCCGGGAAATTTTCAGCAACATCCGATGAATACATGATCCGACCTCTGCTCATCGCCTCAACACTGCTTGCGTCTATCGCAGTATCACCGCTACAGTCCAACTATTTTGACTGCAGTGTCGTGTATGACGAGTTCGACCAGTTGATGATGTCTAATTTTCTGATCGAGCCGGATCGCTACGTTTCCACTTTGAACAACACCATCACCAGGGATGGGCATCTGCAACATCAGCTCGGTCTGTTCAAACTTCGAGATGGGCGCCAGAATGCGGGGATTGGAATATTTCGGACGAATCAGAACCTCAGCGGAAAAATGCTTTTCATCTGGCAGGACAACGCATGGGAAGAGCGCACCCCTCTTGTCATAGACGAACTGATCAGTTTCGGGCGCGTTAGAGACGGATACGCACCGGTTCGACAAGAATCAATTTACCTTACACCGGGATTTGGCGTAGACCTGGATAACGCCGAAGTCGTGGAAACCGAAGACGAAAGCGCCGATTTGCTATATGAATTCGAAGGTGGCAAGTACTCTATCCGAGCTATTGAACCTGCTGAAATCTTCTTCCCGACCGAATCCATGTGTCAAAAAATTAACGTGGAAAATAGCGCTACGCAATAGCTCGCAACGCTGCTTTCGACTCAATCGCCGTCTTCAGCAGCCGAATCTTTCGCATAAGACGCACTGATTTCCGGCATCGTCTTGCGGATCCATTGCTCGGCAATTCGATTGAGCTCCTTCGGCTTCATCTTATCGGGAAGAATCGGTTCCCCAATTCGTACGCGTATCACTCCGGGGCGTTTGTTGAACTCTCTTCGGCGCCAGAAATCACCCGCATTGTGCGCTACCGGTACCAATGGAACACCCGCGCGTACCGCGAGTAGAGATGCACTTGCATAAAAAGTACCGTGCTGGCCAGGTTCAATTCGTGTTCCCTCGGGAAAGATGACAACCCAGCGCCCTTCTTGCAGTACTTTCTTTCCTTGCTGAACGACTTGATCAAGCGCTCTTCGTTCTGTAGCTCTGTCAATTTTGATGGGGATGGGTAGCAGCCAAGCCCCAACCGAAAAATGGAATGTACAGCAACGACCGTTTCAACACCCAGGCTTGAGGAGGAAATATGGTTTGATATGCAATGGTTTCCCAAGCGGACTGGTGCTTGGAAAATAGAACCGCGGGCGTAGCAGGCAAATTTTCCATGCCCTCAACTTCATGGCGAAGCCCGCACACGACTCTCAAAAGCCAAATTACGAAATGTGCCCAAAAATCCAATCACCCGGGAACGAAATTTCGCTTCACAGAAATAGACCGCAACCGCAACCGGCCAAAACACCAGCGTGGCAACGACCATGCTGGTAAAAAAAACGAATGCACGTAGCGCACCAATCACATCTGTTCTCTCAAATTGACATGGTTCAAATCAACCAAAATTGATGCAGCCTGTTCAGCAGCAAAACTACGAATCAAAGTCTGAAATGCGCAGAGTTCCATCCACAAATTTTCCTTTTCTTTCCAAAACTCGTGCAATTTTCTGCCAGAATGCATCATTCAAGTCAAATCCTGAAGCAATTGAGGTCCCAAGTAGCAGAATCAGCAAATCCGCACACTCTTCAGCCAACTTATCCTTGCCCTTGCCTTTTGTTATCGCCGCCGACACTTCTCCGAGTTCCTCGCACATCAATGCAACCCGAAATCTGAGGTCGTGTCCTCCGGTATTTTCCATGTCATGCTTGTCGTGGAAACTCTGAACGACTTCCAACATCTGTTGATACGAATCTCGATTCATCCGTTCACCTTCACTGGCTGTAGTAATGAAATTTCTGCTACTTCTCGAAACAGCCGACTTACGAACCCAACCAGGGCAACCCGATTTCGGCGAATTTGCTTGTCCTCAGCCATTACCATGACATCATCGAAGAAGCTGTCAATGGGATCGCGCAGTACTGCAAGCTTACGCAGAATCTCACCATGATCCGAGGCTCGAATCAACGGTACAATCTGTTTACTCAAATTCATCGCCTGTTCATACAACTGCAGTTCGGATTGCTCAACCAGCAATTCTGGTTTCACCTGCACACCTTTCAACTCACCACTCTGGCGCAAAATATTGCTGATGCGCTTGTTGGCAGCGATCAGGTCACCGTACTCCGCAAGCTCCCGAAACTGACGCACTGCACGAAGTCGCTTGTCAAATTCAAGTGGTCTCGCTGGCTTTAATTCATATACCGCAGCAAATTCATCTGCCAAATAACCTTGGTCTAGATAGTAGCTGCGAAGTCTCTCCAGCATAAACTCAAACACGTTGGCTACCGTGTCATCATCAGGAGCAACTTCAACCTCGCTGGGCGCTACTGAGTTTTGCTTTGTGTAAATTCTGGCTGATTCATGCAGCAAGGCATTCAGATCTAAATCAACATCGCACTCGATTATGATTCTCAGCACGGCAAGAGCCATGCGCCGCAACGAAAAAGGGTCTCGATCTGCTTTTACTTTCTCGCCAGCAGCCATCAATCCCAATAGAGAATCAATTCGGTCGGTGATTGCGACAATTCTGCCGACTTCCGATTGCGGCAGTGCATCGTTCGCAGTACGCGGTGAATAGTGCTCGCCTATTGCCGTGGCAACCGCAGATGATTCACCTTCGATCTCTGCGTAACGTCGTCCCATGCTTCCCTGCAAGTCCGGAAACTCCCCGACCAATTCAGTAACGAGGTCTGCTTTCGACAAAGCAGCCGAACGATGTGCCGCCGTTCCATCGGCGCGGAGTTTTGAGGCAACATACGACGCCAGTTCACTCATTCGAACCGACTTGCTGAGCACTGAACCCAAAGCTTTATGAAACATAAGATTCCGAAGCAAAGAGGTTTTCTGCTCAAGTGTAGTATTGCGGTCTTGTTCCCAGAAAAATTTTGCATCAGACAGTCTTGCATGCAATACACGTTCGTTTCCCTTGACAATTCGTCGCTCGACTTTCTCGCTTGCAGGTTCAATATTTGCAATCCCGATAAATCTTGGCAACAACTTACCACCTGCATCGAACACTGGAAAATACTTCTGATGACTACGCATAGAAGAAACCAGTACTTCGTCCGGCAGATTCAGGAAAACCGAATCGAATTCTCCGCAAAAAGCGAAGGGCCATTCGACTAGATTGGTTACCTGATCCAATAGATTCTCATCATTCATCGCCAGACCGCCTGCGCTCTTCTCGCATCGGCGAATCTGCTCTAGTATGGTCTGGCGGCGAACGCCCCAGTCGGCCTTGACCTTGCCTGTCGAATTCAGCAATTCGAGATAGCTGTCCGCATCCCGAATCGTGATTGGTTCAGGAAAGTGAAACCGATGTCCTCGGCTCTCAGAAGCAGACGAAATAGAGAAAATGTCGCATGGCACGACACTCTTCCCGTGCAGTAGGACAACCCAGTGCACCGGACGCACAAATTCGCTCTCGGAATTTCCCCAGCGCATTTTCTTGGTAATAGACAACCCCGATACAGCGTTTTGAACGCAACTCGGAATCAACTCATAAGCTTCACGACCGGGTTCAGTGAATCGACAGGCTACGAATTTTCCTTTCTCCGTTTCAATGGAGATCAGTTTGCTGACATCAACGCCGCATGAATTCGCAAATCCAACTGCCGCTGCACTCGGTACGCCCCGATCATCGTACGCTCTCTGCAGCGGCGGCCCGCGCTTCATAACCTCAGCATCTTCTCGACGTGGTTTAACCTTTTCAACCGAAACCGAAATTCGTCGCGGTGTGGCATACCACTTTGAATCTGTCTCAAGCGAATCAATCAGTCCGGCTACCAACAGCTCCTGCTTGAGATTTTGTTCAAGCTCGGCACTCAGACGATTCACTGCATCCGGCGGCAACTCCTCGGTACCTATCTCCAACAGCAGGGTTGCCGGAGCTTCAGGCCAGACATCGGACGCAGGCACTTCCTCTGAACGCAGCCCTGTAACGGCAGATTCTTCACGGCGTAATAGACGTGGAAAATCTTTGGCTTCCCGGCTTGCGTAATAGGTCTCAGCGACCTTTCGCGCAAGGTTGCGAACTCTGCCGATGTAGCGAGCTCGCTCGGTTACGCCGATGACGCGTCGAGCATCCAAAAGATTAAATGTATGCGAAGCTCGAAGCACTTGCTCATAAGCGGGCAGTGACAAACGGAGTGCCACAAGCTCGTTGCATTGGTTTTCGAAATTTACAAACTGATTTAAGAGCACATCCGTATCAGCTTTTTCAAAATTGTAGGCCGACTGTTCCTGTTCATTCTGCAGATAGATATCTCCATAGCTTAGCGAGTCGTTCCACCTCAGGTCGTAGACACTGTCGACGCCTTGAACATACATTGCAATTCTCTCGAGCCCATAAGTGATTTCACCCGTTACCGGTCGGCACTCAAGTCCTCCAACCTGCTGAAAATATGTGACTTGAGTGATTTCCATGCCATTCAGCCAAACTTCCCAGCCCAGCCCCCAAGCACCGAGCGTCGGAGACTCCCAATCGTCTTCGACGAATCGGATGTCGTTGTGAAGTGGATCAATTCCCAGATTTACCAGCGACCCGATATAGATTTCCTGAAAATCCGCAGGTGATGGCTTGAGCACGACCTGATACTGGAAATAGTGTTGCATGCGATTCGGATTTTCTCCATATCTTCCATCCGTGGGACGCCGAGACGGTTGTACATAGGCGGAACTGGATGGTTCCGGGCCAATCGCCGCTAAAAATGTTGCAGGATGAAATGTACCAGCACCGACTTCCATGTCATAGGGTTGCAAAATAACACAGCCCTGTTCTGCCCAGTACTGATTTAAAGCAAAAATGATCTGTTGGAAATTCAAAGGAAAATTATTCGTAAGTGGCTAATTGGATTGCATAAACTGGCTGCTTGAGGAGCTTGATTTCTCTCTGCAGCACACAGAACAGCCAGTATTCGGTGAAAACTGCCAGAATTGATGTTGGTAATTATACGCTATCGATTTCACAGTCGAGAATCATGACATGGGAGAACAGCAGCGTACCGCTGCCGCTCACGTCGCCTGCAGAACGGATCCGGATGCTGTCGCCTTCGATTTTCGTGAACGCGCTTTTGAACTCGTTCCACCGAATTCGGTTCGAACTCTACGAAAGCCGCTTGACAGCCGTCCCAGTGGATGACAACCTATGAATTCAATGACTGGAGACAAGTCAATGCATCAAAGAGGGCGCTGACAGCCCGTGTGGAGAACCCTCGCAGCGATTCTTATCGACATCAACAAAACTTGGGCTTGATCCCCGATGGGCAGGCCCTCACGATGATCCGTGCTATATAGACAGAGGTCAACTCCGCGACGCAACACAGTCAGGTGGTAACCAATCCACGCATAACAGAGTGATCTAAGGTCGATAACAGTCTGTCGCGTCCTCTTTCGTTTTACTGAACGATTATGGGATAAACTTCAAAATCAAACAAACACAACCCGGCACTGGTAACCCTGTTGTAACTCAGTGCAGATCAAATCATAACAGAATCGCTGATACAGTTCAGTATGCGATCATTGGCCCACACCCATTTCATTTTGTTCAGATCACTATGGCTTACCGATCCTCCAAGGCATGCCATACGCGAACAACAATTACCTGATCTTCAAAAGTTTGGTACCTGATTACATACCCGCGCGCGCCGAACCGTACCGGCAGCTCCCGGAAGTCTTGCTCTAAATCCCAAGGCCTTCCTTTTTTCCGGAAATTCCGCCAGAGACTCAGCTGCATCGATCAGCGTATTGACTGCCTGGTCAGCTGCTTGTGGACTATGCGGTTCGATAAGCTCATACAACCGTTTAAGGTCATCCAGTGCCTCTGGTAGCCATCGGACAACCGCCATTAAGCAGACTCAGGCCGAGATGTACCCAGGCTCTTTGCCCAAGCCTTCACATCGACATGGTCTATGGTTTCGCCAGTCACCTCGAACTTTTCCCAACGTGATTTAACCAGTTGCCGCTCGGATTCCAGGGCTTCTTCGACATCCAGAAAGCGTTCTACGGCAGCTTTCATCAGGTAATGAGGAGTTCTATTTCGGGATTTACCCAGGGCTTCCAAACGGTGTTGCGTGTCTTTACTGAGGCGAACGCCAAGTGTTGAATTTGCCATTGTAATCTCTCAGTTTTCGTTACTGTTGTACAAAGTATAACAATGTAGCGCAAAATTTCAATTGATAAGTGATTCATCCTTAGGCTTGCCCTTCGGGCCGTGCCCTACGGCTTCGCCACAGAGCCTGTCGTCTCCGCCATTCGGTAACGATCACTAGCTTATCCGGGAGGCTGGTGAGCGTCCTCTGGTCAACGCCAAGACGAGCGATTGCCTGGTGTTCCCCATCTTTCGGCTTCGCCTGCAAGACAGGTGCGAATCCACATGCGTGGATTTGCCCTGCCCTCCGTTTTTTTACGGGTGGGTGATCCCCCTGTACCTTCCTGATCAATCGGCAGTGACAGGAACGTGCGAAGCTGCGTCGCCAGATCACTATCGCCAAGAAAAGCATCTTGCAGATCGCTGCTGCGACGCTTGAGGATGGTCTAGCAGGCGGAGACTGGGAAGATTGGGCAAACGAGGCACTGGAGCTTACCAGCAAGATTATGTCCCATAAGACGCCGGACGCTCTGAAACACATCTTAGAGGCGCTACAGGCCCGTCAGGAAGAAGCCGAAACAGCCTTTCGCCAAGCCTTCTGGCCTGTGGATAACTCTGAGACATCTGTTGATAACACGGGGACTTCGGACAGTAGTAGTTCACCCGAGGGTGCAATGGACAGTGAAGGTCAACGCCTGCCACCGTCAGATGATTGATGAAGCGCTGTATCAAGTTCGAGGATTTCCGCTTCTGACATGAACCGGCCGCCTCGAACGGTGCTTGTTTGAATGCGACTTGAATCGATTCCGAATCTTCGGAACGGTAGCGCACCTGTGCACAGTGGAAAAATCCAGTGAACACAACTTCAAGTTTGTGATTACTTACAAATTGGCACAGACTCTCCCTCGGTGCTCCCAATCGTGCGTCCTACCCGGTCCACATTGGACCTGATGTTCGATAATATTTTACGGGGTCTTGTTGTTGAGTTTCCGATACAGCAACAGGCAAATGTCAGGTTCAGGAAGTACAATATCCATCACGCACATTCCACTTCTACACAAAAATGACAAAGACGATAAAACGAAAAGCAGTAGCCTTGATATCAGGCGGACTGGACTCAATGCTGGCTGCACGAATTATGCTCGAACAGGATATTCACGTCGAGGGGCTGAATATATTTACCGGATTTTGCGTCGAAGGACATACCCACGCCATTCGCAACAAGGACCGAAAAAACAAAAGCGCAACAATGCGCTTTGGTCGGCCGAGCAGGTCGGCATCAAACTGCATATAGTTGAAGCCATTGAACCCTATAAAGACATTGTCCTCAACCCGAAACATGGATATGGCGCGAATCTCAATCCATGTCTCGACTGCAAGGGTTTCATGGTTGCCAAAGCTAAAGAGTGGATGGAAGTGAATGAATTTGACTTCATTATCACGGGCGAGGTTCTCGGACAGCGACCGATGTCGCAGCGGCGAAGCACTTTTCCGGTCGTGGCACGAGAATCGGGAGCCTTTGATAGACTGCTTCGCCCGTTAAGCGCAAAGCTACTATCGCCAACTTTGCCGGAGCGGGCCGGATGGATAGAGCGAGACAAGCTCTACGAAATCTCCGGACGGAGCCGCAAAAAACAGATGGAACTCGCCGAGCAGTTTGGCATCAGCGAATACTCGCAACCTGCCGGCGGATGCTGTTTTCTAACCGACGAATCGTATTCACGAAAACTGCAGGATTTTTGGGATCACCGAAGCGATAGAAACTATGAACTCGACGACATCATGCTTCTCAAGGTCGGACGGCACCTGCGCCCCAAGACCGACTGGAAGCTCATCATCGCCAGAGATTCGGGTGAAACCCAGTATCTGAATGGCTACCGTTCCAAGTTCGCGCATTTTACAATTACGAGTCATTCCGGCCCGATGACTCTCGTCGATGGACAAATTCCCGATGAAGATGTGGAAATGGCAGCCCAGCTGATTGCCCGATTCGGCAGCTCGAGAAATGCCGACCGGGTAATGGTTCAATTTACCGACCTGGAGGGCAACGAACGCATGCTGACTGTCTCTCCTATGAAACCAGCAGAGATTCCGCAGCCATGGTACGTGTAGATCAAACGCTGGACGCCACAAATCTGATTTGTCCGATGCCAGTGATTCGTACCCAGGAACAGGTTTCTGCCCTCACTAGCGGCCAGGTTCTTGAGGTCGTATGTACTGACCCCGGTGCGCTTGTCGATATTCCGGCCTGGTGCCGGATTCACGGACACAAAGTACTTTTTGCGGAAAATCAGGGAAACCAGTCCATCGTTCGCTTGCAGGTGTGTGACTAAGCAAGCTCAATCGATAGACTTTGTACAACTGTAAAATTCTGCCGAAATGTTGAGATTACGAAGCGCAATCAAATAAGCCATTCCGTAGCTCGTCGAATCCGAAGCAGATGTTCGCATCATAGCCGACTTCAAGTCACGTAACCCCGAAAATATTCGAGCGCATCGCTCAATAATCATCATTTTGGTGCATAATCTCCACTAATGCACTAAATTAGTGCATTTTATAGGTGCAGGATTGCCAATTCTCTGCAAATATTTGGCACGAAAATTGCTGTTATTTTGATAGTTATTTTCAACTAATTCATTTACAGGAGGGTGTATTAATGTCAGTTGAGAACGTCATGAAAATTATCAAGGATAACGACGCCAAGTTCGTCAGTATGCGCTTTACCGATACAAGAGGTATGGTGCAGCACCTGGGATGGCCGGTGTCCAATTTTTCCGAAGAATTGTTTGAAGAAGACATTATGTTTGACGGTTCTTCTATTGCCGGATGGCAGCCGATCAATGAGTCAGACATGGCAATGAGACTGGACCCGCATTCCGCCGTTATCGATCCCTTTGCACAGGAAACCACTGTCATTATCCGTTGCAGCATTTACAATCCAATCAAAGGCGATGGTATGAAAAGGATCCACGCAGCATCGGGCAGAAAGCGGAAAAGTATCTTATTGAGTCAGGCATCGCGGATACCGCGTATTTTGGACCTGAACCAGAGTTCTTTGTTTTTGATGGGGTACGCTGGGCCAGCGGAATGGACAGTGTATTCTATGAAATCAATTCTTATGAAGGTGCCTGGAATAGTGCACAGGATTTTGATGAAGGACCGAATCTTGGGCACAGACCCGGCGTAAAAGGCGGATATTTTCCAGTGCCGCCGATTGATTCAATGAGCGACCTGCGAGCCGCCATGTGTCAGGCCATGATGGACATGGGTGTCACCGTGGAAAAGCATCACCATGAAGTCGGTACCGCTGGACAGGCCGAAATCGGCATCAAGTACAACACCTTGGTCAGAATGGCGGATCAAACGCAGAGTTACAAATACTGCGTGAAGAATGTCGCCGCGGCTCATGGAATGACAGCTACTTTCATGCCCAAGCCGCTGGTTGGAGACAACGGATCAGGCATGCATACCCATCAGTCTCTGTTCAAGGATGGAAAATCGTTATTTGTCGGCGACATGCACTGCGGGCTAAGTCAGGAAGCACTTTACTACATTGGCGGCATATTCAAGCATGCCAGAGCACTGAATGCTTTCACCAATCCGTCCACCAACAGTTACAAGCGGTTGGTCCCAGGATTCGAGGCGCCAGTTCTGCTGCAATATTCGTCCTTCAACCGATCGGCATCCTGCCGAATTCCGTTTTCACCGGAAGCTGGAAGACGCGTAGAAGTTAGATTCCCAGATCCTTTGGCCAATCCTTATCTGGCATATTCAGCAATGCTGTTGGCCGGACTTGATGGCATCAAGAACAAATTTGATCCGGGCCTGCCGACCGAGCTTGACTTATATGAACTATCCAGTGCGGATGAAAAAGCAATTCCGCATGTCGCCGCTTCACTGGCTGAAGCGCTGGCAGCTTTGGATAGTGATCGAGACTTTCTCAAAGCCGGAAACGTCTTCACCGACAATACTATTGATTCGTATATTGATCTATTGACGGAAGACGTCAAAGCCATGCAGCTGGTGACGCATCCGTTAGAGTTTGAAATGTACTATAGCGGTTAAGTACAAGGGAACATCTGCGATAACCACAGACATAATTTAATTGTTCATTTACCTACATCCTCTTTGATCTTCGAGATCTGGCAGATTCACAGGATTTCCAGATCTCGAAAGATTAGATGCAGGGGAATTGGACAACCAGCGGTATTCTGCCAAGGAGGGAGAAACCAGTTCAATGACTTTGCAAACGAGTTTGCATTCCAAGTCGTCCAGATTCGCCCAGCAGGTCCGGGAATCTCCGCAAGTTCTCTATGCGTTGAGTACCGCGATTGTCATTTGCGATGACAATTAAATATTGTACTGATCAATCCATCGGCTCAATCTCTACTTGATTCCAGCGAAAACTATGCTTTGGGAGACAGCATTCTCAGTTACTTTGAGCAGCCGGGCACCATTGAAGTTCTGAAAAAGTGTTTGCACACTTCGCAACCGACCACCTTGCGTCAAACCGAATTGGTTGATGCACAGCATCAATTAAAACTTGTAGACTGCATTCTAACCCCTGCGTCCATAGAAGGGTCATTCTGCCTGATACTGGAATTCAATGAGGTGCATACTGTTGTAAAACAGTTTTTGGGGAATGCTATGAAAATCGGTCAAAACGCAAATACAGCAGTGATTCGTGCGATCGCCCATGAAATCAAGAATCCTCTTGGCGGGCTTCGCGGAGCTGCGCAACTGCTCGATCGGGAGCTCAATGACAATTCGGAAATGAGGGATTACACTCAAATCATCGTTAAGGAAACTGATCGTTTGTGCGGTCTGGTGGACGATATGTCCGGCCCGCAGATTCCGCTTCTTCTATCCAAGATAAACATCTACGAAGTGCTTGAGCATGTCTGTAAACTCGCGCTCGCGGAAGGCGCGAACGGCCTGCAGATCGTTCGCGATTACGATCCAAGCCTGCCCACGGTTCTCGGCGATCAGAAACAGTTGATTCAAGTCTTCATCAATATTGCTCGAAACGCGATGGAAGCGATCGGTAATTCAGGTACGATCACATTTCGTACACGGGTTCAACGTCAGGTTACCCTAAGGAAAGTCCGTTATCAGAATGCAGCAAGAATAGATATCGAGGATAACGGCCCCGGAATTCCTGAAGACATGCTTGATCAGATTTTCTACCCCATGATCTCGGGAAAACCACACGGCGAGGGACTCGGCCTTTCAATCGTTCATCAGATTATCCTCCGACACGGTGGAATAGTAACTTGCGAAAGCACTCCAGGTCGAACCTGCTTCACGGTTCTGCTGAAGTTCTCGGATCAACAGGAATTGGCAGAACGAACTACCGTAGAATCAGGCACGGTAGCGGCATGAAACTAGCTTCGGAACCGGTTTGGATCATCGATGATGATCAGTCCATTCGCTGGGTTCTCGCCCAAGCGTTGAAAAAGAGTGGCATTGACTCAAGAACATTCTGTAGTGCCGATGCCGCACTGGATTCATTTGGCGAAGAGCGCCCGAAAGTCATCGTCACCGACATTCGAATGCAAGGCATGGATGGATTGTTGTTTCTTGACGAAGTTCAAAAAAACATACCGGGTCTGCCTGTCATTGTAATGACCGCGTATTCCGACCTGGACACCACCGTCGAATCGTTTCAGAGGGGTGCACGGGAACACTTGCCAAAACCTTTCGATATTGATGTCGCTGTCACATTGATTCAACGGGTGATAGATGAACAGCAAGGCAATTTTGATGAAGCCTCAGCCAAAAAAATCGAATCCACCACCATGATTGGGGAATCTGCTCCAATGCAAGAGGTGTTTCGAGCCATCGGTAGACTTTCAAATTCAGAGTTCAACGTACTCATTACTGGCGAATCTGGAACCGGAAAGGAGCTTGTCGCTCGTGCCTTGTTCGAAAATAGCGTCAGAAAAAACCAGCCTTTCGTAGCAATCAATGCCGCAGCCATTCCAGTAGATTTACTCGAATCAGAACTGTTCGGCCATGAAAAAGGCGCCTTCACCGGGGCCAATCAACGACGTATTGGAAGATTTGAGCAGGCCGATCGCGGTACGCTTTTTCTTGATGAAATTGGTGACATGCCGCACGACCTGCAAAGCAGGCTGCTCAGGGTGATGTCTGAAGGAAAATTTTACAGAGTCGGCGGTGTAAATCAGATTTCGGTTGACGTGCGCATCATCGCCGCAACCAACCAGCCGCTGGAAGAACTGGTGGAAAAGCACGTCTTTCGCAGCGATCTGTATCACCGACTGAACGTCGTTCGGATTGCGCTGGCACCTGTCCGCGAGCGCGGCAATGATATTGAAAAGCTGATCCACTTTTTTCTAATGCAAGCCGCGAATCAGTTGAACGTCGAAGTGAAGAGTGTTACTCAAAATACCATGGAGTGTCTGACAGCATTTTCATGGCCTGGAAACATTCGGGAAATTGAAAATTTCTGCCGTTCGGTCACGATCATGAGCCCCTCCAAAATTTTAACTCCCCGCGACCTGCCACCGGAAATCGAACAGTGTCGATACAGTGCTCAAAATCAAGGCGCGAATGCGGAGTGGGAACGCTCGCTTCGTCTGGCGATTGAACTTCTACTGGAGAGCGATCTCAAAAAGGGGGAAGGCGAAGTCCGACAGGAAATTGAACGAATCATGCTTGATACAGTTCTTAAATTTAGCGATGGTTCCAGGGGGGAAGCTGCCCGCATACTGGGCTGGGGAAGAAATACAATTACTCGCAAGATCAAAGAACTATAACATGACCCCATCGCACTGCCAGAAATAACTTTGGAGAAGTAATTCCCCAGCAATTCCTCCAGTCTCGAATCCGCCATCAACAATAGCAAGATTGTCAAATGGTGCTGAACCCACCCCAGTAATCTTCAAGATAGTGATTGACGGGACAAAGAACGAGATTGCTTAGACAATATTCACAAACCGGCATCGGCCAGCAGAAATTAGCACGTCAATGTGAAGAGAGAGATAACTTATATTGCGTATAATTCCCTGTCAATTACTTTCCACTTACAACCTTCTATTCCGCTAATTCAATGCCAGGCAACTATATATTTACATCGGAGTCGGTGTCCGAAGGGCATCCCGATAAAATGGCAGATCAAATTTCCGATGCCATTCTTGATGCACTGCTCACCCAAGATATCAATAGCCGAGTGGCTTGTGAAACGTTAGTGAAATCCACCAGTACTTCCAGCGAAGAATCCGCAATTCAACACCATGCGTTGATCGCCGGGGAAGTAACAACAGCTGCCAATAATACTGACTACGACGCCATTGTCCGCAATGTCATTAAGAAAATTGGCTACGATTCGGATGAAAGGGGATTCGACTACAAAACTGTCCGAATTCATAATTTGTTGAACAAGCAATCACCGGATATCGCCCAAGGCGTCAATGAGGGCGAAGGAGATGACGCAGAACAAGGTGCAGGCGATCAAGGACTGATGTTCGGATTTGCCTGCAACGAAACCGATGTGCTGATGCCTTGGCCGATCACCTATGCACACAGACTGGTACGACAACAGGCAACAGTTCGGAAAAACGGCGTCCTCAACTGGCTAGGTCCAGATGCAAAATCCCAAGTGAGCGTAGTCTACGAAAATGACCGTCCGGTTTCTATCAACACGGTCGTACTTTCAACGCAGCATGACGGAGATATCTCATCAGAGCAGGTCCGAGAAGGCGTATTTGAAGAAATCATCAAGCCCGTTATTCCTGAAAGCATGTTACCTCCACGAGATCGTATTCTGATCAATCCCACTGGAAAATTTATCTATGGCGGCCCGAAAGCAGACTGCGGTCTTACCGGTCGTAAGATTATTGTCGACACTTATGGCGGTATGGCGCGGCATGGTGGCGGAGCATTTTCAGGTAAAGATCCTTCGAAAGTTGATCGCTCTGCAACGTATGCGACGCGATACGTAGCAAAAAACATCGTGGCAGCAGGACTCGCGGAACGGTGTGAAGTACAGATTGCCTATGCAATTGGAGTAGCCAAACCGGTGTCCTTGATGGTTAATACTTTTGGTACCGGAAAACCTGGAATCGATGACGACAGGCTGTCAACCATCGTTGAGAGTGTGTTTGATCTTCGACCAAAACAGATTATCAGCAATCTTGATCTGTTGCGACCGATTTATCAGCAAACCGCGGCTTATGGTCACTTTGGACGCACAGAAAAAGAGTTTTCCTGGGAGAACACCGACAAGGCAGACGCCTTGAAACAAGCAGCAAGTTAGCTCGCCAAACCGCAAACCTCATCTCAATTTCTAGAGGAAGTAGAAATGCCAGTAGCACTGAAATCAGTCTCAGAAGATTTTAAAGTCGCTGACCTGAAGCTCGCCGAGTGGGGTCGCAAGGAAATTGCGATCGCCGAAACCGAAATGCCAGGTCTCATGGCTACCCGAGAAAAATATTCTGGTCAAAAGCCGCTCAGTGGAGCAAAGATTGCTGGGTGTTTACATATGACGATTCAGACAGCAGTTCTCATCGAAACACTGCAGGAGTTAGGTGCTGATGTTCGTTGGTCATCTTGCAATATATTCTCCACTCAGGACCATGCAGCCGCAGCGATTGCCACGACAGGGACACCGGTATTCGCTTGGAAGGGAGAATCCGAAGAGGAATACTGGTGGTGTGTTGAACAGACGATATTCGGTCCTAACAATTGGCGCCCCAACATGTTGCTTGACGATGGCGGTGACTTAACGCAAATCATGCACGAAAAGCATCCTGAACTGATGTCCGATGTGCGAGGCCTGACAGAAGAAACAACAACCGGTGTTCATCGACTGTATGAGATGATGGAAGCAAATACACTGAAGTGTCCTGCATTCAACGTTAATGATTCCGTAACCAAGAGCAAATTCGACAATCTGTATGGTTGCCGTGAATCATTGCTGGACGGAATCAAAAGGGCGACCGATGTCATGATCGCCGGGAAAATTGCTGTTGTGTGTGGCTACGGCGATGTTGGCAAAGGGTGCGCACAGTCTTTGCGAGGGCAGGGAGCGAGCGTTCTGATTACCGAGATTGACCCAATTTGTGCGTTACAGGCCGCAATGGAAGGCTATCGAGTTGTAACGATGGAAGAAGCAGCTCCGCTAGCAAACATATTCGTAACCGCAACCGGTAACTGGCACGTCATCACGATGGATCACATGCTTGCCATGAAAAACCAGGCAATTGTTTGCAATATCGGCCATTTCGACGGAGAAATTGATATCGCTTCACTTCGGGAACTCGAATGGGAAAACATAAAACCTCAGGTCGATCATGTCATTTTCCCTTGCGGTAAGAGGTTGATATTGCTGGCGGAAGGCAGACTTGTCAATCTTGGATGTGCAACCGGTCACCCAAGTTTTGTGATGTCAAATTCGTTTACTAACCAGGTACTAGCCCAGATTGAACTATGGACCAACCCCGACAAATACCAAAATGAAGTCTATGTACTGCCAAAAAATCTTGACGAAGAAGTTGCGCAGTTGCATTTGGACAAAATTGGCGCAAAACTAACCCGCCTGACTGAAGTGCAGGCAAAATATATAGGTGTTCCTGTGGAGGGCCCTTACAAAGCGGACTACTACCGCTACTAAGACTGTAAGGGGTAATCCTTCAATTCAGGTGTTTTTAACTTATCAAGCAGAAATATCTGGCAATGCCTGACTTTCCAATATCGCGATAGAGTCCTTGAGTTGCAGTTTGCGTTTCTTCAAACGTCGGATTTGCAACTCATCAACGTTGCGATCCTCCGACAATCTTTTTAGAACGTCGTCAAGGTCTCTGTGTTCCGTTTTTAGTTTTTCTATTCTTATTTGAATTTCCTCAGAAGTATTCTCAAGCATATATGTCCAATCCTAGAACGATTTAGCGTACGGTGCGTACTTTCATTTTATATTAATCTGCCAACCAAATCACCTGCTCTCGCTCACGGGTAGAACCATTGCCGTGACCTTTCTCCGAACTGGTGTGGTCTGTTGATAATACTAGCACTATTCCGTCTCAACTTCCACAAAAAATTAAACTGCAGAATAGCCAGATTTAACAGCTTTATCGATATTGGACATCATCCCCACTGGCCGCGACCGGGCGAGCGATGCCATCAACGATCTGCTCGAGACTGACACTCCCAATCACTTCACCATTTTCGTCAACGACATTGCCTTGCATTGATTCTGTCGCTGTCACCAACTGTATCGCCTCTTCAAGCACTAGATCATGTGACAGAGTGAGACTGCTGTCGACGGCTTCACCCGGTGTCATAACTGACTTGGTTTGGATAACGCGACTTCTGTTAATGTCTTTAATAAAATCATAGATGTAGTCGTCAACCGGATGGAGAATTATTTCCTGCGGGGTTCCTTGCTGTATAACAGCACCGTCGCGAAGAATAGCTATCGTATCGCCAATACGCAACGCTTCATCCAAATCGTGTGTGATGAACACAATGGTTTTATGTAGTTCCTCCTGAAGACTCAAGAGCACGCCTTGCATGTCCGTACGAATCAGCGGGTCGAGTGCGGAAAAGGCTTCATCCATCAACAATATCTGCGCATCGGTCGCCAGTGCGCGCGCCAAACCAACGCGCTGCTGCATTCCACCCGACAGTTGCGATGGATAGTGATCCTCAAATCCGGAGAGTCCTACCCGATCCAACCACTTCTTGCTACGTTCTTTCGATTCCGCTTCCGGCGTGCCCTGAATTGTCAAACCATAAGCGACATTACTCGCGACAGTCTTGTGGACGTGCAACCCAAATTTCTGAAAAACCATGGAAGCTCGAAATCTTCGAAATTCAATCAACTCATCCTTGCTCATTCCCAGAATGTCCTGATCGTCAATCACAATTCGGCCCGAAGTGGGTTCGATCAAGCGGTTGATATGGCGAATCAAGGTAGACTTGCCCGATCCCGACAATCCCATAATCACCGAAATTTCTCTTTCAGGAACATTAATGTTGATGTCCTTCAATCCAAGAACATGACTGTGTTTCTCAAGCAGTTCCTGCTTCGACATGCCATGCTGAACATCACCCAAAACCGACTGCGGATTGGGGCCGAAGATTTTGTACAGATTCTCAATTCTGATTTTGGCTTCACTCATTTATGCGAAGCCTTGCGATGATCTTGAATGCGTTCACCGAACTTCTGCGAAACCCGATCAAAAATGATCGCCAACGCAACAATGGCCAATCCGTTCATCAGCCCCAAGGCCAGATACTGATTTGCGATGGACTGTAACACTGGTACACCGAGACCTGCCACGCCAATCATTGACGCGATCACCACCATGGAGAGCGCCATCATGATTGTCTGATTGACACCCTGCGAAAATATTTGGAAGCGCAAGTGGGATCTGCACCCCGAACAACCTCTGCTTGTAGCTGGCCCCGAACGCGTCGGCGGCCTCCAGAGCCTCTTTTTCCACCAACCGAATTCCAAGATTAGTTAATCGTACGATTGGCGGAATGGCATAAATGCACACAGCGATTAAGCCAGGCACCTTGCCAATTCCGAGCAGCATCACAACCGGCACCAAGTAAACAAAGGCGGGAATCGTCTGCATGATGTCTAGAACTGGCGTAATAGCGGCCTGTAAACGATCTGAACGGGCCATCAGAATTCCTAATGGAATGCCAATGGAAATACACAATAGTGTCGCAACCGAGATGATCGCCAACGTGGACATAGTGTCTTTCCACATGCCAAGATAACCAATTGCGATAAATGATAAGATGCAGCCGACGACAACTTTCATGCTACGCGATCCATACCATGCGAGCGCAGCTAAAATCAAAATTATCAACGGCCAAGGGGATTCGATCAATAGTCTTTCAAACCAAACGAGAAACCTCAGCAAAGGTTCAAAAAAGTTTTCAATTGCTTCGCCAAACTCGCGTGAAAACCCGCGGAATCCCGCATCTATCGCTTTCTTCAAATCTCGTATGGATTGCGGATCCATACTGGGGAACCTCAATAAACTTTCCATGACTGCCTCTACTTGTAAACAAAAAGCCCGCCGGAATTACTCAGACGGGCTTTTTAAAAATGATTTCAAAAATGAAAATCTAGGAACTATTGAAGTTTCTACATCATCATTTCTTTCGCACTGCTGGAAACCCAAGCGCCCCAAACATCGGAATTTTCTTCTACGAATTTCACTGCAGCATCCGCTCCGTCCACCTGGTTGGCGTCCATATATGCCAGCAAAGCATTCATGAGTTCACCCGGGAACACGCGACTTCCAAAGTATGCCCAGACTTCGGCAGTCGTTGATTGCTTGAACTCATCGGTCGCAACAGTGTGAACTTCAGATTCTGTCCAAGCCGATGCCTGTGGATCAGCACAATCCTGCTCTGGCTTCACAATGCAGCCGTTCCAGTGTTCGTCACCAATGTAGGGCACGCCAAAATCAAGCTTCACCATACCGTGTCGGCCGATCAAGGAGGTTGGTGACCAGTAATAACCGAACCAGTTTTCACCGCGTTCAACTGCTTTGGTCATTGAACCATCCAAGCCTGCTGACGAACCTGGATCAACCAATTTCCATCCTTTCTCTTCCATTTTGAAACCACGGAACAGATTGATATTGGTCAGCTGACAGCCCCAACCTGCTGGACAGCCAATGAAAGCGCCTTTTGAAGGATCTTCGGCATCCGGAAATAAGTCCGGTCGCTCCAGTACGTCCAACACAGTTTTAAATTCAGGATGAGCTTTTGCGGTATGCGGTGGAATCCACCAACCTTCACCAAGCCCCGTGATCGGCCCCTCAATGACCGAATGCAGGGTGCCCGCTTCTATAGCTTTACCAAGCGGTTCTCGTACCGCATTGATCCAGAGCTCCGGAGACACGTCCGGCCGCTGTTTTTCATTCATGGAGGTAAACGATGGCATGGTATCACCTGGTACCAGTTCAACGCTACAGCCGTAACCTTTTTCAAGGATCAATTTGTCAACATTTGCGATCAATTGAGCGGATGCCCAGTTCATCGCCGCAATCTGAACATCGCCGCAAGCAGCAAATGCAGTATTGCCTCCAACCAGCAACAACGCGCCGGCTACCAAACTTTGAATAATTTTTTTCATTATCACTCCTATATATTTTTTAAGTATAGTTTCGTAGAATCTTTCCACAGTCGAATATATCACTATATTATGACATTCGCGAATTGGATATGTGCTGTAAGTTCATGCTCAGTCAATACTCTAGTCTGAAGGAATTAATTTTGATAAGGAAGGCCTCTCGATGATTAAAAATGCGTCACTCAAACTGGAATTTCGACGCATTCAATAACGTTCCTAAAAACAAAATAACTCTAATTTCAGACCAGCGCTATCCTCATCACCGTGTGGCTGACGACTTGAATGGCAATTATCTGGTAGTCGGAAAGCCAGCCCCTATCGAGCACTGCAACCGGCTTAACAAATGAACGCACTTGCGGTTGCCCACCGACGCGAACATGTCCGAGTACCATGGTCATCATCACCGCAGTTGCCAGTGTCGCACACGCTTTGAATTTCGCTTGTGCACAGATGCAGTGATGCTCAAACCGGTACCCCTGATCGAAGCAGCCAAAATTCCGTTCCAATGAACTGCGCACCTTATGGTTCCTCTCAAGTATTTCAGCCTATAAGTCCATTAGTGGTTTATTTAGGTCATTGAGTGTCAATCTTTTAGCTAGCTCATGTGAAATGGCAGCTATGGTTATTGCACCTGGTTCACAAAATGGTTCAACTAAACATTGAACAGCAGTTGGGAAATAGGAGAGTATGAATTTTGCAATTTCACGCTTGCTTCCCTGATACGGGAATGGATACGATATCGCTTGAGCGAATACACCGTGAAGCCGCAAAATCCGTAGCAATGAAGTCTCGTCTCATCGCCTTACCGTGTTATATTTACCTCAGTTTTATGCTTCCTTCACAAAATCCTCAAAGTTGATAAGAATTCAGAAACGGGTTTATAAAAGGACGAATCAATTACGAAGCATTTTGGCTTAGTCACATGAGGGCATCATGAAAAAAATATTAATTGGGTTAGCAATTCTAATGAGCGTTTCGCTGGTTGGTTGCGAAAGAATGAAGAATGTCGATTGGAAAATTTGGGAACGCTGGGAAAAAACCAAATCGGTTGAAGTAGTCGTAACGAATATTACTCAGGGCGCTTACCTCACTCCCATTCTGGCAGTTGGTCACGATACTCGCCAAGAAACCATGTTTGAGTATGATAAAGCCGCGTCTGCGGAATTACAGGCGGTTGCAGAAGGTGGCAATATTGAACCACTGGCTGCGATATACGAAGCGGAAGGTGGCGAAGTAGTCAGAAATCCGCACGGGGGCCTGTTAGGACCAGGACAATCTACAACATTCACTCTTTCCCCGGAAAATACACGTCTGTCTTTGGTTGCGATGATTTTGCCGACCAATGACGGTTTCGTCGCACTGGACGACATTGTGCTTCGTGAAGGACAACAGTATCTTTATGCCATCGATGCAGGAACCGAAGGCAATGATGAGCAAATCACTGGTGGCGGCGCACCGAATACACCTGGAATTCCTGCCGACCCAGGTGGCAAAGCCAATAGTGAAGCGTCTGGAATTGCAGGAGTTTCACCCGAAGGCAGCGTAGGTCGGCATCTTGGAATTGCAGGTGGCGAAGGTTCAGCACTTGATCCCGAAGTTTATGGCTGGGAAAGTGCAATCGCAATAGTCAAAGTGACGATGAATAGTAATTGAATAATCTGATGATGTGCCTCGCCTTATTGGCGGGGCACACTTTTTGAAATTTCGGAGGAGTTAATGGCAAATATTGGTGCAGAAATGCTGGCGTCGGACCAGAATCATTTAATCCACCCCCTGCACATTCGCGGAGCACATGACAACGCGAAGATTTGGGTAGAAGGCTATGGATCGACTCTCGTCGATACCGAAGGCAAGGAGTATATTGACGGACTTGCCGGGTTGTGGAACAACACAGCCGGTCATAGCGCTCAGGAACTAATTGACGCGGCAATGCAGCAGTATGCGAAACTGCCCTACGCATCCGGTTATATAGGCAGTTCCAACGAAAAAGCAATTGAACTGGCAGGGAAACTCGCATCAATCACTTATCCACAGATCAATCGATTTTATCTGACTTCTGGCGGAGGGGAAGCAACAGATTCAGCCATCAAAATGTCCAGATACTACTGGAAGTTGATGGGGAAGCCTGACAAAACCAAAGTCATTTCGCGCATGCTGGGGTATCACGGCGTTACGTTCGCAGCAATGTGCGCCACCGGAATTCCGGCTTACTGGCCAATGTTCGAACCGAGAATTCCGGGATTTTTATTTATTCCTTCGCCCTATCCGTACCGATATGAATCTTCTGATTCAAGTGTGAGTCAAGGTATTGCAGCAGCGAACGAATTGGAGAAAAAGATTCTGGAAGAAGGCGCTGACACGGTGGCTATGTTCATAGCCGAGCCTGTGCAGGGATCCGGCGGCTTAATTCCGCCACAGGACGATTACTTCCCCAGAATTCGAGAAATCTGTGATCAGTACGATGTGCTTTTTGTCGCGGATGAAATCATTACAGGATTCGGCAGAACTGGAAAAATGTTTGCTCTTGAACACTGGGACATTCAGCCAGATATTGTGCAGTTCGCAAAAGCGATCACGTCCGGTTATTTTCCTTTTGGTGGAATTGGCATCAGCGATTCAATTGCCAGTGTCATGGATTCGAGCAGCGAGCCATTCATGCATGCCTACACCTATAGTGCACATCCAATCGGAAGCGCCGTTGCGTGTGCGATGATTGATTTGGTGCAACGAGAGGATTTTTCCGCCCAAGCCGCAGATAAGGGGCAGCGACTGATGGACAATATCACAAGCGCCATTGGCGATCATCCGCATGTTGGAGAAGTTCGCGGCCTCGGACTGCTTTGCGGAGTGGAATATGTCAAGGATAAATCGACAAAAGAACCTTTCGATCCATCTCAAAAAGTCGGCGATAAAATATTGAATGCGGCAATTGAGCGCGGATTGTTCAGCCGCGTCCGCGGCGATGTTTTCTGTCTCGCTCCACCGATTGTGATTGAAAATTCGGAACTGGATAGACTCGCCGCAATTCTGCGGGCCGCGACAATCGACGTTCTGGGGACATAACTCGATATCGGGAATCAGATGTGAGAGTGCCATTTCTCGCATCTGATTCTTATGCCATAGGATATGAACGCCAACCGCTCGCCCCACGATTCAAACTGAGCAGCTGGTCGTAAAAGGAGAAGAAACCACAAATCGGAATTTGACCATGGACTTAAAATCCAGCATCCGAACCATTGTGGACTATCCCAAAATCCGGAGTGCGTTTTCGAGACATCACTCCGTTACTCCAAAACCCGGAATCTTTCCGATTCGGCATTGACCGCCTATACCAAAGATACCAAAATACCGAACTCGATGGATTGGTCGCGCTGGATGCCCGCGGATTCCTGTTTGGATCAACATTAGCCTATTTGCTGGGCGTTCCGCTCATTCCTGTTCGTAAAACGGGGAAACTGCCTGCCGAAACCGTCAGCACCGACTACCAACTGGAATATGGCTTGAACAGTCTGGAAATGCATGTCGATGCACTCGACGAAGCCACGCGGGTGGTCATCATTGATGATTTGATTGCGACCGGGGGCACGATGTGTGCAGCCGTTGAACTCATCAGTCAGCTCGGCGGAGAAACCATTGAATGCGCAGTCATCATTGAACTGGTTGACCTGGATGGAAGGGCAAAATTATCTCCTGTTCCTTTGTACAGCTTGGTTTCGTTTCACGAAGATGAAGCGTGAGGGCATCCTCTACTACGTTGCTGATCCCAGCTTGGACCATTCTTGGGTTCGACAAGGCGTGTGACAACGAAGTGTTCAACTGGCTGACGCAGCGTCAACCATGAATCCAAAGGTCATCAGGAAGGTGGTGCACACTGCCCATATTGAGTCATTCTGGTTGTGTCCCAAACAACTGAATCGCTGCTTGATTAATTTTTCGATCACCACAAATGGGTCCAATTGAACATGGAGGAACGGATGAAAATAATTAGACAGGGCCGCGACGTCCCGTCCGCACCTTTAGTGCTGATTGGCATTGCACCATGACGCGGTGCTGCGCAGTTCTTATCGTTCATTCAGTCCCAAGTAGGCGTAACGTTATCCGTCGGAATTCGAGTATCGGTTCAATCTCCTCTACAGTGTGCCGAATCTGATTCCTCGACTGGCTTGGGGCGGGTTATACAGGTAAACACCTGGTTCATTACAAACGCTCGACTACACTGGTCGAGCCCCAGCCTATTTCTAAACAGTTCCACGACGTCCGACTCGTCATTAAACTTCCTTGTGAGGTTCTGTATCTTCATTGTGCTTATTCGGCATTGACTCTCAAACCAGTGCTTGAACCACAAAACTAAGAAAAACTTTGCTTTAATACCTATAACAGACATTTGTATGCTATTATATTTCTAATTCAATAACAGATTTTGAGTCATGGCTTATACAAAACCTGGAGCAACAAGAAATCAAATCTATCAGTTCATGCGAAAACGGTTGCTGGAGGGCCGACCTCCAACCATACGCGAAGTTCAGAAAGAGTTCAGGATGCGAGCAGTGCAATCTGCGAAAAACCATCTGGATACCCTGGTAAACGAAGGCCGACTGATTAAGGAACCCGGCAAGGCGCGCGGATATCAACTACCCACAAAAATTCGTGCAAACACACTGGCTCCAGTCGTCGGAAGCGTGCCGGCTGGACCGTTCAACATTGCAGTGCAGGATATCGAAGGATATATCCCGGTCCAAACATCTTCGGATGAGAACGCTCTGTTCGCACTTCGGGTCAAAGGAGACAGCATGGTCGACGCAGGAATTCTGCATGGAGACATCGTGCTGGTTCGACATCAAACAGATATTCACCCGGGCGACATCGTAGTTGCGATGGTTGACGATGAGGCAACCATTAAAGAGTTCCGGCGCGCAGGAGAAAAAATTCAACTGCACCCTCGAAACGACGGTTATCCGGTAATTTCACTACATCCCGAAAATCTGGTAATTCTTGGAAAGGTGATCGAAGTGCGACGTTATCTGGAAGGAGTCTATCTGATCGGTAAGGAAATCAATGGCTGAACCCGCACTGCTGCCACTATCGAAACTCCCCCAGCCGTTTCTAGACAAGGAACCCAAATGGAACCTCAAGGAAGTGGAAGGAAGACTGGTCGAGATTTCCGATCCGCATCCGATAGCCACACTCAGTTTCGCATTTCTGCTGCTACGCGATGCACAGGAAAATGGCAGTCACATGCCTGGATAGGGTCTTTGCAGAGCACTTTTTACCCACCCGATGCGGAATTAAACGGGATCAACTTGCGCAACCTGCCAGTACTGCGCATGGTCGATACGCAACACATGGGAAGGGCGGCGGAAACATTGCTCCGCTCCGGTGCGTTTCGACTGGTCCTGCTGGATCTCGGTCGCAATCACTCGGTACCGGTTGCACGGCTCGCGCAGCTCAACGGGTTGGCACGAAAACATAACGCCTGCATCCTGTTTCTCACGGAAAAGCAATTCACCGACCAGTCGATCGGACCACTGATATCGCTGCATGCTCACACCTCCCGCGAACGTATCAAGGATGGAGATTTTTTATGCCGCATCCATGTTCTGCGAGACAAGCGACGGGGGACAAGATGGACCTGGCAAACACGCTTTGCAAGTGTCGATGGATACTACTGATTATCCAGCCCAATGGTCGAACCCCCTGCAAAAATATGCATTGCTTGTGTCTGTATCCCAGATTTTCCGCTTCAGTTATCGGTGCGGGAGTTGTCGATGGATTTTCAACTCCCTGTCGCACTAGTCGATCGAAGCGATTCCCGTTCGATCGTCATGGCAGTCGACCGATCCGCATTGAAACGAGGCATTTATCCAGGCCTGCCCTATGCAAATGCAATCGCTCTGTGCCCCGAATTGCATGCAGTGTACCCTCACCCCCAACAAATCGAATATGTCCATCAACAAGTAATTCGTCATCTCGGCACATTCAGTCCCAAAATCGAACCTGTAGCGGAGCTGCCGGGCGCTTATTACCTTGATGTCAGCGGAATGCATCGTCTGGAACCCAATTTGCAGGCCTGGGCTCAGCGCCTGCAGGGTATCCTGCAGGACCACGAACAACTGCATGCAAAGGTTGCCATCGGATTTACTCGTTTCGGAGTTCGCGCCGCAGTACATTCGACGGCATCCGTAGTCCTGCTTGAGTCCACCTCGGAGGAAATGGAAACTGCGCTTTCAATACCGCTTGAGAAATTGAACCTTCCTTCACGACCGCTCATGGAACTCGACAAACTAGGAATTCACACCGTAGGCGATCTGCAGAAACTGCCCGAATGGGAAGTCAGGTCCAGATTTTCAGAAGAATTGTTCAATCTGATGCGCAAAGCAAAGGAAGAAGATGGAACCGTGCATGGAATTCGCCCTCCCGCACCTTATTCTGCACAAATCGATCTCGAATACGCAGAAGGCGATGTGGAACAGATTCTGGTAGTCATTCGACGCATATGGAATCCGCTGCTGGAAAAAATGAAAGAACTTGCCGAAGGAGTCAGTGAAATTCATCTACGATTGACAAAAGACTTCGGCGGTGCATGCAACGAAAAACTGCGAACAGCGAAACCGACGCTTGACCAAACTACCCTCATAGACCTGCTTCGATTGCGGCTTCATGCAATGAATCTGGATGAGGGAGTTGTCGGCATTTCCGTTCATGTCATTCCGGGCGTTTTGCCCAGCCCCCAAATGGATCTGTATCAGGACATCGTTAAGTCCGAGCGCGATCTTCTCGCGGCTAATCGTGCGCTCGCCCGTATCTGCGCCGAATTCGGTCCGGAACAGGTTCTGCGAGCGCGGTGTCTGAATGCGCACCTGCCAGAAAATTCCTATGAATGGGAATATTTTGACCGCCTGCGAAATCATGCTTCTGCAGATCAGGGCAATGCTTTTATGGTGCGACGAATTTTAGATGACCCAAATCGCATTTCTACACCGCGGCGCGCGACACTGGAGAAAGTGCGGGGACCTTATTCCACTACCGGCTTCTGGTGGCGTCCAATCGGAATCCACCGAAACGATTATTTCGTAGAGACCCGTGACGGCTGCACACAGTGGATTTTTTACGACTGTATCAACCGCCAATGGTATGAACGAGGATTCGTTCAATAATCATGTCCGCTGCGTCTCTGTATACTCCTTTGTGGTGCAAAAGCAATTACTCGTTCCTGGAAGGTGCGAGTTTCCCTGAGCAATATGTCAGTAAAGCGGCGCAGCTGGGACTTGAAGCTATCGCACTGACTGACCGGGATGGAATCTACGGCATTGTAAAAGGACACCTGGCAGCACGCGAACACAAGGTGCATCTGATTGTTGGATCTCAGATAACGATAAAAAATCCAGATTCTCCCGGTTTCCAGCATTCTGCTGCTCGTTTGTAACCTGCAAGGGTACGCCAGTCTGTGCAGTCTTATCACCCTTGGACGACGACGGTGCGAAAAAGGCGAAAGCGAAGTGACACTCGAAGAGTGCTGCCTTCATTCAGAAGGACTGTATGCGATTTGGCTGCCGGAAAGCATGGCAGTTCTGCAAGAGCGCGAGGATACAGGTCACTTGAAAATCATGAAACAGGCATTCGGCAATCGATTCTTCATGATGATATGCCGTCACAAGGAAGCAAAAGATCCCATCCTCGAAAATCGCATAAGAAACCATGCAAAACGTTATGGAATTCGTACTGTCGCCGGGCAGGAAATTCTGTATCACTGTACGAGCCATCGTCCGGTTCAGGATGTGCTAAGCTGCATCCGGCACCGTCGATCCCTATCAAACTGCGAAAACCTGCTGAAGCCGAACGCACTTCATGAACTGATCGGAGCAGATGAATTTCTGAACATTTTCGACGATGACCCAGCTTCGGTCCAAGCGACTGTCGAAATTGCTCGGAACTGCAGTTTTCGACTGGAGGATGTGCGTTACATCTACCCCGAAGAGATCCATTCAGATCGAATCTCGGTCGTGGAATACCTGCGAGAACTTACGCACCGTGGTGCGTTGCAGCGATATTCCGGCCGACCGCCGGAAGCGATCAGCAAACAGATTGAACGGGAACTTCAGCTGATCGAAGAATTGGAGTATGCCAGCCACTTTTTGACTATGCATCGAATCGTTGAGTGGTGCAAACAGCAGGACATCATGTGTCAGGGGCGTGGGTCGGCTGCGAATTCCGCAGTGTGCTTCTGCCTCGGAATCACTCAGATTGATCCGATTGACATGGATCTGCTGTTCGAGAGGTTTTTGTCCCGCGAACGCGATGCGCCCCCGGATATTGATCTGGATATTGAACACGAGCGACGCGAAGAAGTGATCCAACATGTCTACGATGCATATGGCCGGGATCGAGCCGCCATGGTAGCAGTCGTAATCCGCTATCGAATTCGCTCCGCAATTCGCGATGTCGGAACGGTTCTGGATATTCCCGCATCCGAACTGCAACGGCTCTCGAAACAGCTCAACTCGTACGGTTCAATCGCCCCGGACGATTTTGTCCGGGCCGGCCTGGACCCGTCGCTGCGTACTCATTGTCTGCTGGCCGAACTGTCCAATGCCATTATCGACTTTCCCCGACATCTGTCTATTCACCCGGGAGGGTTCGTTTTCACCACCGGTCCTATCCATGAAGTGATACCGGTAGAAAATGCCACCATGCCGAACCGTACCGTCATTCAGTGGGAAAAGGACGACATTGAAGCCATGAAAATATTCAAAGTCGATCTCCTGGGACTCGGCGCACTCACTCAGCTGCACCGATGCTTCGAGTTGATTTCGCAGCATCGCGGTATTGATTTAACTATGAACTCAATTCCCACTGACGACGAACAGGTGTTCGCAATGCTGCAAAAAGCGGATACCACCGGCGTTTTTCAGATTGAGAGTCGAGCGCAGATGAGCATGCTCCCCAGATTGAAACCAGAACAATGGTACGATCTGGTGGTACAAATTGCCATCGTGCGGCCAGGACCGATTTCGGGTGGAATGGTGCACCCCTATCTTCGCAGACGTGCCGGTGAAGAAGCAGTCGAATACCCGCATCCATGTCTAGCTTCGGTACTGGGAAAAACACTCGGCATTCCGATTTTTCAGGAGCAGGTAATCAAACTGGCAATGACTGTTGCTGATTATCAGCCCGGAGAGGCCGATCAATTGCGACGCGATATGGCGGCATGGCGTAGGGTCGATCGGCTGGAAAGACATCGTGAAAAACTGGTTTCACGCATGGTGGCGAAAGGAATCAAACAAAAGTTTGCCGAACAGGTGTTTGACCAGATACGCGGATTTGGAGAATATGGCTTCCCCGAATCCCACTCTGCCAGCTTTGCACTGATTGCCTATGCTGCTTCCTATCTCAAGTGCCACTATCCAGCAGAATTCGCATGCTCGCTTCTCAATTCCCAACCGATGGGGTTCTACTCGCCGTCTACGATTGTTGAAGACACCCGAAGACATGGAGTACGGATTCTTCCGATAGACGTGCATTTCAGTCGACGAGACTGCACTGTCGAACCCTGTCGCGAAAGCACCGGAGGCTATGCATTGCGTATCGGTCTTCGCTATGTCAAGGGCATCAACAACAAAGAGGCCAAATCGCTTGAATCGACGCAAATCGCCGTTCAATCGATCGAAGAGCTAATGCACGAAACTGGAATATCGAAAGCAACAGTCAAAAAGCTGGCGGAAGCTGGCGCACTTCGGGGGTTGGCCGCCAATCGCAGAACCGCACTGTGGATGGCGCATGGCATCCGTACACGGAAAGAGATTCTTCCAACCCTTGAAAATTCCACGGAATTTCGTTCTCTAAGCCTGGAAGAGTCAACTGCATGGGACTATCGAAGCACAGGAGTCAGCAGCAACGGACACATGCTGCAGCATTATCGAGAACAGTTGCGTGCACAAGGGCTGCCAGACGCAAAAACGGTCAACAACATGCCAGATGGACGTCGTGTACGTTTTGTGGGTGCTGTCATCTGCAGACAGCGCCCGGCTAATGCATCCAGCGTGGTTTTCATGACGCTTGAAGATGAAACCGGCTTTGTAAACACGGTGTTCTGGCCGCGATGTTTCGAACGCTATTCGACATTGGCCAAAACACTCTCGCTGCTGGGCGTCGAAGGCACTCTTCAGGTTGCAAGCAATGTCGTTCACCTGATTGTTGATCATGTCTGGAAACCAACTGATTTCTCCTTGTGGAAAGATTTTCGATCCCGAAACTTTCACTGAATCAACAAATTTCAACACACTGGAACATTATCCAAATAATGCTGTCATAATCACCAACAAAGCTCATTTGTCTCCATTAGTAAAATCGGATTCTGCCAATCCGGGATTTACAATTTCAGGCAGGAATAAAATCCCTGCCTGTTTTTTTGAGCTTCAGGAATCGCTAAAACCAATGTTGCCTCACACCAGCACTTTTTATTCAAACAAGTACAATAGAGGCCATGTTGCTTACCAGTAATTTCAAGAGTAGATTGAATGGGTGAAAATTTAGCTACCTGGGAAATGGTTGCGCTCGGCGCGGTTGCGTTGGTCGTCATTCTGCTATTTTTCCCGGGACTCAAAAGACTGAGTGAGGAAAGCCGGAAAGCGGAAAAAGACTGGTCCGGATTGCTATTGCCGATTGGTGCGGTCGTTCTATTCGTAATTTTGCTGGTGCTAATTGTCTGAAAACTTGATACTGATCCGCCGAACCGAAACGCAAAAGTAATACGCAGAAGCAATAAACATGCCGAAAAAAACTATTAACATCCGCCATATGGAAGAAATACGCAACGATCACGTAGCGCAATTCCTAGACAAGAACAACATAGAACAGTTGCATGTCAACCCAGCACATGGAGTGCCGCTGCCAGGTGATAACAAAGATTATGACGCAGTGATCATCTACGGTGGCATTCAAAGTGCAAATGACGGATTCGACAAACCCTATATCACTGAAGAACTAGATTGGATTTCCGACTGGCTGGCATCTGGACGTCCAGTTCTCGGTATCTGCCTCGGGGCTCAGTTGCTTGCAAAATGCCTGGGCGGCGAAGTCGGAACTCATCCCGAACATGTGTGTGAAGTAGGGTTCCGTGAAGTTACGCCAACTGCACAGGCCAACGGATTTCTGGATGCTCCGATGCATTTTTATCAGTGGCACAGTGAAGGATTCACACTTCCTGATGACTGCGAACTGTTGGCAGAAGGCAGTCAATTCCCCAATCAGGCCTTTCGATATCAATCGAATACCTACGGTATACAGTTTCACCCTGAAATCACACACTCGATTATGAAGACCTGGCTTATGGCAGGGAGTCACCTGCTGTCAAATTCCGGTGCACATTGTGCAGATCAACAAATTGAAGATGAATCGTTTTACGGTGAAAACATGGGGCGCTGGTGCTGGAACTTTATGGAAAACTGGATGAAAACCTGGTAAACCGAGCCCAGTCACCGCCCGATTTCAGTGAAATCTAACTCATCAAGTCCAGTCAGACGAACCTTTCTCAAGGAATATCGACCGCCATCGTTTTACGTTCGTAGCACTGATCTGAAATTCGACCTTGATCCAAACAAAACGACTGTAAGCTCGAAAATTACAGTCATCAGAACCAACTATGCGGAAGCGAGTGACTTTTATCTGAATGGCAATAATCTGGAGTTGCTGTCTATTCAGATGAACCAGGAAGAGCTGCCTGAATCCTGTTACAGAATGGATTCGCAGGGCATCACCCTGATCAGTCCTCCCAATGAGTTTGAGCTAAGCATCAGCAACAGAATCGACCCTTCGCAAAATTTGGCACTCTCCGGACTCTACATGTCTGACGATATGCTTTGCACGCAGTGTGAAGCAGAAGGATTTCGCAACATTACCTACTTTCCTGACCGGCCGGATATTCTGAGCAAATTTTCTGTCACAATTGAAGCGTCTCAAAAAGAGTTTCCCATTCTGCTCTCCAATGGAGAACTGGTCGCTACGGAAAAGCTGCCTAGCGGCAGACATTCGTCAACGTGGATTGACCCTCATCCAAAACCCTGCTATCTCTTTGCACTGGTGGCCGGAAAACTGTCAGTTCTCCGAGACACATTCGTCACCCGATCAAACAATCGTGTAAAACTTGAATTCTATACTTCGAGCAGTGATCTGGATCAATGCATGCATGCCATGAATTGCCTCAAGCGAGCCATGAAATGGGATGAAGAAGTCTATGGCCGCGAATACGATATGAATCGATACATGATCGTAGCGGTCGATCATTTCAATATGGGGGCAATGGAAAACAAGGGGTTGAACATCTTCAACTCAAAATACGTTTTTGCCAAACCTGATACCGCAACAGATCAGGATTTTCATGCAGTGGAAAGTGTGATCGCACACGAATACTTTCACAACTGGTCAGGGAACAGGGTGACTCTTCGGGACTGGTTTCAGTTGAGTCTGAAAGAGGGTTTCACGATCTACCGTGATCAGCAGTTCAGTTCAGATATGGGTTCACCTGCAGTTCAGAGAATTCACGACGTTAACATGGTGAAACTTCATCAGTTCCGTGAAGACGCGGGTCCTTCCAGACACCCGGTACAGCCTGACTCCTACCTGACGATCGATAATTTTTACACAATAACGGTCTACAACAAAGGAGCCGAGCTGATTCGAATGATGCACCTCCTGCTCGGGGCGGACTCCTATCGCGCCGGAACCGATCTGTATTTTGAGCGATATGACGGACTCGCAGCAACTGTGGAGAATTTCGTCTCCGCAATGGAAGAGGCAAGTGGAGTCAATCTAGAGCAGTTCCGTCTGTGGTATCGAGTTGGCGGCACTCCCAGAGTATCGATTCAACGACAATACGATTCGACACGCCGCACCTTCATGCTGACCATGGAACAGAAACCGCCGCATTCAAGCGAAGATTCCAGTTGGTCACCGATGCATGTTCCGATTCAGATAGCGCTACTCGACAATGACGGTAATCGATTGCCTTTAAAACTGGATTCCAACCAAAGCGCAACACAAGATGAAATACTTCTTGAACTGACCCAAAGCAGACAAACTTTCAAATTTTTTGATCTCGAATCCAGCCCCACTCTGTCTCTCCTTCGAGGATTTAGCGCACCGGTCCTGATAGACGACCCGCAAGCGGATCAAGATCTCCATTTCATCATGGCGCATGATGATGATGCTTATTGTCGTTGGAATGCCTGTCAGCAGGTCTTCAAACTCCAAGTGCAAAAACTTGTCGCCAACATCCAGAACGGTCGGGAAACCGATATTGAAAGCGAGTTTCTTTCCTCTTTCAACGCAGTTCTGTCGAATGCTGTCGAAGACCCGCAGTTCAAGGCACTACTGCTCGAACCTCCTTCAGAAATTGCAATTGCTCAGACTATGGAGATTGTCGATCCGACTGCGATTCATAATGCTCGGAAGATATTGGTAAGAAAACTTGCTGAACGATACTATGACCAACTCATCGAACTCTATCGAGCACTGAATGGAGATTGGGGAGATTCGACAGACGCAGTTGGCAAGCGAAGTTTGCGAAATCTGTGTCTCAACTACCTCATTGAACTTGATGATTCTACAGTGCAGAAACTGGCACTACGCCAGTTTGAGTCCAGCAGCAACATGACTGATCTGGCGGCTGCACTGAGAGCACTGGTCAATTCCAGCAGTCCTGCCAGAGAATCAGTGCTTCAAATGTTTTACGATAGATGGCGCAATGATTCAGGTGTCATCGACAAGTGGTTCCGAATTCAGGCTACGGCTGCCAGACCCGATACTCTCAAGAAAGTTGTTGATCTCTCTAAACACCAATCGTTTAACATTTACACGCCGAACCGCGTATATTCTTTGATTGGTGCATTCTGTCATGCAAACCCATACTGTTTTCACGCGAGGGATGGATCGGGTTACGACTTGCTGACCGAATATGTCCTCAGAATTGACAAAGCCAATTCACAAGCTGCCGCACAATTGACAGAAGCTTTTACTGAAATTCGCCGATTTGATCAGGATAGGCAGGACGAAATGCGCCAGAGAATAGAGCAAATTGCAGCGACACCAGGGATTTCCGTCAACATCTACGAAATCGTTGACAGAATACTGGCACCATTCAAAAACTGATCAATAGACGCTTTGAGGCTGTATTGCCGGCAACACGATATGCCAGATTCAAAAGACAAGCGGTTAACCCGATCAACCAATACCGATATTGACGAGTTCCTGCGTAAGGTCGAATTGGCGCCTAGGCCGGTTCCAAGTTCCAAACGTGGCAGGTTGATTTTCGGCATGGATGCGACCGCAAGCCGTGAACCGATGTGGGATCAAGCCTGCCACATTCAGTCCGAAATGTTTACCGAAACCGCCGCACACGGAGGTCTTGATGTACAACTGTGTTACTACCGCGGGTTTCATGAATTCTATGTTAGCAAGTGGGTCAGCGTTGCCAGTGAAATGCAGCGTCTGATGAGCAGTACCCGATGTGCTGGAGGTCTGACACAAATTGCTCGTTTGCTTGAACATGCCACTCGAGAGACTCAGAAATCCCGTGTCAATGCATTGGTATTTGTTGGTGATGCCATGGAGGAAAACGTTGACTCTCTTTCAGACAAAGCAGGCCGGCTCGGCTTGAACGGGGTGCCTGCGTTCATGTTTCATGAAGGATTCAATCCGGTTGCAGAAAAAGCGTTTCGGGAAATCGCTTCGTTGAGCGGTGGAGCATATTGCCGGTTCGATGCGTCAAGTGCGCAGCAATTGAAAGATCTGCTCGCAGCGGTGGCGGTTTACGCGGCAGGAGGCCGAACAGCACTCGAACACTTCGGCAAAAAACGTCGCGGGGTCGTGGCTCATCTCACTCACCAAGTGAAACGCAGTTAGACATGTTTGTGCGGATTTTCCTAATACTGGCGGCTCTGGTCGGCATCATGTGGTTTGTCGGCCGACTCGGCAAAACTCCTCCACAAAATCGCATGAAGTATTTGAAGCTTGCTGCACTATACGCAGGCGTCGGCATTCTGCTGGCACTCGCTCTGACCGGACGGCTGCCTGCGGTATTTGCATTGTTGGCAGCTGCCGCACCCTGGATTCAGCGAGCCATCATTGCTCGAAGTGCGTACAACATGTTTAAATCGTGGCAAGGGCCGATGCACGGATCAAAACCAGGACAGACATCTGATGTACGTACCAAGTTCCTGCAGATGACTCTTGATCATGATACCGGCGCCATATCCGGCAGCGTAATTTCAGGTGACTACCAGGGAAAATTGCTGGATGAGCTCAACATTGAAGAGCTTGCCAGCCTGTTGGATGTGTGCAGAAAGAAAGACAACCAATCCGCGTCAGTGCTGGAAACTTATCTTGATCGAATGCGTTCTGACGATTGGGAAGAGTATGCCAGCGCTCACGCAGATGAGCAGCCATCCAAGGGCAGTTCTGATGAAATGACGCGCGACGAAGCGCTACAGATACTAGGGTTGACGGGAGACGCAACGCGCGAAGAAATTGTCGAAGCGCACCGAATTTTGATGCAAAGAAACCACCCGGATAGAGGCGGCTCAACCTGGCTTGCAGCCCGAATTAATCGAGCGAAAGACATATTGTTGTCGTGATGCGTACCATAATTCTTTCAACCGTCTCAACGGTGCTGTCACTTTTTTGCATCGCAGGTTCAACCATCGCTGGCTCTGAATACTATCTGCAGGATCAAATTCTAGACCACCCAGCGACAGGGAAGGTTCGCATTGGGGTTCCGAGTGGATACCAGCTGGAAATCCTAAATGCTAGTCTTCATCGCCCCCGAATGATTGAGTTCGCTCCGAACGGCGATATGTTTATTGGTTCGGCCTCTCGCATTTACCTGCTGAAACCACCATACACTGCTGCTCTTGAGTTTCTAAAACTGGAAAACTACCCGCACAGCGTGGCAATTCGAGGCGACGAAATGTTTGTTGCAACGACTGCCGCCTTGTACAAAGCCCCTTATCACCCCGAATCCCAACGAATCACCTTGATTCAGTTGAAACTTGTCACAAGACTTCCTGGCGGAATTGGACACAATTCAAGAACCGTTGCTGTCGGTCCCGACAACTTGGTTTATGTCAGTCTGGGCATCAGCAGAAACTGCAGTGATCAACTGATTTCCCGAGACTACCCGTTCAAAGATCGGCGCGGTGGTGTCCTGCAACTCGACGAGTCGCAAAACCCGCCTGTGCTGGTGCCGTTTGCTTCAGGCTTGCGAAATCCGGTCGGATTTGACTGGCATCCAACATCGAAGGTCATGTATGCCAGTAACAATGGACCAGATCACCTGGGATTTGATCTTCCGCCGGAATATTTTTCCAAGCTCACTCCAGGATCGTTTCATGGAATGCCTTGGTTCCAGTACGATGGACAGGCTGTGCTGAGGGATCCTTGCATCAGAACTGATTCGCCTTATCCCAAGGAAAAAGTAGAGATTCCAGTTGCAACATTTCCGGCTCGAAATGCGCCGTTGGGAATGGCGTTCGTAGCAGCTGGTGAGATGGACGAACGCTTTGCTAACAATGCGATTGTCGCTCTTCATGGTTCGTGGGGCACTCAACCTACTGGCGCCTTTACCGGCCCCGCTTCGAGTCGCAGACCACCTGCAGTCGTGATGGTGCGATTCAATCATCAAGAGGCAGTTGACATTGAACCTGTCATCACTGGTTTCCAGGATGAAGATGGCAAAAGATGGGCGCGCCCTGCCGGCGTAGCTCTCGGCCCGGATGGCGGGCTGTATGTGACCAGCGATGGCGGAGAGTTTCAGGGGCTGATGAGACTTAGATTGCTCGATGACTCCTGATCAACCTGAACACAATAACTACATCCCCAACTGCCAATACTCTGAAGGATAGACTGAATATGCCTAATGTTCAATTGAATTTCACTGTCGCTGAATACCAGCAGAGAATCCGAAAGGTGCGAACAGCTATGGAAGCCGCTGGAGTCGAACTGCTGATTTCTGTGGACCCGTCGAACATGGCGTGGCTGACGGGTTATGACGGATGGTCATTCTATACACCCCAGTGCGTGCTGCTAACCCTTTCAGACGGTCCGATCTGGTATGGCCGAGCTATGGATGCCAAGGGTGCACTGCTCACAGTACACATGCCAGAAGCGGATGTTCTGTCCTATTCCGACGACTACGTGATGACGCCGGAGCGGCATGCGATGGATTTGCTGTCACAGATTATCACGGACCGAGGCTGGGCAAAATCGCGTATCGGTGTTGAAATGGACAACTATTACTTTTCCGCGATGACGTATGCAGCATTGCAAAAAGGGCTGCCAAACGCAAAATTTGTCGATGCCAATACCTTAGTCAACTGGCAACGTACTGTTAAATCCGAACAGGAACTGATTTACATGAAACGCGCGGGGCGTATTGTTGAGAAAATGCACAAGCGGATTTTTGAGCTCATTGAACCCGGCATGAGAAAAAATGAACTTGTAGCAGAAATCTACCACACTGCAATAACCGGTACCGACGGGTATGGAGGAGATTATGCTGCGATTGTTCCGATGGTGCCTTCCGGAATTGAAACGGCCGCGGCGCATCTGACCTGGAACGACCTTCCCTTCAAGTCTGATGAAGGTTCATTTTTTGAGATCGCCGGTTGCCATCGTCGCTATCACTGCCCGTTATGTCGAACGATCTTTCTTGGCAATCCACCGGAAAAATTTCTGAATGCCGAAAAAGCCGTTCAAGAAGGCATGGAAGCAGGCCTAGCGGCTGCTCGCGCAGGAAATCTTGCCGAAGACATCGTCATCGCATTTAATCGGGTGTTGAACAAGTACGGATTTACCAAAGACGGCAGGTCGGGCTACCCGATTGGCCTCAGTTATCCACCTGACTGGGGCGAGCGGACCATCAGTTTGCGGCCGGGCGACAGGACAGTGCTTGAGAAAAACATGACATTTCATTTCATGACCGCTTTGTGGTTGGATGACTGGGGATTTGAAATCACAGAGAGCCTGATCATCAAAGAGAACGAACCTGAACTGCTGGCGAATTATCCTCGCAAGCTGCTCATTAAAAACTGAAATTTTACAGAAGGAGTATCAGGATTATGGCGGATTCCAAAATTCAGCTGTACACATGGGGAACGCCCAATGGCAGAAAAGTTTCTATCGCTTTGGAGGAAATGGGGCTTGAATATGAAGTGCACCCCGTCAATCTTCAAAAGGGAGAACAACTTAGCAAAGCCTTTCTTGCGATCAGCCCAAGCAACAAGATTCCGGCGATCATTGATCCGCAAGGAACCGACGATAAACCGTTGACGATATTCGAGTCCGGAGCAATTTTGCTTCATCTAGCTGAAAAAACCGGCTTGTTCTGGAGTTTCGACTACGGTCGTCGCTGTTTGATTCAGCAATGGCTGATGTGGCAGATGGGCGGATTCGGACCCTGTACTCGGACAGCTGCATCACTTTCGCAAATTCGCTAAAACCAAAGTTCCCTATGCGATTGACCGGTTCGACGGATTGGCGGACCAGGTTTACAAGGTGCTGGATGCGAGACTGCAGATCGGGAGTTCGTAGCAGACGAATATTCCATTGCGGACATGGCAATCTATCCTTGGGCATCGAGATTCGAATGGCAAGAAATTGATTTAGCAACCTATCCGAACGTGAAATCGGTGGTTTGATACCTTGTCAGAGAGACCTGCAGTTCAAAGAGGCATGAAAGTGCCGTTTCTCAACTGATTTTGATCAGACATAATCGTCGAATGATCTGCTATGACCGGACCGAACGCATCCATTGTACTGTTCGGTGGATTGAGTTTTTTTACCTGTTATGTTTTGCAGCAGTTGCTTGAAAGGCAATTTGCAGTGCGCGGCGTTGTTCTATCGGCTTTTGCACCATCGCTCCAACAGCCAAGTCAGGAACAGCCGAAATTTTTCCAGTCTAAGCAACCGAATGTCGTTGAGCTATGCACTGCAAACAACATTCCGATCTGCTATTTCACTGGGCAGGAAATTGAGTTAACCGAATTTCTATCACAACGTTCGAGCGACATTTTTCTTTTGGCATGCTACCCAAATCGTCTTCCAGCAAGCATAATTCAACTCGCAGGTCAGGAGTGCATCAACATTCATCCTTCAATATTGCCTCGATATCGGGGGGCAAATCCAATTTTTTGGCAATTGCGCAATGGAGAAACGAAAACCGGAGTCACACTGCATCAGGTGACGCAGAAAATCGACAGTGGCGACATTCTATCGATGCGCCAAGTGCAGTATCCAGCAGGACTTCGATTCAAGGAAATTCAGCAAATTCTGCTAAATCGTGCTATCGATTGTCTGCAGCAGCTTCTTGCCACACCTCGTTCCAACTGGAGTATCAATCCACAAGAACCTGGCAAGGCTACTTGGAACCAGGCACCAATCGATAGCGACTACTCATTCAACATAGATATTTGCGCTGAAACTGCGTTCAACTTTACACGTGCTTATTCAGGAATGGGGTTTCCTCTCCGATTTATTGATGATTGCCAAGAATATTGGATACAGGATGCTCTACGATACGGAGCAGTACGAACAGCATCAAAAAACAACGACAAATCCTCAACTGTTTCAATTGAGTTCAAAGATGGATTCGTCGAATTCTTGGTTGAATAAACCGACGAATACAAATAAAATTGGAATTCAATGTCTTGAATATAAATTCCCCTCTCTACCTTGACTAATGGAGCGAAAATCTAGCTCTCGTAAACCGATCGTCCAAGCTTACAAAATTTCTCAATCAGACTCCACCGATGAGGTTTTGAGCCAACGTTCACAGGCTGGACCCCACACGGGAATCGAAGGAATTTTCAGTGAAACGTCGATCCCCGTTATTAAAGATGGCGTTCTGCTTTCTGCTGTTTTCGGGATTTCAGTTCTATGCCCCCCTTCCTGCGGAAACCAACCTGACAAATGTCTGGGGAGTAGAAAAGGAACACGTAGCCGAATCCATTTCATCCAGCATTAAGGCAAATGAATTCCCGGAAAAGGTGCAATTCAAGATTGGCGAAAAGATGCTGGATGCCGTTGTTCGATACAACATCGAACCAAAAGTCAAAGAACACATCGACAGCCTATTGCAGAAGTATCAACCAGATTATGCCGCAGTGGTAGCAATTCAGCCTGACACAGGACGAATACTGGCGCTATCCAGTTTTGTGAGAGGTCAAGAATCGTTCGGAAATTTGGCAGTGCATTCGGGCTTTCCAGCGGCTTCAATATTCAAGATTATTACCGCGGCCGCAGCGATTGATCAGGGTATCGCAAATCCCAAGACTACCTATCAATACAATGGAAAGGACACCTCTTTGTACAAAAAGAACGTGTTGCGCCACAAGAAAAACAAGTGGACAAAAGAAGCGTCATTGAGTTATGCGTTCGCACGTTCCATCAATACCGTGTTTGGCAGAATTGGAGTATTTGATGTCGGTGGAACAAGATTGGCGGAGTACGCTGAGTACTTCGGATTCAATAAATCGTTTCCGCTCGATATTTCTGTCGAGTCCAGCAAAACAAGATTTGATCCGGCAAACGAATGGGCGATTGCTGAAGCTGCATCGGGATATACAAACACCACCACAATTAGTCCTTTGCACGCTGCCATGATGGTGTCTGCAATCGTCAATGATGGAGTCATGATTGAACCCAGTCTGATTGAGTTTGCCCACCACCCGGACGGCCCCCTGCTGTACGAGTCGAATCAGAGTTCCCATCAGACAGTAGAATCGGAAACTGCGCAGAACATGAGAGTATTGATGCGTGAAACTGTCAAAATTGGGTCTGCAAGAAAATCGTTCCGAGGATTCTTTAAAGGAAATTACGCAAAACTTGATGTAGGCGGGAAAACCGGCTCGCTATCGGGCAACAACCCGAAAGGCAGAACTGAGTGGTTTGTTGGTTACGGAGATTCAGGTTTTGACAGAGTTGTTGTTGCGGCGGTCGTCGTCAATAAAGAGAAGTGGCGCGTAAAACCTTCCTATCTTGCTCGCAAGATAATAGAAGAGTATTTCAAACAACCACCACCCACCAGCTGAAATAAATAGCGGGAAAATCCCTATCTTACCTCGGAATTCGTGTAGGCAAGTCCATTTGACTGACGTTTGATGGAATTTCAGGTTGAAATAGGCACTTTCGCTGAATCAGAATTTTCTAAAATTATTCCATTATGGAACAGTATCTAAACGTAGCAAGATATGTACTCGAACACGGTCGACGCAAAGAAAGTCGCACAGGGGTCGATACCCTTTCGACATTTAACTACAACTACGAAATAGACCTTCGCAAGGGCTTTCCTTTGTTGACGACGAAGGAAATATCCTGGAAGAACATAGTCATAGAAAACCTGTGGTTTCTATCTGGAAGTACGAATATCGAATTGCTGCGTCAGCACGATTGCAAATTTTGGGAACCCTGGGCTGATGAAGGTGGTTATGTCCCCAGCGCCTACGGGAATTTCTGGCGCTCATTTCCGGCACCCAACGGTACAAGCGTTCAGACTATCGACCAAGTCGCTTGGGTGCTTGACCAAATCAAGAATGATCCGATGAGCCGCCGACATGTTGTTTCCGCATGGGCACCTTCCAACGCCCATGACAGCCAGTTGCCTCCATGCCATGCGTTCTGGATCATCAATGTTCAGATGGATGACGAAAACAATCCATTTTTGTGTCTACATCTCACACAGCGAAGCGCGGATGTTGCTCTTGGCGTTCCATACAATATCGCCGGATATGCATTTATTCTTGAATTGTTTGCCCACTTGACCGGCATACAAGCGGGTGTGTTCGCCCATACTCTGGTTGACGCTCATATCTACACATCAAAGCCAGATGGCTCGCTTGCTGAATATGATCATGTGCCAGGATTGAAGGAGCAGTTAACTCGAACACCGAGAGAACTCCCACAATTGAAGATTGACAGTTCGATCAAGTCTCTGGATGACATTGACAGAATTCTAGAATCCAACATCGATGAAATTCTCGATACGTTTCACCTTTCCGGATACAACCCGTATCAGGCAATTAAATTCAATGTCGCGGTCTAGCAGGATTCGCGATGGCGCGTTGCAGCGGAATCATTGTGGCGATGACAGAAGATGGAGTGATCGGTCTGGGAGGAACACTGCCGTGGCACTATTCCGCAGACCTGAAGCGTTTCAAGAGAGTCACCTTGAATTCCACAATAATCATGGGGCGTAAAACCTGGGATTCGCTTCCAATCCAGCCCCTGCCCGAGCGGCAAAACATCGTTATTACTCGCAATAAATCTCTGGAGGTTGAACACTACTCTTCGCTCGCTCAAGCCATTCAGGTTGCACGATATGAAAGAATTTGGTTCATTGGTGGGGGCTTCAATTTATGAGCAGGCGATCAATCACTGTGACACAATGGATATAACCTACGTACCTGACAAAATAAACGAGCCTAACTGTGTGCGCTTTCCAGACATTGACTGGAGCTGCTGGATTGCTGAACCGCGATTACGGTATGACGACGACGAGCGATTATTCAATCAGACATTCAAATTACGACATCTAGTATCACACCAATGAAAATCAATATTGACAATATAGAAATCAACTGCGAACTGTCTGGAAATAAAAATGGTGCAGTAGTAGCCATGAGCCATTCGCTTGGATCAAGTCAGATCATGTGGAACCCGCAGATCGGCGTTCTAGAGGATAAGTATCGCTTACTTCGCATTGACACCCGTGGTCATGGAGAATCATCGGCACCTCCCGGTGCATATACGTTGGACCTGCTGGTGAAAGATGCAATCTCTGTGTTGGACGCACTCGAAATTGAAAAAGTGCACTGGGTGGGATTGTCTATGGGCGGAATGATCGGACAAGGGTTGGCACTTCAAGCGCCACAGCGATTGCTCAGTCTGAGTTTGTGTGACACCATGTCTGTAATTCGCGAAGAAACCAAGGCAATGTGGAAAAACAGAATCGATTCAGGAGAGCGTTTCGGTATGCAGAACCTGGTGGATTTTGCCATGGAAAGATGGTTTACCGAAAGCTACCGAAATTCGGGGACAGAAGAATATGAACAGATTCGCAACCAGTTTCTGGCCACTCCGGTTTATGGCTATGTTGGCTGCTGTCATGCCATATACAACCTGAATCTTGTCGATCAACTAGATCGAATTGACACACCAACTCACATAATTGTTGGCGATCAGGACCTGGCCACACCGGTTTCCGAATCAGTTGTCATGCATGAGCGAATCGCCAGTTCAACATTAGAGATCATACCGGGTGCGGCACACCTGTCGAATGTTGAACAGGCAGAGGCATTCAATAAATCTCTACTGCCGTTCCTTGCCTCTCAGTAAATTCAGTCTCTCATTGAGTAACTGTATTTCTAGATTGCAACGGTTCAAATTCGGGTGTCAACTATTTGCATTCAGCAATGTCTGCAAATGAATCGAAACACAAAGCGGCAGATAGTGCAAGTTGTAGCCTCCTTCCAGCAGTGATATCAGTCGTCCGTCTGCGTGCTGATCAGCGACTTCCATCATTCTCATGCTCATCCAGCCAAAAAATTCAGTGCTCAGATCAATTTGTCCAAGCGGGTCTGATTGATGAGCATCAAACCCGGCAGACACAAGGACCACTTCGGGTTTGAATCTATTTATCGCAGGCAGAATTCTTTCCGAAAAAGCTTGCTCGTAGTCCAAATCTGAAGACCCAGCCGTCATCGGGCAGTTGACTGTCGCATTGGTTCCTGCTCCTACTCCCGTTTCACTGTGAGAACCGGTACCTGGATAGTGAGGGTATTGATGAAGACTAATGAAGAGTATGGAAGGATCTTCCTCAAATGCATGCTGGGTTCCATTGCCATGATGTACATCCCAGTCCAAGATCAATACTTTTTCAATTCCGTACACCAACTGCAAATACCGTGCACTTATGGCAATGTTGTTGAACAGACAAAATCCCATCGCACGAGCGTTCTCCGCATGATGACCAGGAGGGCGAACTAAAGCGAATCCATTCTTGACTTCGCCTTTCATGACGCTGTCTGCAAGTTGCAGAGCTGCGCCGGTTGCCAATCTTGCTACTTCAAAAGAACTGCTACTGATTGTTACGTCCGGATCATCCAGCAATCTTGCTCCGGATTCACACAATTTACGTGCATGTTCGATGTATCCGGATTGGTGAACCGCTTCCAGCCATTCACGCTCTGCCAATCGCGGTGTCAAATTCAGCAATTCACTGAACCAGGGTTGATTTTCCAGATGCTGCATGGTCGCAATCAACCGCTGGCTGTTTTCCGGGTGACGCGACCCCGTGTCGTGTTGAAGATAACGATTGTCATATATGAAGCCTGTTTTGCACATTTTCAGATCACCTGATGAAGCAAGGTTATTTTGAATGTATATCCACTTGACCGATAGAAAAAACTTGTTCGAACTGCGACCGAATCATGCAGAGTGTCCAATCACTGTACCAAATTTACACTCTTACTCCGTTTATGCACCATTTTGGGGCATATAGCATCGAAATAGTGGGAATATTCTATGTTTTTGTTGGCACGAAAATTGCTGTTATTACGTATATGTAAACTCACAGGAGGTAAGACATGAAACTCGTGACTGCCATTATTAAACCATTCAAATTGGATGATATCCGAGAAGCTTTGTCGGAAATCGGTGTCCAAGGGATGACCGTTTCAGAAGTTAAGGGATTTGGTCGACAGAAAGGGCATACAGAACTTTACCGAGGCGCAGAATACGTTGTCGATTTTGTACCAAAAATCAAGGTTGAAATCGCTGTATCTGCCAGCCAGTGCGAAGACGCAATTGATACGATCAGACGAATTGCTCTGACAGGTCAAATAGGCGACGGAAAAATTTTTGTATCTGAACTGGAAAATGTCATCCGTATCCGAACCGGAGAAATGGATGACAGCGCGATTTAAACTTCAACACTTTAGAGAGGCTGCCGTGAAAATTTTTCTATATTTTATTCGTAGTACGTTACTGTTCCTTGTCTTGTGCCCTGTTGCCACAGCACAAGACTCTCTGAATTCCGGAAATACATCGTGGCTGTTGACATCCACAGCGTTGGTGTTGATGATGACTATTCCTGGCCTTTCGCTTTTCTACGCTGGTCTGGTTAGAAGCAAGAACGTTCTATCCATTCTCATGCAGTGTTTCACCATTACTTGCGTGGTGAGCGTTGTTTGGCTTGTTGCGGGTTACTCCCTTGCATTTGACGACCTTGGCAATGGAATCATTGGTGGATTGGGTAAAGCGCTATTCGCCGGTGTACTGGAAGAAAGCATGTCCGGCGATGTTCCAGAATCTGCATTCGCCCTGTTTCAGGTTACGTTCGCGATTATTACAGTTGCACTCATCATTGGTGGATTTGCAGAGCGTATCAAATTCGGCGCGGTCGTAATTTTTTCAATTTTATGGATCATATTTGTATACGCACCGATTGCTCACTGGGTATGGGGTGGCGGATGGCTCGGTTCGCTTGGCGTACTTGACTTTGCCGGTGGAAACGTCGTTCACATCACAGCAGGGGTCTCTGCACTTGTTGGAGCCTGTGTACTGGGAAACCGCAAAGGTTTTCCAAGCGGAACCATGCTCCCGCACAACATGACACTGACCATGATCGGTGCCGGACTCCTGTGGGTTGGTTGGTTCGGATTTAACGGAGGCAGCGCAGTTGCCGCAAATCAGGATGCAGCCATGGCAATGCTCGTTACCCACATTTGTGCGGCATCTGCAGCAATGGCATTTGTAGTCACCGAATATTTCGTAAGGAAATCAGCCACTGCGTTAGCAGCAGCGACGGGTATGGTTGCCGGACTGGTAGCCATAACTCCAGCATCAGGATTTGTCGGGCCAGCCGGAGCTCTGATCATTGGAATCATCACCGGCCCGATTTCATACTTCGGAGTTCAAATTGTCAAACAGCGGCTGAAACTGGATGATTCCCTGGATGTATTCCCTGTTCACGGAATTGCTGGTATTGTCGGAACCATTCTTACCGGTATATTTGCATCAGCTGAACTTGGAATCTTCAGTGGACAGGGAATGGACAATCCGATTGGCTCGCAGATATTCATTCAGCTCATAGGAGTCGCCGCAACAGTCGTGTATACGGCCATCGCCACCTTCATCGTGTTCAAAGTCACCGGGCTTCTCATAGGCGGCCTGAGGGTGGATGAGGAGAGCGAAGTGCAAGGCCTCGACGTATCAACGCACGATGAGCGAGGCTACCACTTCTGATCAAGTGGATTTCCTCACTGACATGAATATCACCCTGTTTAGGCCTGGCGTATTGAGCTTTCTCATGTCAGGCCTACTTTTTCAGAACCTACCCCAATCTACCAGAAAATAGGCTTGAATATTACTGAGTTTCGGAGTATTGTGTCGGACTCTTGGCACACACCAATGAAGCGAACAAGACTCTGCTTTTGAAATTCAAAAATTAAGTTAATCTCAGTAAACTAAACCGGCATGTCGACAAAAATTCTGGCATTTGCAGGCAGTACCAGAACCAACTCCTACAACAAGATGCTGGTACGAAATGCTGCTCATATTGCTGAGCAGCAAGGTGCAACAGTTACTCTACTGGATTTAAAGGATTATCCAATGCCGCTTTATGATGGTGATCTCGAGACAAATTCCGGCATTCCTGCATGCGCGCTTGAACTGCGAAATTTGATGAAAGAAAATCATGGAATTCTATTGAGTTGTCCTGAATACAACAGTGCAATCAGCGCAGTTTTGAAGAATGCCATTGACTGGATTTCCCGACCGCTGCCCGGCGACCCTCCGCTAGTGGCATTTTCAGGGAAAACCGCAGCGTTACTGGCTGCATCGCCTGGCGCAATAGGCGGGATCAGAACGCTAGCCAGCGTCCGCTCAATTCTAGCGAATCTGGGTATGATCGTAATTCCAAAGCAGTATGCCCACGGCAATGCAAAAGACTCATTCGACGCAGACGGAAATTTGATAAGCGATTCCGCCCAAAACAGAGTATCCGCTGTAGTAGAGCAGTTGATACAAATCACTTCAGGGCTTCAAGAAAACTGATGAATTAGGGATAGCGGCAATGCACTTCCTGAAAAGTCAGATACTTTTTCAAATTTATCTTGTGAACGTTAAAATTGTTGTTGACTCCTGAATTTAGACCGGCCTCAGAGCATCGCGTAATGAGCGACACAACATCAGCAGATTCGTATCGTAGGCGAAAAGGCCGTCTTTCGCAGCAGATGAAAAACGCGTCAACCGGTGTTCGCCTGCGTAAAGACACATCAAATCTGTTTCGCGACCGCGTCAACGACAAATCAGATGAATTGACCGTCAAGGATTTCAATCATCTGCTCGAGCTTGATGTCGAGCAAAGTACACTGACCACTGAAGGCATGATCACCTACGAAGATCTCGTAGATGCAACCCTCAAATATGGGTTCATTCCCATGGTTGTGCCGCAACTGAAGTCAATTACGATCGGAGGAGCTATTTGCGGCGTGGGCATAGAGTCGACATCATTTCGTTATGGACTCCCGCATGAGACAGTACTGGAAATGGATGTTCTGCTTGCAGACGGTTCGGTAGTTTCCTGTACACGGGACAATGAACACTCGGACTTGTACTACGGATTGCCGAATTCCTATGGAACTCTTGGCTATGTGCTGAGATTGAAAACCCCGGCACTCCGAGTAAAACCTTATGTAAAAATTGTTCATACGCGATTCCATGATGCAAACGAATTTTTTTGCTGCTATTGAAGAACTGCAAAGCTCTGATTTCGATTTTCTAGATGGAAGTGTTTTTGAAGCTGGCGAGTACTACCTGACGACAGGCAGGTTTGCTGATTCAGCGCCGTTTACCAGTGATTACACCTATCTTGATATCTACTACAAATCGATCCGAGAAAAACAAACGGATTACCTGACGGTCAAAGATTACATCTGGAGGTGGGATACTGACTGGTTCTGGTGTTCAAAAAATCTTTATGTCCAGAATGGGTTGATACGAAGAATCGTCGGTAAAGATCGGTTGAACTCCGTATCCTATACAAAGGTGATGCGCTGGAACTCCAAGTGGGGTATTACTCGAAAGCTAAACCGGCTATTTGGCTATCATGCTGAATCAGTCATTCAAGACATTGACATTCCAATCAACAATGCTTCTGAATTTCTTGAGTTTCTTATGGCTGAAATTGGGGTGTTACCCATCTGGATCTGTCCCATCGGCACCAACACGCATTCAAGTAAATTTTCCCTATGTTCTCTGGATTCCAGTACGATGTACGTAAATTTTGGATTTTGGGATTCTGTCAAATCACGTACACATCATGAGCCTGGCTACCTGAATAGAAAAATTGAACGAAAAACTACTGAACTCGAAGGCTTCAAATCTCTGTATTCGGATTCATATTTTGAAGAAGATGAGTTTTGGAAAATTTATCAGGCTGAAGACTACTGGCGTTTGAAGGAACGATATGATCCGAATGGCAGATTTTTGAATCTATATGAAAAGTGTGTCCTTCGTAAATAGGCTTATTTTTTTACGTTCAGCAATCGTGTTGCTGTTTATGGCCGGTTCCAATTTAGGTATTGCCGAAATGATCGAAACAACAACCCAGGAACTAGAAGCGCTAATTGAACAGGAAGTGCCAGTCATTGACGTACGCACTCCTGGAGAGTGGCGTGCCACAGGAATCATTCCAGGCAGCCACCTGCTGACCTTTTTTGACGAAAGAGGAAATTACAATATTGATGATTGGCTTGCCAAATTAACGGAAATTGCACAGCCCGACGATCGGATTGTCATCGTCTGTGAAGTCGGAAACCGATCCAGAATGATCAGTAATTTTCTGAGTTCACAATTGAGCTACCGTGAAGTGCACAACGCCACGCAGGGTATGCAGCAGTGGCGTAATCAAGGTTTGCCAGTCCAGCAATGGCCATAAGCATCCCTAACTACCGCCAAGTATTTATCGACATCATGCATCACCGAGCACATCAATGCGTGCGGCATCTTCAGAAGACAATTCTACATTGATCGCGTGAGCGCTGCTTACGGCGCTTGATATCCGACCCGCCCCAGGAATAGGAAGTATGTTGTCGCTCTGGTGTAGCAACCAAGCCAAAACCACCTGGTAGACCGTTGCATCATACTTTTGGGCTAGTTCTGTCAGTACAGGTTCATCCCGCAGTGCAAGATGCCCGCTGCCGCCGCCCACTGGACTGTATGCAATATAGGTTATCGAATGCCGCTTGCAATAGTCGACAAACCCGCTGCGTAGGTCTAGCTGGTGATACACATTACAGCGATTTTGCACTGAGGTTATTGTTGTAATGGACATTGCTTCGTCAACCAGCTCACGACCAACATTGGACAAACCGATATTGAGGATTTTGCCTTCTGATTGAAGTCGTGCAAGCTCGCCTACAGAATCCGAAAATGGCACAAGCGAATCTGGGGCATGAAGCTGATACAGCGTAATCGCTTCAAGTTTCAGGTCTTGCAGACTTTTTTCGCATGCGCTCCGCAAATGTTGCGGTGAACCTCTCCTTTCCCACCGGCCCTGCGGTCGCACCAATCCCCCTTTGGTGGCAACGACAACGTTGCTGCTATCGATTGATTGGAGAGCCAACGCGATTGTACGTTCGTTCAAACCGATATCCTGATTGTCCGTGCAATAAACATTCGCGGTATCAATGAATTCCATGCCTGCATTCAAAGCAGCGTGAATGACTTCAACCGCGTCGGTCAATGGGAGAGTTCCTCGAATGCCGAGCGGCATCGCACCAAGCCCAACCGCGAAGACTTCAATGTTCGTATTACCGAGTTTTCGTCTCATCATCTATATCCAGTAATCAAAATATGCGCTAATGTTACTCAATTTACAGTTATCTTTCACGGCAAAAGCATGGTGCGCGTTCCTCTGCACAAATTACACCCTAACTTGTACTCCGCAATAGGTTCATTCTGTTTGTGCACAATTCAGTCTCAATGGTTAAAATAGTGCCAATTAATCGTCCGACTCACCACTAGCGAGACTTCCGACTACCGATATGCCCTTGAATTACTCAGAAAACTATAAAGATGCTCCATACTGGTGGGATGCAGCGCCTAGGCCACGCCTGACTCAAACCGATCTGGTGCGATCAGTGGATGTCGCTGTAATAGGTTCAGGATATACAGGTTTGAATGCAGCCCTGCAAACTGTTCGAGCTGGCCGAACAACTCTCGTACTGGAAAGAGATTCTGCAGGTGATGGCTGCAGCAGCCGCAATGGCGGTCAGGCTGGCACCAGTATCAAACTGCCATTCACAAAACTGGAAAAGAAGTTTGGAAGAAAGACGGCGACCGGGATAATCCAAGAAGGAAATCTCGCTCTTACCTACATCAAACAATTGATTGAAGAGGAAAGTATCGAATGTGATTGGCACGAATCCGGAAGATTTGTAGGAGCACACTCCAGCAGAGCTCTTGAATACCTGTTAAAACAATACAAAGCCATGCCGCAGGAAATTCAGATCGAACACCATGTCGTTTCGAGGGCTGAGCAGCACCAGGAAATTGGCTCGGATTTCTATCACGGTGGATGCGTGATTCCTGCACATGGAAGTCTGCATCCAGGAAAGTATCATCGTGAATTACTCAATCGTGTTGTCGATTCGGGTGGATTGGTTTTAGACCAGTGTGCGGTGAGCAAGATTGAGAGAATGTCCATCGGATTTCGATTGCACACGGACCGAGGAACCGTTGATGCCAGAGACGTTGTGCTCGCTACCAATGGCTATACAGAGAATCAGTTTCGTTGGCATAAGCAGCGAATCCTGCCAATTGGAAGTTTCCAGATTGCAACCGAACCGCTTCCTGCTGACATCGTTTCAGCTTTAATTCCGAAAGCACGTGTGGTCTCCGATACACGCCAGATCGGCAATTATTTTCGATTGACTCCGGATCGAAAGCGAGTTCTATTCGGTGGCCGTGTCACATTTACGGAAGCAAATTCCAAATCCGGGTCGGAAGTACTTTACCAGCAGATGATAAAGGTATTTCCGCAACTCGCCGATGCCAAGGTTTCCCATACGTGGGTTGGATATGTAGCCTATACGACTGACATCTGCCCGCATATCGGAGTGCATCAGAACCTGTACTACGCCATGGGATATTGCGGTTCCGGAATTACGCTATCCAGCTACTTTGGAATGAAAATCGGACAGAAATTACTCGGTACAAATGAGGGGAAAACCGCCTTTGATGATCTGAATTTTCGGCCATGGCCGACGATCATTCGAAGTAAACTTGTGCTGGGATCGGCGACGCGACTTATCAGGGCAGTAGAAAACTTCATCTGAATTTTGAATAACCCGCCAAGACAGGCATTCTCTAGCTGTTCAGCTTCTCCCCCAAGTTCTCTGTGACAGCTTCGATTCCAGATTTCTTGATTTCAGAATTCAGGATCGTACGATAGTTGATGGCGAAACTGATACCCTCAAAGACAAGGTCATAAATTTTCCAGCTGCCATCTTCACGCGTCATTCGGAAGTCAATTTTGCGCTCTTGCTGGCTGGGAACAATTACCAGCATGGTTACCATTGCACGATCATCATTATTTCCCTTCTTCGCTTCCAGAATTCTAATGTTATCCAGATAATTCTCAAGTAGATCCTTGTTGACGACAATGGCTTTACGGAATGAGCGTAACAAAAATTCGGTCAATATGTATGTAAATTCCTGGCGTTGCTGAGCAGTCGCACCTTTCCAGTGAGAAGCAAGAATCAGTTTCGAGAATTTTTCTACGTGGAGAATCGGCAAAAGCTCAAGGTGAATAACTTCAGAAGCCGCAGCCGCCAGTGCTTCATCGTCGTCAAACTCGTCTGTAATTTTGTCGTAAATTTTGTCCATGGTGACCACAACCACATCTCTGGCACCGGATACATCAGCATGAACTGAAGTTGTAAATCCGACAACACAAACTGTGAAAACTGCAATCAGGAAATTTGATAATTTGAACAGGCGAATCATAGAACGCATTATATTGTTAAATACTGGTACAGTGTGTAATAGAACTAGCGAGACCAAAAGGAAATGTACAAGAAATACACAGACCTGCTTACCTTGGTATATGAAATGCAGGGATCTATCAATGGGGTTTCGTACCACGAAATTGAAACTCAGTTTCGCGTATCTCGTAGAACCGCTGAAAGAATGATAAAAGCAATCTCGGAGTCATTTCTCAATGTCGAAGTTGTAACCAAACGACCTAAGCGATGGCGGATTCGGCGTCAGCTCCCTACGCCAGCTCTTGGAATTGAGCATGTTATTGTCATGCAGCAGGCGTCAAAAATGTTTCGGGAAAAAAGAATGAATCCCGAATACCGACTGATGAACAATTTGATGGATATGTTAAGGGCAAATATGGCACCTGACGCATTGCGCAGTGTTGAAGCAGATGCGGACATTCTAAGTGATTCAGAAGGCTTTGTCATCAAACCCGGTCCTCACGAAAATATTGATCCGGGAATGGTTCATGAACTACGTCACGCAATCATGGCGTGCCAGATGATCAGTTTTGACTACGCTGGAATTAATGATCCAGAACCATTGCCGCGCACTGTGCAACCCTATGGATTCCTACATGGTACGCGTCAGTATCTGATCGCGTTCAACCCGCAAGAGGATGTCAATGATTTCCGAAGTTACATACTAGCCAAAGTACAAAATCTACAAGTACACGAACGAAACAACTTCATACGGCCGGAAAATTTCACTATGGCGATGTATCTTGAAGACTGTTTCGGTGTTTTTCACGAAAAGCCATATAACGTCGTCTGGCGATTTGACGCAGACGTGAGCGAAACTGTACTTGAATGGAAGTTTCATCGCAGTCAAACAATGCGTACACTGCGGGATGGTCGAATCGAAGTTTCATTCCGCGCCGGCGGTCTTACCGAAATGGCTTGGCATCTCATTACCTGGGGTGGCAAGGTTGAAGTCTTGAAGCCCAAGAAACTGATCAATAGATTGCGAGAAGTCAGAGAATCCATACGCCTGCCGGATTAACCAACAACGCTTCTAGTCAGGAGGCGTGCAACGTTTTGGCTTCGCGCCTGCGAGAATGTAGAATAGGCTCGGTATAGCCGTTCGGAGAATCAACCCCCTGAAACACTAAATCTAGAGCTGCCTGAAATCCAACGCTGGAATCGTAGTTGGGTGCCATTTTTCGGTAACCTGCAGCACCTTCATTTTGCTTGTCTACGATGACAGCAATTCTTTTGAAAATGTCCACAACCTGTTCGCGCGTCGTCAACCCGTGTTTGAGCCAACTGGCAATCAACTGACTTGATATTCTGAGCGTTGCTCGGTCTTCCATCAGATTGATCTCGTTGATATCTGCAATTTTTGAACAGCCAATTCCCTCTTCAACCCAATGCACAACATACCCAAGAATACTCTGAGCGTTATTTTCCAGTTCCGTTTCAATCTGTTCCGGTGACAACTCTTCACGAAGAACAGGTGGACTCAGGATGTCATCCAGCTTTGCTTTCACTCTAGACCCTATGGTCCGCTGTATCGACAAAACGTTTATCTCGTGATAGTGCAACGCGTGAACTACGGCAAGTGTCGGTGAAGGAACCCAAGCTGTGTTGGCACCTGCCTTGGGGTGGTTTGTTTTGGTGTTGTACATGGTTTTCATGAGATCCGGCATAGTCCACATGCCCTTGCCAATCTGGCCCACGCTATAGACACCCGTGTCTACACCTACCTCAACATTCCAGGTTTCGTAAGTATGTAGCCAGTCGCCTTTTTCATCTCATCCTTGGTGATGGACGGGCCAAGACTCATCATGGTATGAATTTCATCACCCGTTCGATCAAGGAATCCTGTGTTGATGAAAATGACTCGATTTCTTGCTTCCCGAATGCTTTCTTTCAAATTTGCAGTAGTTCGCCGTTCTTCATCCATAATTCCGATCTTCAACGTGTTCCGGTTGAGATTCAAAACATCTTCTACGTGGGAGAATAGTTGCACCGTCGCAGCTACCTCCTCGGGTCCGTGCAATTTTGGTTTCACCACATAGACGTTGCCGCAACGACTGTTTGGAAAGGATTTTGCGCCTTCTCCGACCAAATTGTGTATCGCACACAAACTGATGACCATGGCATCCAGAAATCCTTCAGGAATCAACTCTCCCGTAAGAGTTGTCACTGCATCCGAGTACATGTGAATTCCGACATGCCTGACAAGCATCATGCTCCGTGCTGAAACAACTGTCGGCAACCCATAAGGATTAGTGAAATTCATGTCCGGGTTCAGTGAGCGCTTGACGATCTTTCCATTCTTCTCAAATTCTGCGGTCAGGGTACCCTTCATTAGATACAGCCAGTTTCTGTAGGCAACCGTCTTGTCTTCCGCATCGACTGTCGAAACAGCATCTTCAAAATCCTGAATCGTCGTAACAGCTGCTTCCATGGCTATATCACTGATTCCAGCTGAATCTATTTCACCAATCATGGAATCACGGTTGATTATGAGACGAAAAAACAAGCCATTGTTGTAAAGTAGAATTTCTGATGGGTCATACATCAATCCAAGAAATCCAGCGAACTGACCAGGAGACTTGAGGGAAGTTATTTCACCGTTCTGCAGTGAAACCTTCAGTTCCAGGGTTCTTCTACCGGCAGGAGCAACAATATAGCTAGAGGCTTGTGCATGACTGCCTGATTTGAGCGGAACCACGCGATCCAGAAAATCACGGGCCCACTGAATGACTCGTGCACCTCGGTCTGCATCGTACTGTGCGGGTGGCGGTGCTGGAACATCCTCCGGTTCAGCTACACCTGAGGTGTAAAGCGCATCATACAAGCTCCCCCAGCGGGCATTCGCCGCATTTAGCGCATAGCGAGCATTGTCGACAGGGACAACCAACTGCGGAGCGCTCACATCCGAAATTTCCCGGTCGACATTTTCCACCTCTACCTTGAACGCCGGTCCTTCTGTGACCAAGTAGCCGATATCGCTAAGAAATTTTCGATTTTCGGCAACCGAATAGTGCTTAGCGTGATCCGAAGAATGCCAGTCGTCGATTCTCGCCTGAAGCTGGTCTCGCTTGTCAAGCAGTCGCTGATTTTTGTCACCGTAGTCTGTGACGATGTTTGCAAGCGATTGCCAGAAATACTCAGGCTCAATTCCAGTGCCAGGAGCAATTTCCTCCGACACAAGATCATAGAGACACTTGCCGATCTTCAATCCACCAGCAGTTACGTATTGGTTCTGTTTTTCAGACATGGTGCGTTTTATATCTTAACTGGCAACCTAAATCACTGGAAATTACTGTGAACTGCTCGCAGTTCACAGTAAAAATGAAATTGTTTACAAATTAGACTTAAATAGGATACAATTTCTACGTTGACGTATAGTTATCAAAAGTAATCCTAATAATCTACCGTAATTCTCGAATTTTATTTCTTAATCTCATTAATTATTTAAACTGGTGCAAAATTATGAAATACTTGACCAGACATCTAGAAGAAGCCAACGAAACCTACTTTCAGCATTTTTGTCACGCGATGTCATTTGCAGCACATATGTTGTTTGGTGCGATCGCCTGTGCAATTCATGCATTATTGCCGTTTCTGTTTGAACGAACAGGCAGCAGTCAAATCGCGGAGCTGTACGATCGAATGATCAAACAACGTCTGAGCCGGTACGATGAAACCCAATCGTTTCAAAATTCGTAACTCATTGCCAAATAACTCGCGAAATCGAACCTTCTACGCAAGCAAAGGTTTGTAGCTACACTGTCAAAACTCTTGGATTTTCTGAATACTGAAGAGCCCCAGTTGGTGTTTACAATCTGACTCGCAGGTGATTAGCCGAGCACTCCTGAATGTCACCACTTACGTTTTCGGATGCGTTTGGTTGCCTCATCTCGTTCCATCGTGAAAGGATCCGAACCAACGATCCCAGGGCATCTCCACCGTTCCGTAGTTGCATTTGAAATGCTTGTGATGTAACTGGTGGTAAAACACGCCAAGCTTTATTCGATTTTTTCCTTTGATTTGTATGCCTTCAAATCCACTGTGTGACATCGCTGGATTGAGTGCTATAAAATAGGCATGAAACAGAAAGTGCAGTGGGTGAGAGGCTACCACAAAGTGTATGGCGAAACTCGAAAAATACAGAATATGTTCAATTGGATGCATGGATATTCCAGACCATGGACCGATATTGACATTCCTGTGATGAAGAGCATGCGCTACTCTGTACAACGGTGGCCAATGAAGCAGGCGGTGAACCCAGTAAAAATGAAATGACGACCACACAGGTATCAAAATAAACATGACTGCAAACCAAATCGGATTTCCCGCGAACGAAAGTCTGGGAACATATCCGTTTGCGCTCGCCCAGAAATAAACGATTTCATACAGACTCCAGATTGTCACGCCGCTCACCAGAGTCCAAAACATGTTGTCAAGTACCTGGTTGCCAAAATTGTGAATTTTGCTGCTGCGATCTAAGTCTCGTTTTTCAAATTTGAGTTTATCCGACTGCCGTCTGAACGTGTACAGATACAGATGTAGAATGCCAGCGACAAGAATCATCAAAAACAGATTACGCAACCAAATTTGCGCAACCCAGCCGAGCCCGAATTCCCGCATAGTTTCTTCAGGCGGCTGAAAAGTTGCATAGACAATGACTGCAAGGACAATACTGAGGGCATAAGAACCGAACGGTGTCCATGCCCCAGCAATCCAGCGCAGTGTAGCAATGGGTCTAGGCTTCCAATCAAATGCTGGCGACAATTTTACCGGCAATTGCGGAACATAATTCCACTCTTGATCAATTCTTGATGAAGTAGAGGATGATTTCATTGCGTTTGCTCGCCTCCTATTCGGAATTTTGCTAACTGAGCCAAAAAACTGCAACAAGCACTGCAGTCGGTTTCAGCACCAGCTCTATAGTAGGATAAGGGTCAATATCATAACTCCAAAATCGCGTTTTCAAGAACTATTTTTCCTGTTTATATTCTCGTATATTTCCGACAAAGCGTCAATCGTAGCGACTTACGAAACTAAATGAAATTGTAGTGTTATCTGACCGGAATCGGGAGCAGTACTTCCACGCTGCAAGTAAACTTTAAGCAAATCTTGAGTTGCAACGATTCTCCGTATCAGGGTATACAAATCTGAATATCTGATTTAGCAACAACATTTTGTTACAGGTTCGGCATCGCTGGCTGATCATTCGTGTGGCAGTGTGCACCACCGCCAGATGCCCAAGAACTGAGCATTTCAACGACATGAATATCCCGACCCGGAAAATAAGATTCAACTCGTGACTTTGCTGCGCGGTCTGTTTGCGGGTTGCCAAAACCGACTAGAATCACAAAACCGTTTCCGACAATCCAGTTTACATAGTTGGTGTCGAAGGCCTGGCCTCTGAATCTCACAACAGCTTCCATGGGATCTCGAATCACTCTAAATCCGCGATCTTCTATAGTCTTCGCAGCGATTTCATATACAGCATCATCTCGTCCATCACCCGGCTTGCATTTCGACGCAGCAGTGCATTGGGCGACCACCACTGTTTCGGGATCGATAAATCTAGCGATTCCATCAACATGCCCTTTCGTCAAATCGTTTTCAGGAATGCCTTCAATCAGAATCACTTTCGAAACACCGAAGTGCCGCTTCATATCTGCTTCAGCCTGATCACTGGTGTAGCCTGGATTGCGTTCAGGATCTCCCAAAACACTCCAGTTGGCAATCACTGTATCAACTCCATTGAATTCCAGATTGCCTCTCTCATGTACTATTTCGATGGTATCCACGGGCATTTTCAGATACTCGCCGATTCGGATTGGAACCTCATCGTCTCGAGAATAGGGGACATTCAATCCGAATGCACCTCCCCAAGCGTTGAATCTCCAATTCTGAATTCGCATCTTGCCATCAACGACTATATAAACCGGACCATTGTCCCTCATCCACGCGTTGTCATTCGGAATGGTGTGCCAGGTAATGTTATCGTGATCAGGGTTCGTTCCGGTCTTCGACAGTGCGACACGGGCCTGTTGTCTGATGTCGTCGGAGTCACAAAGAATATGGAGCTGCTCATATTGAACAATGACTGCCGACATTGCGGCAAACGCTTCTTCGTGAGCTTTTTCATACGGACCCGGCCACTGTAACCAGATCGCCGCCTGCGGCTCCCATTCGGCGGGAACTCGTATGTTGGAATCTGATTCCATACCTGAAACTGAATCGGCAATAGCGAATATTACGATGATAGAAATCGAAACATCAACCGCATATTGAATATAGCGATTCATCTTTCATTTACTGAGCAAAAGATAAGTGTAAAGTGGAAACCGGGTTGAACGCAGGCGATGATAATCTGTTCAATTGTGTATGGTTAGTTTCGAATGGCAGTGCACTCAAAGTCTGCCGCTCGAAGAGAAGTTTGAAACCCAAATTCAGCAACGTATTGCTCATTTTGATCAATGACGATTAATTGCAATTCAAGACAAATTGCCAGTCAACACCTGGAAACCTATTGCACGAGCAACAGCCTCTTGCCTGCCATCTAGCGTTATAAAGAAATTCTGGTATGGTTCCCTAAAGGCATAAAGTGCCGAGGCGACATGCCATAAATCTGCACCTCTCAGGTACCCCGCATCCAAAACCATCTTCAACTCTCTTGCTAACGGACGTTCCGGCAGAATCCAACCGATTTCCGAGAGAAGAGGTTCGGGAAATTCGATATTCTCTCGCGCACATACAGCTCGAGTTTCTGCTTCGAGTAAGTTGGATGAAACGAGATTTTTCATCGTGGCAAGTTTCTCAGTCAGAACAAAAGCATCTGGTTCATGGAAAGCCATAGCAACCACAGCGGAAGAATCTATGTATGCAAAGCTCATTCGTTACGATCTTCTAGAAATCTTTTCAAGGCACCGGGTCTCCGCTCCCCATATTTGAATGGTATCAGCGGCCTTTTTGCAGGGATATAGACTCCGCGTTTCTTGAGTTTATCCATACGTTCTTCGGTTGATAGTTCTTTGAGTTCAACTGAACGTATTTCCGCAACCGGATTTCCGCGGTAGGATATCGTAACGGTCTTGCCCGACCGAACCAATTGGAGAATCTCCGAGAAACGGGCCTTTGCTTCATATGTAGAATAAATTATGCTCATGCAAATATTTTACACTAGACAGACTAGTCATTTACAGCGAAGGTTATTCACATCAAGTGGCGTAGGATCGTGTCCATGATCGCTCTGAGCTTTCCTACGAGGGTCCCCTCTCAAGATTGGGAATCTCTCCGCGCTCCAATTGGTCGTACGCCTGAAGAACATATCTTTGAGTTCGGTAATCGCCAAATTCACTCAATTTCTTTTCGTTTGAGGGCTGGAAACGATGAGCTTGGTGGATGTGCGTCAAGATTCCATTCCGCATCGGAGCGCTCCATCCCGTAATGCCTTTCACTCCACATATAAGGCAGCATAGCAGTCAAATAAAAATCAAAACGTCAGGATATGCTCGCATATCAGTTGCTTTCTAACACACAACGGCAACTTTGAAGTGACTGTGGCAGGTTTCTTTCTGTACTTCTATAGAAGACAGGCGACCGTCTGGAGGAGTTTGTAAATCAATGCCCGGCAGTACCTACTTTCACACGGAATTCCTCCGCACTATCATCGGCGCGAAACGTTTTCACTACTGAGTTCGAGATGGATTCAGGTGGTACCCGCTTGCTATGGCCGCCGGGCAAATCTGTAGATCCAGATTCATGGAGAAATACTGAATCAATAAAATTGGTAGTCAAAGAGCTTGATATGCACTTTAGTGAACACACAACCACTCGAACAGCTCGAGTGTTATATGGTCAAGCCTCACGGGCAATTAGTACGGGTTAGCTCAATACATTACTGCACTTCCACATCCCGCCTATCAACGTTGTAGTCTTCAACGGCCCTTCAGGGACCTTAATGGTCCAGGGAGACCTAATCTTGAGGGAGGCTTCCCGCTTAGATGCTTTCAGCGGTTATCCCGTCCATACATAGCTACCCAGCAATGCCACTGGCGTGACAACTGGAACACCAGAGGTATGTCCACTCCGGTCCTTTCGTACTAGGAGCAGCTCCTCTCAAGTCTCCAGCGCCCACAGCAGATAGGGACCAAACTGTCTCACGACGTTCTAAACCCAGCTCGCGTACCTCTTTAAATGGCGAACAGCCATACCCTTGGGACCGACTCCAGCCCCAGGATGAGATGAGCCGACATCGAG